AAGACTACAAGGTCTGCCAAGACATGTATCGCAAGATGGCCGCTTCCAACATGTTGGACGCGCAGATCAGACAAGCCATCCAGCACGACAAAGGTAGACGTGACGTGATGCCATACAAGGTAGGCGACATTGTGCTTGTTAAGCGCAGCGCCTTCGACAGTTCCAAGCCTGTTGGCGACGCTGCAGACATCGCCAAACTTCAGTCAGCATACTGTGGCCCATTCAAGGTTGCAAGTATTTTGTCGAATATTGACCTCAAGATTGAGTTGTCTAACAAGAAGAAGCAGCTCAGGACAGTCCATGTGGAGTCAGTCAAGCCTCTCCAGGCATCATTCGCTGGCACGGACATCACTACCGCGACAGCCATCATCGACTCACGCAACAGAGTCTACGGCCTTGGATCACGCCTCGAGTACTTGGTGCGATTCGATTTATCCTTGGGCGACGATGCCAACCGTTGGATCGATGCCAAGGTGATGCAGGCGCAGCTCCCTGCATTGGTCGCCGCTTTCAAACGTATCTCCTCATCTAGTGGTCAATAGTCGAGGGGGGGATATGTAACATGAGGAACTTCCAGAGTCGAATGATTCGTTTTCCAAAGTGTTTTGATGTCGCTTCGCGCACTCAATCACTTCATTCGTTCATTCATAGACAGTGGGTCTTCAATTACTAACTGTCATACTCTCAAGGTATGTCCTCTTGGTTACACCAATCATTATACATATAAATAAATAAGTTTATATGATTCGTTCATTCATAGACAGTGGGTCTTCAATTACTAACTGTCATACTCTCAAGTGAACGTTCAATAATATTAAGAGTACATCTCTTTATATTAAACTGATGGGTAAAAAAAAAAAAACTTATTAGGTAAAAGGTTTTGGACTAGAAGGGTATCGATCCCTTTACCTCTCGCATGCTAAGCGAGCGCTCTACCATCTGAGCTACAAGCCCTGTTGATGAATAAAATTTCTTTTTTAACGGTTTTGTCCGTTAAAATTTTTAACATCACCAATCATGCAGAAACTTAAACTGTTAGGTCAAAGACAATCATCTAAATTATTGGAAGTCACAGGGACGAGTCCCCAGGCTGGTGACTGTGACAAACAAAATCTCATTTTATTCCAAATGAGGGAACCTATCATGAAAAAAGGAGAGCGGTACCAGATCAATAGATCAAATTACTAAATTAATTATTCTTTTTAAAGAAATATATAAATATATATGCAAGTTGAAATAAGTAATAATAATGACACATTAGGAGTAGTGGAGGATATTGTTTTACAACCTAGATACTTCCCAATACTCATCCTAGGTTATATCGTTGAGTGTATCGATGAGAATGTGGACAGGTACTCAATGGCATTCGTTTGTAAATATTGGTATCGTAACAGACAATCATTCATTTGTTGGATATGGCAACCTGTAAGGCATGTGTCAGAGTACATGTATGTGAACTACAACAAGCTCAATGACAAAGACAACAATTTGATCAAGCCACCTACAAAGTTCAAACTCAATGACACAACCACAGAGTTACCAAACGATCTGACCACGATGATCTATGACATTGACGTATCGCCCACTAGAGGAATGATTCCAGATAGTGTTCAAACACTTGAGTTTGACTATGACTTTAACAGTCCCATCCTACTTGGTACACTGCCTCCAAGACTCACCTCGCTCAAGTTTGCCTCACCATTCAATCATGTGTTGCCCATTGGAGTGCTCCCCACAAGTCTGACAAAACTCCAACTTGGCCAACAATACACTCATTCGATACCGATTGGTTTGCTTCCGTCTGGTCTCAGAACATTGATTGTCGACTATCACTTTAATCAACCCATTATCGTTGGTTCTTTGCCACATGGACTGACATCACTCAGATTTGGAGCAGTGTACAATAAACCAATTGCCATTGGTGCCCTCCCTCAGAGTCTCACCTTCCTCAAATTCGGTTGCTCTGAGAATCGAGACTATCAATCACTTGGCTCGTTCAACCATCCTTTCGTCATTGGATCATTGCCTCAAAACCTCAGGACCCTACGGTTAGGTCCTTCCTACAACCAACCATTCATACGCGGTGCTCTCCCATCAAGCCTCACATCACTCACTGTGTGGGACAGTTTCGAACAGCAAATGGATGAACGGTCAACATTGGCATCCCAACGCACAACCGCCGGCAGAATACATTTTTTTATAGTAGTAGTTGGGTTGCAAAAGAGGTGGTTGGCGATGTATCATTTATTGGAACATTGTGGGACCAGTAAATTGTGGTTGGAATAGTTCCAGTGGGGGAGTTTTGATGCAAAATATCTGACCCCTAGGAGATTCGAACTCCTGACCTGAAGCTAACTTCTCTATTTTAGTTGGAGACTTATGCGCTACCACTGCGCCAAGGAGCCATTGGATTTGGCCCTTTCCCTTATTCGTCTTTTATCGGGAAAAATTTTGGCAAAATCAGACTCTCACTTTATCCTGTTGACCCTTGTATATAGAATAATACATCAGTCCAGTGACACAAGTTGTTCTGAACATCCCTCGAGCCGGCACTAACGCACCAGCCCGAGCCATTCATGTACAACTGCTGATTCCCACCACACCTACTTCTCTCTATCAATTCCAACCAACTCAGCCAGACAAACGGACCCGACCAGTGATACGCGGGAGGAGGCCGCACCAAAGGCTCCACCACGCAGGCCCATCTGCACTCAGGATTCCCCAACCATTGACGCAAAGTTCCCACGAGTCTCAGGGTGTGACTCACACAGCGGAGCAGGAGGAGTTCTGTCGGTAAACAATGCGTCAACATTGGCATCCCAACGCACAACCGCCGGCAGAATACTTTTTATAGTAGTAGTTGGGTATTCACCTCACATCCTACACGCCTGCACGCAAACCACGAGTGGTTTGCCACGTCAAGAGTCCAATCCCTTAGCCTGAACAGCACGCGAACAACGGCCATGTCCATAAGAACAGGACTACCGCTAGTCTCCATTCAAACGATGGATCAACCCTTCTCTTACGACCCCACGGAAGTCAACGCATGAGCACGCGCTGGCAATAATCCAAACCAATGCTCATACCACCAGCCTTCGACACAAAGGCCGTGGACTCAACCAGAACAGTGTCCAAACAACCAAAACAATCGTATAGTTATCCCTCGGGATAAATAAACTGAACATCGCGACTCTCCTCCAGATAGGACGAGAGTAGGCATTTAAACAAAATTGGCAAAATCAGATCTAAGATCAATTTATTAATTAAACAATCAACCACAAAAAAATAAATAAACAAGATGATATAATTTTTGATCAWTAGATTTTTGGGAATGTGCAATATGTTGTCAAGAGGATTTATTGTGAGTCACCAATCAATCCTTTGTCCATCTGATGCCTTCACAATGGTGAAGGCGCGGCAGTTGACTGCTGTGTCATACGGATTCATAACCTTATCTTTGAAGGTGAAAGCAAAGTTGATATCGACTTGGTACTCCACCTCCTTCTTTGTCAACCACTCTTGATGTCTGCCAACAATCTTCTTCATTGAGTCACTTAGCGTCAGAAGGGGGTTGCCAATGTACACTGTGAACGAGATGGAGCTATCAGCCACAACTTTTGACGAAAAGGACTTGAATGGGGACCCGAGTATCACCAGAAGTTGCTCACCACAATCAACAAGTAGGAGATCTCGGAAGCATATGGTGTTGTTGTTGTTTGTTGTTGTTGGTACGTACTAGGTGACAAAACGGAAGGATTGTGTTATGATAACAAACTATCGACCTACTATCATTCTGTTAATCTAAAAGTTATAAGTTAATCAATGATAGCACTCAATGCTTTTCTAAATAGAGTAGTAGTTTACTGAAAACTAAAGTAGTCCTTAAAAGGATAAATAAAAACATACTTGATTGGGAAGTGAATCAATAAAGATAAACTGAGTGTTGTTGAACAATGATCATCACAAACGATCACCCACCTTCGAATATCTATTTTTGTGATGTCTCTTAGAACTTGAAGGTGTGTTTTTTCCAAACATGGTAAAGTTCCCAAAACTATGAGTGTGTATTGTTGTTTGATCAATTCCCAACTTTGGAAACAATCAAAATATTTCCCTGGACAACCCCTAATCCCGGCACTGGTCGTAACATGATCTTTAGACATTAATTATTATGTATTTTCCTTTGAATTTGACACAAATGGGAACAATGATGTTGAAGTGAAACTCTGAATGAATAGAAGTTTACCTCAATAATTTGTGTGGATTTCCCTCTTCTATTTAAAGAGTTGGGAAAATTGATGTACTGCTTGAACTAAGTAATAATTGATCGGAACAATGAACAACTATATTTCCCAAGACAACTTCAAAGACGTGTCATTGGTAGAAATGAACACCATCTATGGGTGGGCTAAACAATCAATCAACACTTTCTTTATTCTTTATTTATTACCTCATCAAATTAAACCCGTCCACTTTCTCTATCTATGTTATTATATGAAACACTACCCCTTGATCTCGGTTATAGAATATCACTTTCGAATCGATCACAAGACATTCTTCAAACATTTGTTTGAGGTACTTGAGACCATCAATGTCTATGTCCCAATGGTAACTATATTGGAAGCCCGAATCACCTCAACCACTACCAATATTGACTTCAACGTTCAACAGTTTGATATGGATAGAAGATTGGAAGGATACGAGGATTCCTTTTTACAGATAGCACCAATTATTGACTATCCCCCCGATATCTTCAACAGATATTCGATTGTGGACACCAGTTCAATCAACATCTCTGAACATGTGGAGGGGTTCCCTCGAGAGGTGACCACCTGTCGAATGATTATCGACACCACCATTGTTAAGATAAGAAGACCCTCACCAGGACCAAACAATCAAGATCTCCAAAGGTCCTTCTACAGCGGTATGTTTCTGTTTGTTTTTAAAATAATGCAGCGCTATCAAGTTAACTCACCGACAACAACTAATGTGTCGTCAGGCAAACACAAATTTCATGGCATCAAGTTTGAAGTAGGAATCCGACTGGATGGCTACATCGTTTGGGTTGGTCCTCCTCAACCAGGAAGCAAGCATGATTTAACCATCTTTGACGATGGAGAGTTGGCCAATGAGTTACTGCCTGGTGAGAAGATTTTGGCCGACTCAGCCTACGTCTCAAAGAACCACCCATTCGTTACACCAATTAAGAAACAGAGGAATACCAGAACAGTCACCAAGTTCCTCACAGTTGAACAACGCATCTATAATTTCCAGATCTCAAGATTGCGTATCAAGATTGAACACTGCTTTCCAAAGGTCAAGGCTCTCACGATGTTTGGCTCCACCTATAGATCACAGCGCCACCACCTCGATCTATACTTCCGCGCAGCATGTGCCCTCATTAACTTTCAAAGCTTTGGAGTATGTTGAGCGATTGGTATGTTACCAAAATGAATGTATATAAATGTTTGTTCTAGTCTTCAAGTCAAGTACCAGTGATGAATGTTTGAATGTTTGATCAACAGAGGAATACGTGTATTCCCAAAAATCTAATTAATTTATTAATTAATTAGTTGGAACCTGTGGCAGACTTTGCCGGCACCGTTAACTTCTTTATCTGGTCCTTAATCAACAGAGTATTCTCGTCATCCTCACCATAGCACACCTTTGATGTATCCAATGCCTTTTGTAGGTATCTATTCGAGTGTTCCAAGTTGTCCCTGATTGCCCTGTTGGTTGAGATGGAGACGCTCTCATCCTTATCCACTGGGGCTGGAGAAGCTGCTCCATCGACACCAGCATCCGGCATCCTAGAGCCAAGCTGCTGCAAGAAAAACTTCTCGTAGAGGTCGGCCATCAACTCGTAGCACTCCACTCTCTCTCCACTCTGTACGCGTAGTATGGCCTTGACAATCCTCTTGACGGCCATGCAGTGAACGATCGCCTCCTTAAAGTTCTCCATCGTGTCCAAGCAGTTGGTCATGCCCAGATGGTACTGAAGTCTGAGCACATGATTGTTGTGCAACAGTGACAATGTCTTTTCAAACTGTTTGGCACTCTCCATGTACTCGGCAGTGTTCTCGCTCCAAGACTTCTTTAACAAGAATTGTTTGAGTGCATCAATGTCCTTCAATATCGCGATGATCATATCGTTCTGCTCCTGTTTACAGTCCAAACAACGCCAAAGTCTTCCCAATACATTGTCCTTCTCTGTTTGTGTATTGGTATAGTATTAGTATGATTGATTGATTGATTCAGGTCATTCATTGAATTGAATGATTGATAATACCATTATAACTTATTATTGGTGATACCCATCCACTTGGACATGAGGGACATCTGAATGATGAGATGTAACGACCACACTCGGTTGGATCAAGACATCTCTGGCAACGACAGAGGAAGTGCTTGGACTGCAATAGGACTTGTTGTCTCTCAAAGGTTGGCTCGAGCAAATCGACATAACTATCAAAGATACCTTCATCCTGTCCAATGTCCTGAATGCATCGCATCTGAAGCTCATTGTCTGTCAAGTGCAGAAGAAGAAGTAATAAAAGGTTAGTTAGTGAGTCACAAGTCAATCCAAACATTACCATCCAGGTCCGAGGATCCAAGGGTCCATGTAACAGTACAGGGTCCAGGTACAGTCCAGTCCAGGCCAGTCCAGGCAAGGCCTAATCCAGGCCAGGCCAGTCCAAGCTCAGTTCAGGTACAGTCCAGGCCAAGTCCAGTCCAAGGTCCGAGGTCCAGGATCCATGGTCCAGCCAGTATATATCAATCCAAAATCGAATATAATCGTCATCAAGCCAGTCCAAGCCAGCCAATACCTACTGTTGACGGAATAGAATGTGTTGGGCTGACAACTATGATTGAGCAGTGCGGCCTGGTGGAAGTATCCATTCGAGATGATGGTCGAGTTCTTGGTGCAGGCGAACGAGTTGACGAGCGTGGAGCACGCAATGTTGACAATCTCATCGCGAGCAAAGAACTCCAGAAGGGTCGGGTCGATATGGGCGTCCTCCTTGAGCAGCTGCAGCAGACGGTCGGCAAAGTGTGTGTACTGCTCGAGCCATCGTGGTGCGCGCTTCTCAAACTCGTGCTTCTGCACCGACAGCTGGCCAACAGTGTCGTTGTACAGCTCGGTCATTATGTTCTTCTTAAAGATGATGCGTAGGACCAGTAGCGAGAGCGACAGGTCGGTGCCACAGTCGATGGTGGCCTGAGCCACCTTGGCCACGAACGAGCATTCAAGCTGATGAACCATGTTGTTTGCGCACTCCTCGCTGCAGAACCAGAGATCGCAGCCGTATGCACACTTGAATGGTGGTGTCTTGCATCGTCGTACATCTTTACAACACAATGAGCAATGGCTACCAGATGCAATATTCTTTGTCATTGGTATCGATGCGAATGACGTCTCTCTAAACAATAGATCGCCCTTCTTCAAACTTGTTGTTGTTTTAGCGTGACATCCAATGAACTTCTCATCTGTACCATCCACTATCTTATACTTTGTTGTTGTCATTGTAGTTGTTGTCATTGTCATTGTTATTGATATATGTGTGTATGTTGATAATTGAATGAATGGATGAATGAATGTTCTGTAAAAAACGAGTAAAGCGAGTTCAACACCAAAATGAACGAGTTTTGGGTTCATTTTGTTTGTTTGGAAGTCAAAGCAACATTACATCTTTGTATTGTACATTCAAGAGATAGAACTAATTTGATACTTTATTGGTTATGTACAACTTGTGTATGTTTGAAAGAGTAGACTTGGACAAAAGTAGAATGAATGTACATGGCGACGTAGTTCTGATAGTGGTGTTACCAACAAAGCCCTGACCCTTACATAGGTTATGTTCAAGAATGGAAATTTGATCGGAACATTGTTTTGTGTGTTGTCGAAACAAAATATCTATCTCTCATCATAGGCCCAGGACAGTACCAAAGCCAAAGCATGATCACGATCGTATGGACCTATCAATGCCATCGCATCCAACAACAATGTTGACTAATACCTCCTACATTTGTGATGTTGATCAAAACACAAGTGTACATATATATATACATATTCAAATATACAATAATAACAATTTATAACAAACGATGAGTAACAGGAAGTATCATTCATTGGGTAGTGCCCCAAGGGAAACAACAGAGATGCCATTCCCAATGACATATGTTGAGTTTAAGGAGTTGATCTACATGAGGTGAGTGTTCATGTGTCAATCAATCAATCAATCAAACAATCATACTAACATTAGATGTCAATGATGTACCACCTCCTTAGATCATGGCAGGCATCAGGACTATTGGTATTCTATTACTACTTCATGTTGATACTTGGTCTATTCTACTTCATTTCTAGCATCGTCTGGCAGACAAAGTATCATGGTGTTGGTGGATTCTTCCTTGGACTACTCTACGGATCATTGAGTAAGTAGATGGAGTCCACTTCATTCATGGACTGTGTCGTGACGACTAACATGTTTACATTATAATATGGATCCTATAGGATTGTTATTATGTTGGTTCATTGCTAGATTATCAACAGAGGTCATGTTGTCCATCCTGTGCATTAGGGATGGTATCTATTCCAAGACTGTACAACAACCAGCTTCTGCTTCTGCTACTTCCTCTTCATCTGCACCATCCAACAACAACAACAATAACTACAACACAATTGGCGTAGACCTAAACAAGCAACAAACCAGCAACCAGCAGTCAAACTACCAGGTTGAGTCATACAATTCAAACCTTTAATAATATAATAATAATATTGACATGTCAATACTGTATTTAAAATTATTAATATTATTATTGATTCCAGGAATATCAATATTCTTAAGTTCTAGAAACCCAACTTTGTTGTGTACAAAGGTTATTGTGTGCCATAAAGATGACACTGACCGACAAACGACTGTGGACAAAGATCCTTGGTTATTTGTTTGTCAATGTGGTGGATACCAGCTTATGTAGACTTGTCGCGCTTAAGGTGATCATTTCCTTGTCGTCAACAGATTGAACTTGGTTGGAATAAGATTGTTGTCCAATGAACATGCAACAACTGACAAAGGTGGCGTACTATATTGAAATTCACTCAAGTCCCGTCGTCTTTACAATGTCAATGGCCTCAAGAACATCAGGTTTGGAGCACTAAAGTGTTGCGAACTAAATCCACTTCAGGAATTCCTCAAGGGAGTCTCTATCTTTGGATTAATATGGCAAATTGTATTAACATGCTAGTTTGTCGATTGATAACTACAGATAAAGAGATAATTATTATTAAGTGTTGATCATTGATCAGTTATATGACAGGGGCGGAGGAGTTTCCTTTTAAGGGTGAGGAAAATGACCCCAACGAATTTTTCCAAATATTCATAATAGGGTACAACTAATTTTTTTTAATTGTTTTTTGTTTAAATTCCTACTCTCGTCTTTTTTAATAGTGTAAATATTTCCTTATAAACAGAACAGGGAGTGGCGGTAGGAAACAGGACACCTTAGCCAAGTGGTTACGGCGTTTGACTCGAAATCAAATCCCTTAGGGGGCGCAGGTTCGAATCCTGCAGGTGTCGAATCCTATTGCCTTTTTAAGGGCTGGATTAATTCCAATGTGATCTTTTCCTTTGCTCCAAGGTTATTTCAATTGGAAAATGATGGTCACATACTAAACGATCAAACCACACAATCATATTTAGCATTAACACCCCTTTGTTTGTGATGAATCGACCCCGCGCAAATACAACAGTGGGTGAACTTGCTGCCGAAGTATCTTACGAATCGTTTCACACTCTCATTATCCATTTCCCAAACCATCGCTGTTGTAATCATACATACATCTTGACGTGTACACTTACCTACATACAAAGGCATACCTCGATGATCAAATATATACATAATCACATCAGTCTCTCTATTAATAATAATATTTAATATCTCTAGATTAGTTATTATCTTTATAACTAATGGGTGTACTACTATCAAAGGGGAAGGTAATAATAATAATGACACAAGTGAAGAGTGTTGTGTTGGTGTTTGAGCTCAACATCCAACCAGTTCCAAGAAACAAGTGCACTAACATCCATTCAACAAACACAAACAATAATAGTCATTCGAGAAGGAGTTGGTAGAGATTGAGGAGAAGATACTAAAGTATGAGGCACAGGTATCGAATGCTCGTGGTGTACAATCAAGACTGGTACGACGTACCATTATCTTTGGCATAATGCTAGAGTTGGTGTTGATTGCATGGGTATACCTAAACTCACGAAGAGACCAACATTATCAACTGCTTCACATTGCATCTCTAGTCATACTACCATTCATGTAAGTGAAGTAGTGGATCCATTACCTATCCTCATGACTCATCATTCATTCAATCAATGATACAGAGTGTACATATTCACAAGGGCGATCAACTCTACATATTGCTACTTTATTGGAAGGAAGGAGAGAACATTGGTTGCACTTAAGGCACAGATGATAAAGAGGATAAATGACCGTAAGAAGGAGACAGACTATGAGAACACTCAAAAGCTAATTGACAAGTATAACGCATTGATGAAGAGTATGTGTTGGGTTATTGAAAGAAAGTGATGAATATGAAGTACAGTTACTGACCAACCCATTCCAACCTTTATAGGGAAGAGCTCCCAATCATCATCGACGACTACAACATCACCACAACCATTGGGCAATAGAGGATCACCTGCACATGATAGTAACACTCCTGTCAACAATAGACAGAACAACACAAACACTCGTAACAATGCGGCATTGATTCAATCACCGGATAGTTCGAATATTAGACAACGTCACTCGGTGTCTCAATCTAGTGCGGCTACCATTGCCACCACTGCGCCTACCTCACCAATGAGAACACCAGGCGGTAGAGGTGGTTCAAAGACATCTTCATCGTCGGAACAACCGACAACGCCGACACAGTCACCACAACAACAACAACAACAACGATCATTCTTTGACAAGATTGTGGACTATCTCATCAATGATGGTCCAAGATATGGATCACCAATCATCTGTGCCAAGTGTCACAGTCACAATGGATACGTTCCATCAAGCGAGTTGGCCTCAATCCGTACGTTTACATCATCCACAACTCAATCACACTTAATAGAAATCAATGCTAACATTCAATCAATCAATCAATCAGAGTTCAGATGTAGATATTGCCAGAGCTTCAATCAAAGAGGTGGAACAATATATGAACTGCCAGCAGCTGCGGATAAGTCTAGACCATCATCGGAGGTAGATGACAAGGTGGAGGTGGATCATCCTGAACTTGATAACAACTCATTTGCCACAGAAGCGTCACCAACAAAAGGAGATGTGTTGGAATTGAACACTTCTGCATCCAAAGATGTCGCCAAGGTAGTTGACAAATCCAAACCCATGGCTAAAGCCAAGAAGGTCAAGGCATGAACACCTCTCTGTCTACGTGTCAAGGTCAAACATACATAAGTGGTGTAGAGTAGATTGGTAGTAGTAGTGTATTTAAGTACTCTGTTGGAGAGTGGAGTGGTAATGTATTCATTCAATCAATCAATCAATCAATGTTTACTTCAAGATAGCCAATGTGATCGCCAATATGGCAATGTGGTGCCCTTTGCATCACACACGACTCCACACTCCATCAAATTCAAATAAATTGATCAACAACACCTCAACCAAAGGTTGTTGGTTGGATTTATGTGATTGTGGGGTGGTACCACCCACCTCACTCTCCATCAAAGTCAAAGTAAGGGCGGAGAGAGCAACAGAGACAGAGGGGCAAGAGTATTGATCAATCCACATGATCAGACCTTCACATCAATCATAACAATCATTTATATTTATCCATATGCTTCTTTAAATATCTTTTGTATAAACAAAAATAACCTTTCTTTGGAACTTTATTTCATTTGGTCGATCATTCATTCATCCATCTCTTACAAACATACTCATCCATCCATCATACATATAATAATACTATATACATAACAACAGATCAATAACAGATGGAAACTTGGTTGGAGAAACAGAAAAGAGTATGTTGACTACATTGGAAACATGTCGGCTACACATTGGCAACACACACACTCACACTCACACTCACACCAACACCAACAACTCAAACAGGTATTCACTGGATGGTGTAATATATACTTGGGACTTAGAGGACTGCAACTCAATGATCTGCAGACAGAGCTCAGCGATGGTGTACTGCTGGCCAACTTGTTGGAGATACTAAGTGGCAAGATTGTGTTGGTGTCCAAGTTGTCCAAGTTCCTAAACAATCGTGTTCACAAAGCCAACAACATCAATCTGAGCCTAAAGTTCATAACCGACGAGGGTATCAAACATGTTGGTTGCTGTGCCGAGGATCTTGTCGATGGCAATCTCAAGGCCATCCTCACTATGATGTGGACTCTGATCAAGTCCTACCAGATCCAGACCATTCCAGCCGTCACGCCCACTGGCAATGGCACGCCACCACTCAAAGGCAAGCCTGCCACCACCAACGAGCTACTACTCCAATGGCTCCGCAGTAACCTATCCGAGTATCCAATCAAGATCAATGATTTTAACAACAGGTATGTTTGATTGATTGATGGTTCCAACTGACTAGATCACATGATTCTAACATTCTATTCAACAGCTTCAAGGATGGAGTGGCAATGTGCGCACTTGTACACAAGTTGGTTCCAGAGGCGATTAAGTTTGAGTCACTCAATCCAGAGGAGCAGTTACAGAACCTGCAATTGGCATTTGATACGGCCAGGTCAGAGTTGAACATTCCAGCCATATTGGAGGCAAAGGATGTCGTTGATCAGCCAGATGAGGCCTGTGTGATGACTTATCTGTCACTCTTCCCCAAGATCTATCCAAAGTCTGGAGACGCGGCTGACACTCCCAAGAAGTTTGCCGTCTCTATCATGCCGTCGCCCATCAAGACCATGAAGCTCTTCCCAACAATGAGCAGTGATGACCTTACTGGTGGTGTTCCATTCCAACAATCACCACTTCCACAATCCCCTCAGCAAGTGCCACAGGTACAGACACAGCAGGTGCCACAGGTTCAACCTCAGGCACCAACTACACAACTTGAGCAGTCCCCACGTCCGCAGGCTCAGCCACAAGCTGAACCACAGGCGACACAACAACAGGAGGAGGCACCAACTCAGACACAGCCACAGCCACAACCAGACACAAGAGTGACAGAACTTCAGGAGAAGGTCCAGAGTCTGGAGCAAGCGATTGTAGAGAAAGACAAGCAACAAGCTGATGAGAGGAACAAGTCAAAGGAGGTGTTGCGTAACTTATTGGACGAGTTTGAACAACCAGATCATGTCTGGAGTGTTGATGGTGGAGAGGATGGTGGAATGCTCGCTCAAAAGATCAGAACATGCATCAATGCCAACAAGGAAGCACAGGTTATTACCGAACAACTGGCCAAAGCCCAAGCCGACAATAATACCTTGAAGGATGAGGCACAGAGGTTGGCCACAGACATTGCAGAACTACGTCAATATAAGGACAACAACGTTGTTGACCAGAATACCTTGGTGGAACTTCGTGCCAAGATACAGGAGCTGGAGAATCAGACTGCTGCCAATTCTACCCAGTTGACTGCGAACATTGSCCAAGGCACAGGAGGAGTTGGACACAGTATCCAAGTTGAAGGAACAACTTCAACGTGAGTTGGACGAGCGTATCAACACACATGCAAACGATATCGCCGAGAAGGACAAGCAGCTGGATGAACTCAAGAGGAATTCTGAATCAATCAACACTGAGCTCCAGAGGTTGCGCGATGCAAATGCCTCACAAGACAGCGATGCGAATGTTAGGGTCCAACAGCTACAGGAGGAGCTGGCCAAACATGCGGCCATGTGCGAGCAAAAGGATGGAGAGGTCAACCAATTAACTCAACACAAACTGAAGCTTGAGGAGGACCTCCAAAGACTTGGCCGCGACATTGAGTCGCTCACATCCAACCATGGTGAAGCCCGTGCCAAGACTGAGGAGCAAGCACAGTTGATKAAAARGGATAAATGGCGATGTGGCCAACGTGCAGCGTGAGAAGGATGAGGTACTGAGCGAGAAGAATAGAATCCAGACAGAGCTGGAGGCCGCCAAGCAGGACCTAGCACGTCTGATGGAGCAAGGCCAGTCAACCCAGCAACAGAGTGATGCCACGACCGAGGAGAGGAACCGCCTGACAGAGGAGTTGGGCCGTGCCAAGGCTGAGCTGGACAAGGTACAGCAGCACGCCGATCAGTTGTCCAAGCAGCTCGGAGACAAGGAGACCCAGCTGGCCGAGGAGCGATCACGATTGGCAGGCGAGCTTCAGAGCACCAGAGAAGAACTGGAGAGGGTCAGGACCGCAGAGCAGTCGCTTGCGACTGTCCAGGAGCAGTTGGAGCAGCATCGTGCACAGTACACTGACAAAGAGAAGGAGCTGAGCGATGAGAAGTCTCGCCTTCAGGACGAGGTCGACAAGACCAAGTCGGAGCTGACCAGGTTGCAACAGGTTGAGGCCAGCTTGGCCGCAGCACAAGAGCGTCTCGATCAACAGACCAAGCTTACTGAGCAACGCGACATTGCGGCACACGAGGAAAAGACCCGCCTGCAACAAGAGGCTGAGCAATCCAAGCAAGAGCTGCAGAGACTCAAGGACGTGGAGGCTAGTCTTCAGGCCAGGATCCAAGAGCACGGTACAAGCAACAATCAATCAAACGACGAGTTGGCTGCGGCCAAGGCGGAGTTGGGACGTGTGATCCAGGCGGAGAACGACCTCAAACAACAGCTTGGCCAACAGACCACCCTCATCCAGGAGAAGGATACCGAGCTAGCACGACTCAAGGAGATTGAGACCAGACTGGCCTCACTACACGAGCAAGTTAACCAACAGAACAAGGAGGTGGCCCTGAAGGAGATGATGCTTGTTGACGAGCTCGAAAAGACCAAGCTCGAGCTTAACACATTGAAGCAACTGGAAGGCCAGTTGAATCAGGCACACAGCCAACTCGACCAGCAAAGCAAGGAGTATGTAGACAAGAATGCCGAGGTGGAGAGCGAGCGCCAGAGGCTTCAGAACGATGTGGACCGCGCCAATGAGGAGCTGAAGCTGGTACGCGCAGCAGAGGTCGCACTACAGTCTGCACATCAACAGGTCACTGAACAGACTGTCCAGCTGTCTGACGAGAAGGTCAAGTTACAGGAGCAGTTGAAGGAGTTGGAAGCCATCTGTGCCGCTGCCAATGAGAAGACGGACCACCATATCAAACTTTTGGCACAGACCCAGAGCCAGGCCACCGAGGACAAGCAGGGACTGCTGGACGAGGTCAGTCGACTGAGGGAGGTACAAGTACAGTTTGTCAGACTCCAGGAGCAGGCTGGCCAGCATGAAGCAGTGCTATCCGAGAAGCAACAACAAAAAAATAAGGTCATAGAGGATATGGAGCGAATCAAGGCTGAGGTGTCCCAACTAAAAGGCGACCAACTTGCCAAGGACACTGAGCTCACCTCTGTCAAGAACAACCACATCAGTGAAGTCGATCGCCTGAAGCAAGAGCACAGCGCAGAGTTGGACGCACAGTTGTCCAAGCTCAAGACCGAGCTTGGCGCGATGGTCACAGACAAGGAGTCCAAGTCCGCCACATTGGAGGCTGAGAAGAAGGCCCTCGAGACTGAGATCGCCGGACTCAAGGAGGCGAATGAGAAGTTGGCGCAAACCCAGACTCAATCACAAACTCAATCACAGGCACAGTCAAGACTGGAGAATGAGCTGAGTGTCACCAAGTCCGAGCTGTCAACGCTCAAGATGAAGATGGGCCAGATGGAGTCAGAGTCGGCTGAGAAGAAGAAGCTGAAGGAGAAGCTATACACCGTGGAGACACAGTGGAACTCACTCAAGTTGACATTCGATCAGATCAAGGAGTTGATCGACAACCACAAGAAGCTGGAGCGTCAGCATCAGGAGGAGGTGAGCAAGGTGTCCGAGCTGACGCATCAGATCACGCAGCTCAACGCCAAGCTGAGCAAGGGACAGAAGGAGGAGGACGACCGCGTCAAGCAGGCCAAGGACCGCTTCGAGAAGACGACGCAAGACCTCAAGGATCAGAACCTGGCACTGGAGAAGAAGCTCAAGGAGCTGCAGACCAACTTTGAGGACCGCGCCAAGCGAGCTGAAGGCGAGTTGAGCAAGCTTCAAAAGTCAACCGACGCCTCGGGCTCGAACAGCGTCGACGGCGGCGCCATGGTCAGCGAAGTGGATGTGGAGAAGAGACTGAAGGAACAGGAGACCAAGCTCAAGGAGAAGATCAATCAGCTTGAGGACCGTCTTGCCAAGCAGGCCAAGAGTGGTTCGGCCGGTGGCAGTGGCGGTGGCGGTGTGCCAACCAACTATGTAGTGCTAGGTGGAATCATTCTACTTGTTCTGGTGATCATCTCAATGATGTCCAAATGATTGATTGATTGATTGATCGACGACTCTATTTATTATTATAATTGTTGTTGTACTACATACCAAATAAATAACTTAATTAATATCCTTAGATGGTCATCTCCATCTCGTATTGTTGCAAGTACTTCTCCATGCCAACTGATTCAAACACAGATGTGGCCAATTGGTCTCGTTCATCAGAGTGATTGCACTTGAATGATGGATGGCTGGCCAGCACTGCGCCAAGCAATGCCAGGCCATCATCACGAGTGTCGAATCTATAATGTACAATGTTTGAGTATGCCTTGTTGACCAACACATAACTAGTCGATCCCACGACACTCCAGCACTCGACATTGTCCCTATTCTTCTCCAAACAACTCAGTCGCATCTCCCATGTCGGTGCGTACAACTGATGTGCCAACTGACCAAAGTCCACGTCCTTGCCCTCGGTCTTTACAATGTCCTTGCCTTGTACAACGGCAACAGCAGCCGCGGCACCAGTGTATTTGTAACATGGCAATGTCCTCTCGATGTTGAATCCAACGCGTTTGTAAGCACGCACGGCACGCTCATTGATTGATACGACCTCGAGTAGTAGCTTGGTGACTTGGTATTGTTGTCTGAGTATTGGGATGGCATGTTGGAAGATTGTGTTTACAAGTCGCTGTCCTCTGAATTGTTGGATGACGCCAGTGGCACAGTTGAAGGCGGTCTTTGCGCCCTCGTGTAATCCCTCTGCCAACAAGACGAATGCTACCAATTTGTTTGATGATCTTTCAAATGCACCGAATGATATATCATAATTTATACCGGCACAGTCCCATCTTTTCCTCCAATACTCCACTGGTACCTCTTGAAAGTTGACCACATAATCAATGAATGACACTCTAAGACATGTAACCAACTCTTCAAAAGGTGTATCAATCAATGATCTAATTTCCAGTTGTTCTTGTTGCTCAGTCATCATTATACTCTATCTCTATCTCTATCTCTATGACTATCTTTATCTCTATCTTTATCTTTATCTCTAGCTCTATCACTACGATCTTCAAAAACAAAGTCAAGTCAGACTTGAACTTGAAAAGATCTTGAATTCTTATTTTTTATGAATTTATTCAAAAAACGAGAATTTTGTAAAAGGTACACAATTGAGTAATGTGGGTGGCATGTGTCTGATCAGTCATTGGTCTCGCTTCCAAACCATATTCATACAGTTAATATATATACATATATACATATATATACATAGTCTGTCAATCAATCAATCATGGGTTACATTACAGAGAAGGGCAGATCGAACTTGCTTCAGTACAAAGGTGGAAGTACCGTGGACAACTCACTACTTTACAAATACATCATCTCACCTTCCTGCAACGTCATTGTCGAATGGTTTCCAAAGTCATTTCATCCCAACCTTGTAAGTACAAACTAAGTTAGTTGTCAAGTCACGTAAACCAGCACTCATTCACACTCAATCAATCACATGATCAATCAATCATTCAATCACATGTGATGTAGGTGACAGCAACAGGATTCGTCTGTAACATATTGGCAGTGGTACTTATGTCGTACTATATTGGTACCAATACTGATGGTCTACCAAAGGATGATTCAAATGTTAGATGGGTCCACTTTGCAGCAGGCTTCCTGATATTCACTTATATGATGATGGACAATATCGATGGTAAACAAGCACGTCGTACCAAGACCTCATCACCACTAGGCGAGCTCTTTGATCATGGTTGTGATTCATTCACTGTTGGTGTACGTACTATCTCCCACCACGCCCACTGGAACTATCCCATCCTGATTGATCGATCACTCATACTCACACTAACTCACACTCAATCATTCAATCAATCAGTTGGCTGCATTGGTAGTTGGTATATCTGTTGGACAATCAAAATGGGACATACTACTCACGTTCATCTTGTCGACTATACCATTCTATATGGCACATTGGGAGGAGTACTTCACTCATGAACTGATATTGGGCATGTTCAATGGACCCACGGAAGCAGAGGTCGCCGTCATCTCGCTGTGTTGCATCTCTGGCGTGTTTGGCCAGCAGTTCTGGTTCCAGGCCGTGACGGTGGCCGGCTACACATGCCAGTTGAAGGAGCTGCTGTTCCTTGTGATGACGGGCATGTCTATGTACACCTCATTCTGCTCCGTGTTCTCTGGCGTACGCAAGGCTATTGGCATGGACATCAGTCTCATCACTGCATTCTCACAGCTGTTGCCATTCACCAGCTTCCTCTTTATGGAGTTCCTCTGGATTGCCATATCACCTGGGCTCTTCATTGAGTTCCCCATCATGCATATACTTAGTCTTACATTTATATTCTCATATTTATCCGTATGTATCATTGTTTCCGCGAGTGGCGAATGTGTTTCCGCGTGTGGCGAATGTATTTCCGCGCAAGAAGGATAATGTCTAACTCAWTTTAACATCATCAACACATAGTGCCGATGCATTGTACAGAGAATCTGCTCAGAGGACTTTAGATTGTTCTACAAGCCACTGATATTCCTTGCAATGGCCGTTGCCAACTCCATCGCTGCCAACCAGGGATACATGTAAGTTACAATTAATTACATTGCGACAAATGAATGAATGAATGAATGAATGAGTGACTGACCATATCCAATATCCATCTTACCAATGATAATAGTATTGTCGAGGAACCTGTTGCACTGTGGATACTATTCTCTGTTAGCTTGTCATTCATCTGTCACTTTACCCAAGGCATCATCGAGGAGATGTGCTCGATACTCAAGATTACAGCGTTCACTGTTCCAAAGGACAAGCAGAAATAAATGGTTGGAATCAGTCCGATAAAATACAGAGAGATATATATATATTATTCGATCAATCAATCGATCAATCAATTAACTATTTCCGCCACTACCAATGTAATGTCTGAATGTTAGGGATACACGCCTTCCAACCTTGACCTGTGAGCGAATGCCATGCTTCCACTTGTACCTCGCGTCGCCCTTTAGAACCAAGAGCGATCGCTTAGGCAAGACCATTGATACCTCCTTCGACTTGTCATCATCCTATTGATTCATAATCATTCATTCATTAGCCAATGCTCAATCAAACCAACCTTGCCAACAACAAAACATACCTCTGGTATGAATACCATTCGCCAATCAGATAGACAACTTAGACTGACGACACAGGCATCCCAGTCCTTGGTGGAGTCGATGTGCGGCTTGATCTGCTGGCCAGGCTCATACTCATTGATGATTATCTGGTCCATGCCAACGGGTATCTGTGGCGTGGCAGCCAGTCTATCGACAAGGAACTGGAGGTATTGTGGAATTGGTGGGGTCATGGGCTGACCCTGGTCATCCAACTCATCGACACCTCTCAATCTATAACAATAATGATAACCATACTGCTGTGTCCTTCTAGCAATCTCTGTCTTCCACTCTGACTTGTCAATATTATCCACAAGTATTCTCTCCTCTTCCTCTGTTATAAAGTCTGTCAACAATGATAGACCGGGTGGGAGCTGAACTCCATCGTCCATGTCCACTACCTCTACTGTTGCCATATTATTATCTGTATAGTATGTAGTAACTAACTTATGAAGAATGAATGGAGTTCTGATAACAATGTGGTGGCATACATTGTCTAACAACACACCTCAGCAGACGAGCTTGTTTCCTCAAATAATCTCAACTTCTCCCTTTGTCAACAACACCCACAACAGTCTGAAGACTATTCCACTAACTTGGTACTTGTGCTCAAGAGTCCTGAGTATGTAACCTCGTCTTTATCAATATCTATATCAATATCTACCGCTTAATCTGGATGTGTTGTCTATTCATTAAATGATAGATTGTTTGATTGGATTGAGTCCTTTACAAGATATGTTGATTGATTGAGTGATGGAATAGTTCCAATATGTGATCGAGTGAATACTGAATGTATTGAATACCCGAGGACAAGTAGTTATCTTGTGACGATCAATAATGTTTCTTTCATTGTGTTGTAGTTCGTGATGATCAGTTACCTCCTCCCCCCACAAACACACCAAACTCTTTGACTTGTGTGAATGATTGAATGAAGTTAACTAGATTATTCATTCTCTCTCTCATTTATTCACACTAGTTGATCTCTTATTACTATATATATATTTATATTTGTAACTGTATAACAAACAAACAAACAAACTAGAAGGAAGGAAGTGATCATGAGTCAACCAAACAGTACAAGTGGTGGCGGTAATACAGGTAACAATACACCTGGCGGTGGAGGAGGTGGACAGATCAATGGTGTTGGTATGAATACAGGTTCGCCACATCATCCGATGATCTCACCTATAGTCAACAGTAAATCAAACTTCCAGCCCAAGTCACAGATGTCTCCAATGTCTGTACAACAACATCATCATCTGCTACAGCAACAACAACAACAACAGCATATGTAAGTGTGATCACCTATGACCAATATCTCGATCACTCACTCACTAAATCAATCAATCAATCAATCATTGAAACAGAGATCCATCATCAATCATTAGTCCAATGCAGAATATAAGTATCAATAGACATTATCAGCCACAGCAGCAGCAGCAACAGCAACAGCAACAACAGCAGCAACAGCAACTTCACCAACCATGGATTGAGCATGGATATGACGACACTATCGATCTTCAAGCAGCCGAGCAAGCGAACTATATTATGTATCAACAACAACAACAGCAACAGCAACTTCACCAACAACAACAGGTACAACAGGCACAGGCCAAACCACCACAGACCTATCAACAATACCAACAACAGCAACAACAACAGCAGCAGCAACAGCAACAGACCCTACAGATCCTGCAACTCCAACAACAGCAGCAGGCACAGATGCAACTGCAACAGCGCAACTCATACAACATGTCCCCGCACAGCCTAAAGACTCCCGTATGTTTGATTGAATGATTGATGGACCCTCGTCGATCTCTCACTCACTCACTCAACTTCAATCAATCAAACGGAACAGTACAATCCCTACTTGACCAACATGCATGGATACCCTATCCCACAACAGAGACTCAAATTTGGAAACAGATACCTTAGCTCATTCTTCATGTCGGACACACTGCGACAGGACCTGCTGAAACAGAAGCTGATGCAATATACGACGCTCGATCCAAACGGTAAGTCACTCCCTTAATGAGTGAGTGGGTCGAAGACACAAACAACAAGACAACCTGGGATTGACACAGACATTCAAACGACCTAGACCCGCGACTGGAAAGCATCCCACCAATGCTGCACAAGTATCATTCTCTGTATCCACTGGACAGCGAAACTGCGCGCGACAAGGTTGGAGTGATGTTTGGCTATCCGACATCAGTCTACAAGGCAATAAGCACAACTGATGGCCTGCCCTATGTCATTCGAAGGGTTGAAGGCTTCCGTCTCTCCAACGAGTTCACACTTCAGGCTGCCGACTCTTGGAGGACCATCCAACATCCAAACATTGTATCACTTAAGGAGATATTCGTCAGCAAGGAGTTTGGTGACAATAACTGTATGTTGGTGTGTGATGATGGTGAACATGCTTGATGCAAGTCCGATCAATCACTCACTCACTCGCTCATTCACGATCAATCAATCAATCACAATAGCATTGTTCTTTTCATATGAATATCATCCTGGTTCGGAAACACTGGAAACAAAGTACTTGACACAGAGTGGCGCGAATATTAGCGAGTCTATACTTTGGAGCTTCATTTGTCAGATTGTGTCGGCACTGAAGGCGGTGCACTCGGCGGGATTGGTGTGCCGCGTGATCCATCCATCAAAGATACTGCTGACTGGAAAGAACAGGATAAGGATCAATGGCGTGGGCATATTCGATGTGGTCAACTTTGACTCGCCAAAGAACGTGGCGCAGCTGCATCATGAGGACCTGGTGCTGTTTGGCCGGCTGATCCTGTCGCTGGCCTGCAAGTCGGCGATGAGCGCCAACAACACCAACCTCAACAAGTGGATCGACTTCACGCAGAGCCAGTACAGCAAGGAGTTCACCAACCTGCTGATCTTCCTGCTGACCAAGCCCACGGTGAACCTGCCGACGATCGACGACGTCATCCAGCTGATTGGGCCACGTCTCGTGCAGGAGAACGCCTACCTGCACAGCTACACCGACGACCTCGAGACGGAGCTCACCAAGGAGATCGAGAACGGCCGACTCTTCCGTCTGCTCGCCAAGCTGGGCTTCATCAACGAGCGTCCGTCTTTCGAGGCTGTCGACTCCAAGTGGTCCGAGACAGGCGACCGCTATCTCCTCAAGCTGTTCCGTGACTATGTCTTCCACCAGGTGTACGAGGACGGCACGCCCATGCTGGACTTTTACCATGTGGTGGACACGCTCAACAAGCTGGACTGCGGCGTGCAGGAGAAGATCTTGCTGATGTCTCGCGACGAGCAGTCACTGCTGGTGGTCAGCTACAAGGACTTGAAGCGATGTACAGAGAATGCTTTTCAAGAGCTTGTCAATCAGAAGATCAATCATTAATGATTGATTAGTTTGGTTTAAGATTCGATCGATTATCATCATCATTTATATATTTAGTGTGGATTGGTCTGGACACACGCGTAGTCATTCATCATCAATCATCAATCATCAATCACTTCCAGCCTCCACACATAATCAACAACCAAACAACCATTTCCAAACCTTATCAACTACTCCCTCCATCCTTCTTTCCTTGCTTCCAACTCTTAACTTATAACTAATAAACATTCCATGTTATAATATCCATTTTCCATGTGCCAATCAATCAATCAATCATTATGATGGACTTGCCAAGGGTAGAGTGAGGGGTCATGCCATGACCCATTTGTTACATTCATTCTCCCAACATAATGACCATGATGATGGTCGACCTGTATGCCTGTGGACAAGACCTTGTACGCGACTTGTTTTAACAGTTGATACTTTATTGTTCCTATCCTATAATGTCTTTACATCAAAGTCGTTTAGTTGTCAGTGACGACCTTGGTCTTGAGACCCTGTTATGTTTGAGTAATAATGATTGATTGATTGATTATGTTAGTGATCATTGTTTGATTGAGTCAATCAATAATAATAACACATACCTTGAAGGACTTGGTGGCGACAAAGGTGGCGAGAGTGTAGAACTTCTCTCTGGCGTTCTCATCCTCGTTTCTCTTTCTGGAGAGGACGATGCGCACTCTGTGTGGAACGTTCTTGATACCCTGAGACCAGAGCAAGCAGTTCAACTTGTTGTCGATACGGACATCCTTGGTGCTCATAGCCTTCTGAGCGAATTGTCTGATCTGCTTGACAGCCTTTGGGGCTCTATCCTTGAAGGATCTATTATTGATTGATTGATTGAAGTTATATCATAGGTCATAGGTTAGCTCCTGTATTCGATGTATCTGTGTATCCAATGTATCGCTCTATCCTGCTTCATGTATCCTGTATCCTCTATATCCTGCGTATGATGATGATGATGATGATGATGACGTACGATCCCAAAAGTCTGCTCTTCAGGTTGACAGTGTATTCACGGGAGATTGGTCCCTGCTCGGCGCGAGTGGTCTTGGTCTTGGTCGACATTGTAAGAGTGATATAGGATCTAGGGGATGGATGCAAGATGAACCAAACTCAAGTGATTGATTAAGGCATGTCATCGAGTCTCGCCAACCCCACACACACCTCCACCCCACACACGTTGTTCGTTTGTGCGAGTATTCTGTATTACACACACAAACTTTTAATTATTTTAGATTTTTATTTCATTTCAAGCAATGTAACGTTATTTCTCAACATACTTCTCATGAAGTGCATTCTCACTCAGATTGAAGTTTTGTTTTTTGTTAACAACACCCTTCTCAAGTATGTTGACTTTGACGAGACACACGAGTGGGTTGGAGGTGACTGACTGAGTGAGGATGCGACAGTTTGAACACATCAAAGGGTTGGTGAGAAAGAGAGTGTCGATCACATTAGCTCTTCAAGCATTACTTACTTACTTAAACACATAAACACAGATAAACATTACATTGTGTTATCAGTAGTGTCTATAATATACAGGATTACTTCTTCTTTAGTTAAAGGTAAACTAAGTCGATATTATTTGATTGATTGATCATCATACTTGATCATGATCAGACAGGTCCAACTCAACTGGTTGACAAGAAGATCAATTACACAACATGTGAACAAATACTCATTCTTTCATTCAATCGATCAAACATAACAAATATGTATGATCAATCAATCAATCTATCAATCAATCAAATACAGGAAGCGAATATATAGGTTATACACTTGTGTTTCAAGAGAATAATAATGGCAGATGAATTAACTCGTATTGCTATTGTGCAAGCAGATAGATGTAAGCCAAAGAAGTGTAGCCAGGAGTGCAAGAAGAATTGCCCCGTCGTAAAGATGGGCAAGCTCTGCATTGAGGTCAAGCCAACATCAAAGATATCGTACATCTCAGAGGAGCTGTGCAACGGTTGTGGTATCTGTGTCAAGAAGTGCCCATTCGAGGCCATCAGCATCATCAACTTGCCAAAGTCGCTGCAAAAGGACACCACGCATCGTTACGGCCCCAACAGCTTCAAGCTGCATCGTCTGCCCACGCCCCGTCCCGGTCAAGTGCTGGGTCTGGTCGGCACCAACGGTATTGGCAAGTCGACGGCGCTCAAGATCCTGGCGGGCAAGTTGAAGCCCAACCTCGGTGTGTGGGACGAGCCCCCCGAGTGGACTGACATCCTCACCTTCTTCCGTGGCTCCGAGCTCCAGTCGTACTTCACCAAGATCCTCGAGAACATGCGTGCGCTCATCAAGCCACAGTACGTCGACAATCTGCCCAAGGCCGTCCAAGGCACTGTGCGCGCTATTCTCGACGCCAAGTCACAGACTGGAAACAAGGAGGAGATGATCGATGCACTCGACCTTCGCAAGGTCCTCGACAAGGATATCAACGTCCTATCTGGAGGTGAGCTCCAAAGATTCGCCATCGCTGTCGTCTGTGTTCAGGCTGCTGAGATGTAAGTACTTGTTCAACATCAGGTGGTGGATCATGTGTGACGGTAGACTCTAATCATTCGATCAATCAATCAAACATAGTTACATGTTCGACGAGCCATCCAGTTATCTCGATGTCAAGCAAAGACTCAAGGCTGCCCAGGTCATTCGCTCGCTGATTCAGCCAACAAAGTATGTAGTCGACGCCAGGCCATCATCATCATCAGAGTCTCAACCTAACACTCCCATCCAATCAATCAATCTCAATCATAATCAAACAGTTACATCATTGTAGTGGAGCACGATCTTAGTGTCCTCGATTATTTGTCAGACTTTGTCTGCTGTTTGTACGGATCGGCAGGAGCATATGGTGTGGTCACACTGCCATTCTCTGTGCGCGATGGTATCAACATCTTCTTGAACGGTTTCATCAAGACCGAGAACATGAGATTCCGTAAGGAGGCACTGACATTCAAGATGTCCGAGACGGCCGAGGAGGGTGAGGAGGTCAAGAAGCATTGCCTCTACAAGTACCCCGCCATGTCCAAGACCCTGGACGGCTTCAAGCTGGACGTCAAGGCCGGTGAGTTCACCGACTCTGAGATCATTGTGATGCTCGGCCAGAACGGTACAGGAAAGACGACTTTCATCAAGATGTTGGCCGGCCAGCTGGCCCCCGACGATGGCGCAAGCATCCCCGAGCTCAACGTCAGCTACAAGCCACAGAAGATCTCGCCCAAGTTCCCAGGCACAGTGCGCGAGCTCTGCCACAAGAGAATCCGCGACACCTTCATGCATCCACAGTTCAACTCAGACGTCGTCAAGCCATTGACGCTCGAGAACATCATCGACCAGCAGGTGCTCCATTTGTCCGGAGGAGAGTTGCAGCGTGTTGCCATCGTCCTCTGTCTCGGCCAGCCAGCCGATATCTATCTGATCGATGAGCCCTCTGCCTACCTGGACTCTGAGCAGCGTATCATTGCCGCTAAGGTCATCAAGAGATTCATTCTGCACGCTGGCAAGTCTGGCTTCATCGTGGAGCACGACTTCATCATGGCCACCTATCTTGCCGATCGTGTCATTGTGTACGACGGTATGCCCTCTGTGCACTGCACTGCCAACGCCCCACAGTCGTTGCTGTCCGGTATGAACACCTTCCTCAAGTCCCTGGACATCACCTTCCGTCGTGACCCAACCAACTTCCGTCCACGTATCAACAAGTTGGACTCTGTCAAGGATAAGGAGCAAAAGACCAATGGTAACTTCTTCTTCTTGGACGACAACTCAACTGATTAAGCAAACAACATCATCAGCATCATCAGCAGCAGCATCAGCAGCGACAGCTTAGCCAATCATAATCCTAGTTGTGGCTATGACATCGACACCTCTCCCTCTCTCTCAACATCCCCTTTGACAGACAGACACATCGTGCTGCAGGTTAGCAAGCTGGATGCGTGAACCCCCATATGGGGACTCAATAAACGAATGAATCGAACGAACGAATGACGAATGATGAATGGAAAGGAAGTAGATTATGGTAAACAGAGTACATGATTGTTGATTAGCTTGGCCTTGAGGAGCATCTCGAGTTTGGCCACAGTGATGTATCCACCTTCCAATCGATTGTTGATTACAAAGAGTGGCGAGATGGTGTTGTTCATCTTGCGAATGGACATTTGTTGGCAACCCTTTATAAAGAAGGTTGTGAAGCCTAACTCGTCAACGTACTTGTGATTCATTAGCCATTGTACTAGATTGTTGGCTTGAAAGGGGAACCGGGTGGTAGGGTTATAGCCATATTGTATAGTCAACCTCCTCAATGGCAGCTTGTTGTGTGGCAATACAATTAGACCTTTCATTGAAATGTCATAGATTGGACAACTTGTCACCATCTTCATCCATTGATCCCTGGTACCATCGGACAACATCCATGATACCAATGATTGCTCCTCCGTTATCCATTCGAACAATGTACGTAGCAAGTACTTGTCTTGGTATGTCCTGAAGAAACAACGTGGTTGATTGTGTCGAGTGAAAGAGATGGTGATCTTCACCATATCAGTCTGGATCTCAAAGATGCGATTGTCTGGTTTGCCACAAACCACTGAGAATGTTAGGTGCTGTAGCATCTCTGGCAGGATGGATGATGAGAGGGGGTGAGTGTAGGTGGTGGACGCCAGGGTTAGATTGGTGATCGATCCAGGCAACACACCAGGTTCGATTGGTTTGTTGAATGAAGATCCCAGGTAGAGCTGGGTGAGGGATGGAGGCAGCAGTCCAGGGGTGATATCATTATTGTAAAGGTTGCCAAGCGTGAGACATGTCAATGAGTGTGGGAGTGAGACATCGATACCATTGCATATAATGGGATAGATAGTATCGCCGATTGTCAGCGTTATAATAGACGTTGGGATGAGCTGTGTCGGGATGACCGCTTGGTACATGAGGTTGAGATCGGTGATTGAGTTTGGCAGTGTGCCTATCTCAAGGTGAGTCTTGTACTTTGATTGAAAGATGAGAGTTTTGAGGCCTTCTGGCAGGGCACCAATGGGTATCGGTTGATTGAACTCCAGTCCCAGACGTAGATACGTCAATGTAGATGGTAGTAAACCAATTGGCAATGGCTGGCGGTGTAAGCCAACAAACTTCATCGTCTTTAGGCCTGATGGTAACGATCCAGGTGCCATCAACAATGAGTTTGATGGTACTTCAAGCTCGATAATGCCACTCGGTAGTAAGTCTGATGTGAGTTGATTGGACAGTCTCTCGCTCAGCCTTAGGAGTGTGAGTGATTGTGGCAAAGGGCCGTCAATCCGAATCTGTTCGAATATAGACCCAATGTAAAGACTTGTTATGGAGTGAGGCAACACATCGCACAAAAAATTCCGTTTGAACTGGCTGCCAAGGATCAGCTTCTTGAGTGATGGAGGCAGAACACCTGGCAGCAGTTCTTGATTGAACTGTGAACCAAATATGAGGAATGTCAGGGATAATGGTAGCACACCAACCGTCAAAGGTTGGTTGTAATTGGAGCTAAACAACAATGTTTGTAAAGTATTTGGTAGGACACCGGGCCGGATCATCTGATTAAAGGCCGTGCCAAAATGAAGTTGCTTGAGTGATGGAGGTAGGGTGCCTGGCTCGATCGGTCTATTGTAGTCGCAGTCAAACCTGATCTCGACCAGACCAGTGTGGACAACAATCCTTTGATCGAGTGGCTTATTGGATCGTTCGTAGTATCTCAGACTTGTTGCATCTTTCATCACTTGATCTTTGTCGGCACCGACATCCAATGATGATGACATTGATCTCAAGAACTGCGCGTATGTTATATATGTTGAGGTCTGAGGTTCGGTACTGAGTCTTAGCTCAATCTTTCCTGTTATCATATCCACTGTATGATTGTTTATCTGTTGTTTGATCAACTCTCTAATCATTGATGGTACTTTATACAATTGATGATTATAGTTATCATAGTTGAATCGTACATATTTGTTCCTTTCATCATACATTCTTCTACATGTTACGATCAAACAAACTACATCAATTCTATCCAACCATATAACTATACATCCAATATCCGAGTTACTCAATTGTTTGAAGTCCATCATTCTTTCTTTCTTTCTTTGTCTGTATCTTTGATTGATTAGTTGAATGAATGTAGTTGAACCAAAGGGGGGACCATTTGGAATGATTCATGCAAGTTCATCTCATTGAACAAAGAGATAGATAACATCCATGGATGGACAGGTATTATTGTTTGGTCGTAAGGAGTGCTGGACTCAATCATTGGATAATACATCAATGTTGGTAACAACGCCAATCATTGATATTCATTCTCATAATGTTGGTACAGGTACATCAATTATATATGCTCGTGGAAATGTATATATGTTTGGAGGTAGTTCATCACCACTGACATACTCTCGTTACTCATTGGCTGATAGACAATGGTATACTGCTGACATTGTAGGAGTGATTGGTGGAAGATCAATGTCAACATGTTATGACGGTGACAAGTACATCTACTTGATGGGAGGCATTGATAATATAAAGGAATGGTACTCTGATAGAGTAGATTGTTATGATATAGAATGTCAACAGTTCAAACATATTGGCACTCTGCCTTATAAGTTATCAAATCCTAGTGTAGCCTATAACAAGTCGACTCAATCAATCATTGTGGTTGGCAAGATGGACAGTGTTGGCAATAGATATCAAGAAGTATTATCATTCAATCTAAACACATTGAAGACATCTGTAATCATCAAAGATCTAAAGCTCAATTCAATGTCCGTATGTGCCATTGATGGACATGATGGCAACGTCTATGTACTCAACTCGCACGATCATACATTCAAGAGATATAACTTGTCGACCAAACGATTGACCAATCTATCAACACCGCCATCATCAATGGCATCCTACTACTCCACAGTATTGAATGATCGATTGTTCAACAGTCTTATCTTTATCCATTTCACAACCCAATCAATGCGATACTCAATCAAAGATGACCAATGGATACAATCATCACAAGCATTCACACAATCTGATGATATTGTTTGTGCATGTATACTTCAAGATTGATTGGCCCAGGGGCACAGTGTCTTGGCCTCTCATGTCATGAGACGACATGGAAGTTGGTTCGCGACCATGACTCCCCCACGCATTCGCCACCCCACCTTGAGGAGAAAGCAAACAAACGAAGGTTACATAAATTGGGGAAGTCAAAGATTGATTGTTTTATTATTACTTGTACACATACATACACATAAACAGATATTATAGTATTATTACTTACTTACTTAGATACATAAAGTATGGGTGCAGCATTAAGTGGATCTAGATGGGAGAATGGAATATATCCTAGATTGTCAGAGGAACAACAGGAACAGGTTGCTGATCCAAATGGTGGAGCAGTGGACAATCCGAATAACAATAATGATGTTGGAGGCGGAGGATCACCAAGTTCAATGCAAATGTCACCGTTGGCATCTATACTGCCACAGGTATATGCTGCAAAGAATGTATCCAGTCGTGTCAATCTACATCGTGACACTGTTGTCTTTGAGCGTATTGACGTCAAACCAATCTCAACAACAACAAACGTCGTAGCAGATAACTATCCAATACAAGAGGTCAGTGATAGTAATGGTGATAGTAATGGCAATGTAGTTATTGATATAAGTGGAGCATCATCTGGTTCTGGTTCTGGTTCTGGCTCAGAGTCAACTAGTACTTCAACTACAACTACTACATCAACATCGACAACAACAATAACATTGGATAAGGATGACAATAAGACAAACAATGTAGAGGGTACCTACAACATCAAGTTCAAGTTCGACACTGAAGAGCCTTGTGTAATAGACGTACACATCGTTGGAACAGATACACTCAACAAGTAAGCCATCTTCATCCCGTCTCTCTATACTCATTCATAACTGACATCGTTCATTTATTCATTGATAATATAGTATCTCATCACAGTTGAGACTTGGACCATTCTACTTCCAAGATGGATTGAATCAACAGTTCTCATTATCACCTTCAGAGTATATTAACCTCTCTAACTTTACACAAGTCGATCTGACCAAGTGTAACATCGATAGGGTACAATATCCCGTCATTGTAACTATAAAGACAAGTAAGTAGCATCATTCAATCAATCAACTCAATCAATCATTCGCTCACTCACTCACTTATTCAATCAAACAATGTATATTAGACTCCTATGTAGCAGATGAGAAGAATGAACAGTTACCTCCACCTACATCTACATCGACAACGACTACCTCCACGACAACAACATCAGGCTCTACAGTAGTATCTCTGGAGAAGCAACAACAGTCTAATGAGGAGATTGTACGAAGCCAGTACACCTACCTCACTCTACTAGCTTGCAACGACCAAACCTTTGCCATCAAGCCATTGAAGCAAAAGATTGTTGTAAGTATTACTTCAAACATGTCAACGACAGAGATAGATACTAATTGTACAATCTTAAACCTTTGGAAACGATAGCTTGATCATCAGAACTACATCATACATGATATCTATGGATTGGAGAACTCTGAGGATAACCGAGAATGTGTTATTTGTTTGGTTGAGCCAAAGGATGTGTTGGCTATCCCTTGCCGCCACTTCTGTCTTTGTTCCAAGTGTGCCGAGACCATGAGGACAGTGTCAATCAAGTGTCCAATTTGCAGATCGCGTATGTACATTTATCATTCACTCATTGCACTTCGTTCTTACTAACTGACTGACTGATGTCGTATCTATCCCATTCCACAGCCATCAGGTCTTTGTTAAAGATGGATATCAAGCAGACTCCACAATAGGGTCAGCAACCCAACATGTCCTTGTAAATAACAATCATTTCTTTCATTCAACTAACAATCCAGATAGGGTCCCTCGCCAGTTTGCAACTTGTGTAGACAAGGCAACTTGGAGATACTCTAGCACTACCTAGCCATCACACCAATTCGCAATCTGCCCAGTCTCACTCAGATCTCGCCTTGGCCATTGACACTGGAATGAACAGTTTGTTCGTCTTCTACTACAACATCAACAGCATCACAACTTTACACCATTGAATAATGAGAAGATCGTGCCTCTGTACAATTACAACTTATTAATTGCAATTTGGTCTGCAGAGATAATATTTATTTGATTTCTTTCAAGACTGATGGTTGAGATAATATTTACAAATACAGTCCAGTGGGATGAGATAGAGTGTTGATAGTGAAATGGTTGAATGTGATACCAAGATCTATAGCAGCTTGAGAGTCACCAATAGACTGATGGGACGTCAATGATGGTAGTTGACGAACAGGGACAAGATCACTCTCGTTGAGGCCAAGTGATGAAAGGCAATCCTCCCAACGAACACGAAAACCGGCTCCAACTGGCAAAGGCGGTGGTAGGTGCGGAAGGTCAACAGGGTGGTCATCAATGGTGAATGATCCATGTAAGAAATCTGGATGTAGATTTAGTAGGAGCATTGTCTCTAGTCCTAATAAGGAGGGCACACCAGGAGCCACCTTGACGACTGTTGTCAACTCTACACCTAGAACTGAGATCCTTGCCCGGAGAGGTAGAACTTGGCCTCTGCACCATTTGCTATGCGTGTTCTACCAAATAATGTAGGGTGTCCAAGCAATCCAAGTCTGTGTGCACATTCTTCCGAAATTTGTCTGATACAATAAATAATATCAGTAAGACATTCGAGAGAACATGATGAACGCTTCATCTTACGTGTAAGATGCACCAGTATCAAGTGTAAAGGTCAAAGTCTGGGTTGTCTGAACTCCATCAATCCTTGCTGGTATTTGATAAGAGATACCGTTTGATAATATTAATTCGCCTGTTCTTGTCATAACTATTTGTTTGAAGGTGTAGAGGTGAAGAATGAATGAGTGATTATGTGTCTCCAATGATATCCTGTCATAACTATTTGTTTGAAGGTGTAGAAGTGAAGAATGAGTGATTATGTGTCTCCAATGACAAGGTACCCTCGAAAGGCCACAAAGTTGGATAGTAGTCGAGTATCCACATCTTAATCAACCTTGAGCACCGTAAAAAGGTAGTTCTCACGAATCTCTTAGACAAGGGACACATCAGTATCGATGATCAAATACGATACACTGAATCCATAAATATAAAGTTGTAGGAGGAAGAATTGTGCGAATTAGGGATTTTGAGGGCTCTGGCCATTCATTCATTCAATCAAACATAGATACATATATACTTGTACAATGAATAACGACAAGAGTATACATTATGTGCTCCATAATAGATGGTTATGTAGACTGATCTTTGATCAGGTCAGTGACATACATAGGCGACTTTCACTTGAGATCAATCAATTAATCTCGAATGACAACAACACTCAGGAGATGAAGATAAAGTCAACAATCAAGGGCGCAAAGCTAAATACAAATGGGAGTCTCTTTGAGATGCTAAGATACAATGCCACTCAGATGTTCATCTAGACATTGCAATCACATCCGGATCTAACTGACAACATTAAGCTCATGACCAGTTTGATGTTGTATGCAGCAAGCCACAACAATACAAAGGCGTTCATATATCTATGCAACAACAACAACATGAGCCCATCATTGATACCCGATGTAAATACATTGCTCACATCAATAATCAAACATGGCAACATCGACATGCTCGAGCTATACCTCAACTCATCATACCGAGCCATGCCAACAGACATCGTGTTGGACAACCTTTACATTGCCATCGACACTGGAAACATACAGTTCGTGCGACTGTTGCTAAGCCAATTGACAATGTTCATCCATGAAGAAAGAGACAACAATGGAGACAAGATTATCAAGTTCAGACGACGAAGTATCAGTGTTGGCATGTTGAGAATGCTGCATGAGGAGTTCAAATGTCTCTATTCCCTCAAAGATCTGTGTAGGAGTGTACTGACACACTCAATCATTTGTAACCTGGCAGACAATGTTGAGTACATCATGAACAACATGCCAATGGAGTTGGACCATGGTATATTTAACTGGTACATCAACAAAGAAGAGGGGCTGGTTAAATGTGCCAAACATGGATACATCACAACGTTCAAAGCATTCGCCACGTCACCTGTTGGCGCCAAGTACCTCAGTAGAGAGGACATTACAAACATCATCATGGCCGCGTTCAACAATGGACAGGAAGAATTTATCAAATATCTCTACAAGCTTCATTTGGACAGTGGCCATAAAGCATTCAGAGGGCAGGCTATGGCAGTGTTTGGAGACCCCGCACGTCAAGCATGGTGAACCAAAAGTAAGAATGACTGCACGTTCGTCCATCTTCATAGGTGACCTTGGGATTGCCGATGCACTCATCTCACAAGGCCTACTTGATGAGTTGGATGAAGATCTTTGCAATGGGATGTCAGAGTCGATGGCACTCCACATCACGAGACCAAGACCGACGCCAGTCACCTTCAATGCACGTTCACTACTTAACATTGTCAAGGCGATAGGCTATCCTGGCAACAGCATTACCGAAGACATACTCAGCCAGTTCATTGACAACTGCTTTCCTGACACCTATGATAGAAGTGAGTCGAGGTTTGCCACCGAGGTATTAGTCCAAGCCGCTGGATTCTCGGCTAGAGCGATGCAGCTCATCCAAGCTAAGTTCAATCTCAGGTGCAGCTCCCAATGTCTTCTGCAGTCGATTAAGAAGAGATGTCACGGGACTATGAGGTTGATACTCGAACAGAATGGAAAGTGTCAACTTGATTACCCCTGCAACATAATGGTTTTTCAACTGATCTGCGATGGATCTCTCTCTCTCTCTCTCTTAGACAACTTGAACGATCGAGACAAGCAGTCTCGTGACCTACTTGACTGCGTATTGGCCAATGAGAATGTGGAAGTGCTTGATCATTTGGTGAACAACATAATTGATCTATCATCATTGGGTCAACCAAGATTGAAAAGAATGTTAAAGTTTGCTCTCATCAAGGACTTGGTTCACTATGTTCAATCATTTGTTGGAATGTTGGGAACAGACTGTCCATGGCCAGACACATCCACACTTGGCAAGATCGTTGAGTACAATGCCTATCACTCACTGGAGTACCTCCTCAACACACCAACATTCAACATAATGCCAACAATACAACGATTGCGAACCATATATTCGATCGTTGATCATGGTTATCAATATGGTGCTACCCGTGTGATCAAGTTATGCAATGATCAGATCGCAGCCATCACAATCAATCATCATCAAGGTCACCTTCAGCCGTAAGTTGAGACAAACTCACATTACTCAATCACTCAATCACTCACTCAATCATTCAATCAAACAGATTCCACCAAGATTATGACAAACCAAAGACAGGTCCTTGCTCACATGAGTTGGAGAGGGGGGTGCACGCTGTATTTGGTGACAGGAAGCTGGGTATGATCATCATAGAACATGTTAGATTGGTTCACAAGTCACTTGGTGTTGAGAGTGTGATCAAGGGTTCACATTTGATCGATAGACATTGTTTGAATGATTACATCAAGTATGGTGCGACAGAATGGTTCATCAAGGCTTACTCCACATCAACATCAGTATCCAACAATTACAACTTATCATTGTTGAGCATGGCATTGACCAAGTGTAACATACCAATCGTCGACGTACTTCATCCCAAAGATGGCATGCAACAATTATGATCAACAAATGGTCATGTCTTTCATTTGGAATCTGTCCAAATGCACTCATCCACAATGGGAGAGGATATTTGATCCATCCATTATTCATTCTCAAACTCATTCAATGTGGCGCCGGGTTCACGAACTTCACTCACATGTCAAAGTTGGTTGAGTCGATCGCCACGAGAGGATGGCTCACACAGCCTTGCTCACTGGATATGCTCAAACTCTTGGATCAAGAACACCAAATGACCTCAGGCTTCCAAGAGCAATTAATACTCAAGGCCATCGAGCTTGGCATCACCCCGGTCGTCCACTACTTTGTAGATCCGTGGGCAGCCAACCCAAACAGAAAGGTAGACATGGGCTCGAAAACGATCTTAACCTGCTGTTGCAAACATGGACGATTAGAGTACTTTGACATGATACTACCACATGTCCTAAATGGCTTGTTCGCAAACAGAAGTGATTATGAATATGATGATTGGAGCAGTGACAAGGGTATCAAACTCACAGGTCTAAGTGGATTGTTTTCAATTGCCATCATTCATGGACATCTGCACATTGCCAAGAGGTTACATCAACTCATGCGCAAGTACGAAGGGTTCAATACATTGGAGCACATAATATCATCAATCGACATGGCACTGATCTATGGCCATCTAGACATGGTCAACTTCATCCTTGGAATCAAACCATCTCGACAGCTTGATGAAACAACACTATGTCTGATTGATGATGTACACCCCAACATTCTATCAGTGGACTTGTTGAAGCGATTGATGGCACATCCCAACCTCAAGTGTAGATTTGCTAAAGTGTTGGGCGAGGCCATCATGATTGGTGACAAACAGATCAAGTGTGATGTAATCAAATGGTGGCAACAGACACATCATGGAATGATTGAAACAGACTATCGCTATGCACTGTCTTGTGCATTGGAGGTGTGTGACGTGTACATGATCCAATGGACAAAGATCAAACTATCAAAGACATTCCTGGACGATAGTGATTATGTGGTGTTGTTGAAGCATGTTGGAGTCAAGATCTCGGAGCAGGAGTTCTTAATGTTGGCCAGGGACGAGCGTAGGGGCATCTCTGACAATAATTATTTTGATTGTTTGATGAAGGCTGCTTCCATGTCACTCTCAGTGATCACATTGATCATAGACCACTTTAACACACCACACACCACAAATCACCCAAGTTGTTTTAGTGGTTGGTTTCGACATCCAGTTCGAAGATTGTCAATCAAAGATACCAAGGACATCATTGAAGTGATCATCAAGCGAGGTGACACTGACTCATTGGACTATTTGATCAAACTGCCATTGTGTAGGACACCCTTGATGAACATATTCAACCTCAATGACTTGGTCAACATTGAGCACGGCATTAAGATACTCAAGTATCTGATTGACTCGGGATATATCAACACTGACAAACTTCCACAATTGATCGACCATGCTTGTATCAATGGAGACTTGGAGATCATGCAGTTTGTACACAATCACGTGTGTACAGCCACACCAAAGTTGCAACTACGTCATCACCTTCCATCAATCAACGCAATCAAGCAAGCATGCTCCAAGAACCATCACAAAGTGATCAGATATCTTTTCGAAGGATATGGAGATGGTGACAGTCGTGATGAATCAGCATTCAATCGAGCCAACGCCAAGCTGGAGATGAAGCATATGCTCAATATACTTCAAACATACTCCCGCCAATGTGGCAACCTCAACATCATCGATATGTGCAATCGACTAATGGTAGTCAACAAGTCTGTTGGAATCATTGGTTTAAAGAGGCATATTAGTGATGATCATGATCATCACCATTCAGATTCCACCTCTGGATCTCACAAGGTAGCCAAGTTCAATCATTGACACAAGTTGGAATGACCCATAAATAATGAAGATGGTGGGCGGGGGGATGAAGGGGGGTAACTTCCCACCTCAATCAATCACTCTCTCAATCCACCATTCTTAAGTATATTCTCCTACACATACAATACAGATATATATATACAATAGAATGAGTAATATAAGTATTCACTCAGTATTTCATAATAGAGTGTTGTGTAGACTGATCTTTGTTCATGTCAGTGACATCCATAGACAATGGTGCAAGAATAATGAGGTTCCGGATGACGATAACATTCAATTCGAGAGAGCCATACCTCTGCCTCGTACGATAAAGGGTTCAAAGTTACAAGCCAATGGGAATCTAATAGAGATGATTAGATTCAATCATTCATCATTGTTCATCCAAACATTCGACAACAACGTTGTGGATCGACACAATCTAAACTTCCACTATCTCTTCTCGAGTGCAGCGCACTACAACAACATCACAGTGTTCAAACATCTCATCAAATACGTCAACGACAACAACAATAAGTTCAGTAGTGGCATAAAGATGATACTGGTTCAGGACTCCAATACACTTCAGGAACTGTGTAGACATGGCAATGTTGACATGCTCCAGGACTTCCTTGCATTGTCCCCATACTGTGAGCTGCCTGGCGAAATCCTGGACCGCCTCCCCGTCGCGGTAGACGCTGGCAACGAACAATTTGTCAGATTGTTTCTTAAGCGCTTCATACCAATCGAGCGCTCTTACAAACATCGTGTCAGTGTGGCCAAGTTCAGATCAAGATGTGGAGTGTCCATTGGCATGCTCAAGATTCTACATGAGGAGGCCAAGCTTCTTAATAATCATACGGCACTATTGAATCAAGTTCTCTATCACTCAACAAAGAACAACTCAATGGACAGTGTACAATATATTATGGATAATATTAGAGCGCCGTTGAGGTTAGACAGAAGTCTAAACCAGGTCATCACAAAGTCTCTTGTTCGTTGTGCAAAAGTTGGCAACATAGCAATGTTTGAAGCAATCATCAACGCGGACATATTGTCTCATTACCCTTTGAGGCATTTCATCAAAGAGATTCTGTATCCAGCATTGGACCATGGTCAAGAGTCATTCATCAAACACCTAGTCATTAACCATCGTAAAGCATTCAAAAACCATTACTTTAAATCATGGTTTAAGTGTATAGATTCATCCAACAACAACAATCAATCACAATCAATCGAGTTCTGCGTTGCCAACCTGGACAAAATCAAATTAAGCATGATCGTTTCTATGGCGATCCGTCTCGATGATAATTCAAGTGCAGAGAAACTACTATATTACCAAGAATTCAATGGCAATCTCTTCCGAAAGATGTCCAAGTCGATGGCTGAGCTGATCACAGGTCCCAGACCGCATGGGAAAAATCCCTATGTATTCGATGTATCATCAATCTTACACATGATCGAGGCCATCGGACAGTCGAGAAGCACCATCACCCCAGATATGGTCTGTCAGTACATAGAGAATTGCTACATAATCACCAACAATGAATACGATCAGGAGGACGAGGTGGATAAGCCTTGTCGGTTGATGTGGGCCGCTGCGGCACACTCAGCCAAGTTGATGCAACTTCTCCACACTCGGTACAAACTAGACTACGATGCAGGTAGTCTAGAGGTAGCCTTGGAAAAGAGATGTAGAGAGACAATATCATTACTATTCCAACAAGATGTTCACAACTATAACATTGGCAATCAACGGATCATCAATGGTCTACATAGTTTAATGGCCAAAGGATCGTTGGAGGATGTGGTCTACGTCCTGGACCAATTGACTTGGGTCAGTTATGATTGGCCAGAGATCTTGGTGAGTGCTTTGCTCAATGATGACATCAAGGTGTTTGAATACACCATCAAGATGTTCACAATTGATCAACTGGATGACACACTACTCAGCACTGTGGTCGACTTGGTTCTCCGTCGCGATTGGCTTCACATTTTCAAGATGCTAGTTCAACGATGTGATGATGAAGAAGATGTGTCGTTTTCCAATAGAGTAATGGCAATAGCACATTCTTATAATCTTAGTAAGCTGGCGCGAAGTAATTCATATCAATCATTGGAGTACCTCTTCAACAACTTCCCAACACCAACTACCATGTCACAACAATTGTCTAGTTGTCACTCAATCATGTATCACGCATATCAGAGTGTAACAACTCGAGTGATCAAATTGTGCACTGATAAGATAAATGCTATCAATCAATCAATCAATCAATCAATAAATTGATCAGGAACATAATTGATTGACATTGGCATCCAACTAGGAAGGGTAACTTCCCGGGTCAATCAATGTTTAAATCATTCTACGTTTCATTCATTCTTACACTCATACAACATTCAACATATACAAATAACAAAAGTGAGTATCAGTGCCATTGCATTAATCAATCAATCAAACTAAATAAAGTAACTATGTATCTCTATCTCTATCTCTATCTCTATCTCTTTCTCTTGTCTTGACTGGTCAAATCAAATCACTTCCTATTTTGGACATTGATGATACGACTTTCGGAATCAGATTTGCGTAACTAACCCAGATATTTATTTGATGGCCTCCGTGGGTACCAAGCACGGTTCTTTGCCTCGTTCAATTTCCAAAATGGTTATACCTGAAAGGCGTCTACTTCTTTGCAGCTATTACTTCTTACCCTTGAACACTACTCATACAAAGAAAGATATAACTCTATATTAATATGTCATACTACAACAGATCACAACTTTTGATCATCTTAGTGATCTCAATACTTGGAGTATCAGTAACTCAGAGCACCAACCCAACTCCATGCCCATGTACCAATGCTACACTTTGCGAGCCACTCAACATAGGACCACGCAAGGAGTTTCTAGGTTTCTCAGTCAGTGCAGTTAATTGGGACAACTATGATATGTCTATTCTGACTACCATTGTCAAGTTTGGCGACGATCCCATTCCAGAGATGATGTGCGAGGCTCATGCTTCAGGAGTCCGTGTCACCAATGGTGTAGACTATCCAGCCAATCAGCTAACCAACGAAACTTACAAAGCTGATTGGATCGCTGAGCAGATCAGCAGTGTGCAAGCTAGCTTCTACGATGGAATCAACATCGACTTTGAATCACAGATCCCAAAGACAGATCCATTCATGGCTGCCCTGCTCACAGCATTGGTCACCGACGTCACACTTGCTTTTAAGAACATCAATCAGGGATACCAGATCTCGATGGACGTTCCAGCCGCGCCCTTCTGTTACTCCAATCGCTGTTTCAACTACAATGCTCTGGGACAGGCTCTCGATTTGATGGTCATCATGGATTATGATATGAATGGCAATGGAATTGCTGGCGCCAACTCGGACCTGCCAGGCGTGATCTCTGGCGCGGGTGAATACCTTAGCATCGATGTACCAGCTGAGAAGTTGGTGATGGCATTCCCATGGTACGGCTACAACTATCACTGCAATGGAGACATTTCTTTGGATACCCGTGACTGTCTCTATGACCCATCACAACGCTGGAACTCATCGATGATCTTTGACATGTGCTACAACCAGATAATGACACTGTTCGACTCGACGACCAATGGTGGCGTGCAATGGGACGAAGTGACCCAGACACCTTTCTTTAACTTTGTTGGCAACGACACAATTGTCCGACAGATGTGGTTCGACAACGCCAAGTCCACATACGCCAAAGTTGCCAGTGCCAAGAGTTTGGGTGTTGGCGGTGTCGGTGTTTGGTACCTGGACTGCGTAGACATTGCTACTCAGTCTGATATGTGGCAATCTATACAATCATTCTTTAATTAATTAAATATCAATTGATTACACATTGCGATAATCTTTAGATCTCCTGATCGGTGTGCATAGTTCCAAACAGTGCTTAGCATTGATGTCATGTCCAAACTCACTTGTGATCGATGGAATGGTGAGTCGACTCCTCGACCATTGTCACCATCAAATAGATAGTTGAGCAACTTGTGATGGTTGTTACTTGATGCCTCTTGGATGCTGGTCATTGATGGAAGGTATCGATGGAGCTGTGATGGTATGGAGCATCGCTGATGTACAAGTTTGATGATGTCCACATGTCCATTGATACAAGCCCAATCCATCAAGCTGGTCAGTATTGATGACTTGTCATCAATACTGATATATCGTTTGTCAAAGAGGTGCTCAAGTACTGATGCATTGCAGTGCTCCAAGTTGATCAATTCGGGCAAATGTCTAACAGGTATAAGTTCTTGATTGATAAGATAGTCGAGTGATTCGGTATCGCCTCGCTTGATAATGATCTCAATCACTGGCTTCCAATCATTGAGGAGGATACCAGGTATTGATGTGATATTGAGGTGATTGACCATCATCATAAAGAATGGTGGGGTCTTTCTTGCTGAGCTCTGTAGTATACTTGTGACCTCCCATGGAGACAGCTTCTTCTGATCCAACAGCTCGATGATTACCTCTTCTGTCACCTTGTTATCTTGTCGACCTAATTGATTGATCATTGAACATATGTTCCCAGTTGATGGCTTGACTATGGGCATCGCGACAATGATCCTTCTCAAAGTGTCAAGATCACATACTTCAACTGCAGTGTCGAGGGCTCTGTAGTAATCTGGATTTACGTGGCGATACTTGTAGTCGATGCACATGTCAATCACTTCTTTGTTTCTCCATTTGATTGCTTCTATCAACACATTGGACAACTCGCACTTGAGGAAAGGTAATGCCATCAATCGTTTGATCAGGTTGATGGATAGTATGCTGTGATGAATATCCTGGATGGTCAATGGCACCATATGCTCTGATGAATCCGAGTTGGAGTTGGTGAATAAGGCAATAACATTGAGTATGTATTCAAACACTTCCATGTGTCCATTGGCCAATGCTCCCTGGAGTGAGCACATGGCACTAATCTGGAATGCCTGATCACACCTGTTGAGTTCGAATGTTTGTAATCTTTGCATTATGTCAAGATGTCCATTCTTGGCCGCATGTTTGAATGACCATTCCAGTCGAACACCTTGTCCACCAGGCATCGGATCATCTAAGACACATGAGAATGAGGCGATAGGGAGCAGTGGAAGTATCATGTCCAGACACTCCATTCTCCCATGTATGCAACAATAATCAACTATCTCTTGCGCTCTTGTATCGTCAGACATCAAAGTTTGGAGCATGTTTGTGTTGAGGTAATACCTGACGATTGACGTCTTGTCCTGCTCAATCGCTTGAACAAGGATTTGATGTTGTTCATCTGTGCCCACAAGTTTGTGTTGGGCAAGTAGTTGGAACATATCCGATGCCCATGGCCTGCTGACCCACTCTCGGACCGCGTCCATGTCCTTGAAGTAATAGTTTGTAAGTTTGGCACCACATTGAATGAGTTTGCGAAGGAATGATGGATGCTGTACCAACTGCAATGTTTGTTGACTGATCTTGAGTGGTGCACCTTGACTTGTAATCATTGTATATTGATCAAACATCCACTCCCATTGTGGATGTGAACATGATGATATTTCCTTTACAAATTGTTCAGTGACCATTGGCCTGGGTTCGAGGCACATCCTTGTATTGTCCAACAATACATCAATCACTATTTTGTTACATTTGCTAAAGGCCAACTCCAACAATGATGTGTTCTGGCAATGTTCAACAGAGGCATTGGCCTTGATAAACCATTCAGTCGCACCATAATTGATGTAATCAGCCAAACTATGATTGTCGATCAACTGTGAACCCTTGATCACTTGATCACTCTCATAACCAAGTGACTTGTGGACCAATCCAACATGTTCCATGATGAGCATTCCAAGCTTCCTGTCACCAAGCACCGAGTGAACCGCTGTCTCCAACTCATGTGAGCATTGATGTGTCTTTGGTTTGTCTTGATCATAGTTGAGTCTGTTTGATTGAGCTAATGTGAGTTAATGAATGAGCGAAAAAGTGATGATGAGTTGGTCAACATACGATTGGATATGATTGATTGTGATGGCCGTGATCTGATCGGTGCACAGCTTGATCACATGTGTTGCTCCAAAGTGATAACCTTTGTCCATGATTGAGTGGATTGTTCTCAGTCGATGTTCGATTGGCATTTGGCTGAATGTTGATGTGTTGAAGTGGTACTCCAGTGAGTGATAGGCATTGGATTCGACCATACTATGTAGTACATTCAATGATGGTATGAACAATGGCATCGACGGATCTAGTCCAAAGTGTTGTTGAAGTGTCTTGACGTAGTGGGGCTTGTCCCTAATGTGTGCCAACTCCACAATTTGATCCAACATGTCACTCTCATTGCTGTTTATCTTATCGATCGTGAACAATGCTATCAAATGCTCAAACACTCGAGGGTCTTCATTGAGCACTGCCTTCAAACATATCTCTGGGTCACGCTTGACATGGTCCAGATGACCGAGCATGAAGATGATGTCCTCCAACGCACCGACCGAGACAAACTTGATGGCGGACTCCTTGATACATCGATATTTGAGATGTTGTGAACTAATTGGTTTAAAGAGCAAGGCCATTGTCTCGCGACACTTCCACCGCAGCGCCTCCATGAGGCATGGAATATCATACTTTGATTTGAATCGTTGATTGATCAGAGTCATGATTTTGGCTGAGAAGCCAGCGGCATAGTCCAGCGTGCCAGATATGGAGAGGGTCAACTTGTACCGGAGGTTGACAATGAACTGGCACACCAAGTCCTCAGTGATGTTGGTGCCTGGCTTGACCACAGCCCTGATCATGTTGATTAATGACTGACCAGTGTACACCAACGGGTGCGCTGTAGAGGGCGGGCCGCATATGAGTGTCGCCATCTCTTTGGACATCTGGTTGCATGTCTTGGCGTCCAACTCGACCGACTGATCATTGAACGACCCGTCACTCATACTCGCCAAGTCATTGGTACGAATGGCTGCCAATGGTGTTCTCAACTCCAAGCAGTGGCGAATGAAATCTCGAGATACCTCGTTGTCAACATGCTGGTTGAGATACCTGAGGAATGACTCCTGACCATGATCGCACGCCTCAGTGATTATGCCGGTGATATCATTCGACTTGAGGTTGAACTGGGACTTGATGGCGAGATACTGGAACATGTTGGAGTTTCCTTTCTTGGCGCAACGTCTGAGACACTTTGAGATGAGGGCGTTTGTCATCTCGGGCAACACGTGCACGGGCATGTTGTCCAAGATGTATTGTACACAGTCCAACATGCTACACTTGACCGCGTATTTGAGTGCCGCAAGCCAAAGCACCGGGATCCTGAACAGGCAGTTGAACTCCTTGTGTAGCACTGCGAGCATGTCAACATTGACTGCTGCGCGAGATGTTCTGAACCCTGCATATCTGGCAAACTTGATACTCTCTTCATCGATTACAATATGTTGTAGTAGTAGACGTACAAACTGGATGTTGCCAGTGTCAACTGCCTTGTATAGATTGATCAATGTGTCGGGAGGCAACATGTGGTGGGCAGTGGCGGCGAGGAAGTGTCGTAGCATGTCAACATTGCCATGCTTACACAATGCACTTGTAAGTTGTTGATTGATATCATATTGTATGTTGTTTAGTGAACATAAATGATTGAATACTACTATATTATTATTCTCAATGGCACTTAATAACAGTAACTTGTTGTTATTGTTGTTGATGTATGAATGAGAGTTGAATGACTTGATAAACATGTCTGTGGCATTGAATTGTAACATCTCTGTTAGCAAGCCATTAGCATGTAACATTGCTCCTTTGATTACTCTAGGTTGGATATGTTTGTAGTCTTCTGTGCACCTTGATGTTGATGTTGATGTTGCTGGACCGTACCATCGTCTATGAATGTCATTGATGTGTTCTAATATGATCCTACATAACAGTTTATTATGGAATACTAAATGTATACTACTGTTGTTATTATTATTACTACTATTCATTATGTATATCAATGAATGATTGAATCAATGACAACAAGTTGCAAATGAAGTCTAGACTTGTGTTTTCAGTGTAACCACATGTGGCAACACAGAAACAAAACGGAAACAGACGGAAACTCACGATAACACGAGGTAACAGACGGAAAAACGAAGGACCGGATTCCATTGAGACTTCAATCGGTGAGGGTTGACAACTTAAGTTTGTTAAATATTTAATTTTACAAATAGTGGTAAAAGAGAACAGAATAAACTAACTCTCTATTCACTTGTCTTCCATTCCAACACAACTCTTATTATCTCTTCACTTATCTGTACATACTTCCCTTTCGAACCTATCGCATAGTATATCTACACATAATGGAAGACGATCCCCAAACAACCTCAACAACGTCAACAACGTCAGCATCTGTGTCATCAACAGTACCATCTTCAACTGCGACTCCAGACTACGTTAGAACATGGCTTCAACAACACCTCTTCACTGGAGACACACCCCCAACACATTAAATATCGTGACCTCGCAAATATATTGTATGAACAGGAGATTGGCGGAGAATACCTGTTCCAACTGACGAGAGAACAACTCATGGGCGCACCCTATTCTCTCACTGATGGCTCTGCAAGAGCATACAACAGCGCATTACAATTTTGGGTAGAGCTTGATCTGGGGTGCGAACGTTATGAGTTCCTCAATGGAGTGGACGACGAGAGTTGCCTCAAAGGTTTGCTTGAGCTGAGTGAGAATGAGACGGTAGAGTGAAGTACAGATGATGGAGATCCATTGAGATGTAGAAGACGCAGAGGTACCACGATATGGGCACAGATCCAGATTGATGGAGTGTTTCATCTTGAGTGATGTGAGGGCTCTTTTGATATCCTCCATGCTGATACCCTTGAAATAGTCATCCTTTGATACCTTCTCTTCAAACAAGCGCTCGTCGAAATGGCCTTGGCTCAGCGCTCTGATGAAGTTATAGCCCATGAAAGACTTCCCTGACCCCCCCATCTGTGCGGATATCATACAATAAATGTATCTGTTTCTGTAACTGTAGTAGTACTCCAATTAGCATTGGAAAAATGTCATCTTGTTAAGATTCAAATGTGAAGTGTCTGTAGTGTTGGTCGTACGAATGACTCAATGTCGCCATCCCCAAGTCCTCGTCCAATTCCAAGACCAACACCAGGTTGTTGTTGAAGTGTTTTGAATGAGAGCTTGATTGATAGTAACTTGAGGATGGTCGTGTCTTTGTGTGGCATTAGTTGCTCTAGTGTACTGATCGCATGTTCAAACACCCTAGCGTCTGGATTGAACTTTGCATACCTAATAATACCTGTGTCGTTGTCTGGGTCAAAGCTCAACATCATTCAATAGCTTCAAAAAGTATGTTATCCAGCTCCGAAACACGGAAACTTGGATACACCCCACATGGAAACAAATGGAAACACGCGGTAACACACGGAAACAGACGGTAACACGAGGAGAAATTGTATTTATATCTTGTTCAATCTATCGCACATTTCAATGATCTTGATGTTAACCGTGCCGTGGCAGGCAAAGGACCGGATTGCATTGAGTATGGTTGTCATGTGGAGATCAACATTTGCTCGGCTGAAGGGAGTGACTTTAGATTCGAACAGGTATCTGATCACCCTGTGATTGTTCCGTTCTGATGCGATCAAAATATCATGGATCGATGGAAGATGTCTTTTGAGTTGCTGGGGAGTGACGCATCGTTGATGAATGATTTGGATGATGTCCAATCTTTCCTCGCGACAAGACCAGTCCACAAGTTTCTGCACCAGTTCACACTTTTGATCATCTACACTGATGTATCCCTTGTCCAGTAGATGTTCCAATATCAATATATTACAGTTCTCCAAGTTGATAAGGTCTTTGATCTTGTGTATCTTTTCTCCACTCATGTCTCTATTCTCGCGAGCCATGGCAGTAGCAGTGAAAGCTAACTGGATCATAAAATCGGTGGACTCTACATCGCCTCGCCCAACACAGACATCAATGATGTCCTTGAACTGTGATGTGTACATGTCATAAACAGTGGATGTGGTACCATTGTGCTTGATGAAGTGTTGACTGGCAATCAACTTGATGAATGAGAGTGATATCGATGCAGCCTTTGACAGGGTCAATGATAGCTCAAACAATCCCATGGAGCATTGCCGACCTGTCGTGCTCTTGATCATATCAAACAACTCGCCGATCGACTTCTCTGTCACATCTGTGTTGTTGTTGTTGCCTCGAGACACAACATGATCCATCAACCTACAAAGGTAGCAGAATTCAAAAACCATCAACGGGTCCCAGTCCAACTCATCCGCCCTTGTAACATACTTCTTGATTGACTCGATGTCACAACGTTCCAGTGCCAACATAAGTGCTCTCTGATCATCTGTCATGTCATCGTGATCATAACTCCCACCATCTCGATCTTGGTCAAGATAAAATGAATCCAGTGAGTCACTGGGATTCATCACGGCATGATTATTCGGGATGCGTGAGAGTATCATATCCAAATACTCTACACGTCCATGAAGACAACATGTTGAGAGAATTGATTGAATGGACGAGGTATCAACGGCCTCCATCCAATGTCTGAGTGACGCGTCAAAGAAATGCTTGACCACAGGTGTGATGCCATGCTCGATGGCTTCGCGACAAAGAAGGAAGTTGAAGTGAGAAGACGTGACCCTGTGTTGGTCGAGTAGTCGAAGCATCTCCATCGCCCAAGGTTTGAAGAGCCATGCCTGGACCATTACCTTGACAATCTCATTGTGATTGAATTGGTATGATGCCAGCTTGACTCCACACTCGATGAGCTTGTGCATGAATGATGGATGTTGGACTTTTGAAACCAAGTCTTGTTTGAGTGTGAATGGTGCAGATTGGAATGTGATCATGATGTACTGATCAAACATCCACTCCCACTCTGGGTGACTACACGACGATACATTCACTACGAATGTATCACTGATCAGATCCACTCCGTCACCAACTGGAAGTGTCATTATGGGATTGTCCAGAAGTACTTTGATCACTCTATAACTACACTGGTCGAATGCCATCTGTAGCAATGATGTGTTTGTATATGTACTATCACCAAACTCAATCGTGGAGTAGGCCTGGATGAACCATTCAGTCGCACCATATTTGATGTAATCATACAGACAATGATTGTCGATCAGTTGTGCACCCTTGATCACATGATCACTCTCAACACCAAGTGACTTGTGTACCAGTCCAACATTCTCCATGATGAGCATTCCAAGTTTCCAGTTTCTAAACACAGAGTGCACGGCTATCTCCATCTGGTGTGAGCATGGACGATTGTGGAGGAGTCTGTTTGATTGATTGATTGAGTCAGAGAGTCAGTGAGCGAGTAATTGAGTAATTGAGTGATTGAATGATTGACAATTACACATCCTTTGAATGATTGACTTGTATTGTGATTGAATTGATATGCTCTGTACATAGTTTGATCACACGAGTCGCTCCACACTCATATCCAATATTCATGATTGAGTAGAGGGTTCGTATTCGATGTTTGGATGGCATGTTGATGAATGTAGGTCTCTCGAAGTAGTACTCCAATGAGTGATATGCATTGGAATGTGCCATCTTGTGAAGTGTCTGTAATGTTGGTCGTACGAATGACTCAATGTCGCCATCCCCAAGTCCAAGTCCGAGTACTCGTCCAAGACCAAGATCAGGATGTTGTTGAAGTACCTTTACAATGTTGGGTAACATGTTTTGAATGAGTGCGTGATTGATTATATACCTGAGGATAGTCGTGTCATTGTTTGGCATCAGTTGTTCTCGTGTGAACATACTGATCACATGTTCAAACACCTTTGCGTCGGGATTGCACATTGCATGCTGGCAGATGGCTGTATCGCGTCTGACCAACTCTAATCCTTCCAGCATGAAAATGATGTCTGTCAATGATCCATCGGCAACAAACTCGTAGGCATCGCTTATTATCGATTGTCTAAGATCGTATTCTTGATCCACATCAAGTTGATTATATATCAATGCCAACGTCTCGCCACATCTCATCTTCATCGCCTTTGACAAGCAATATGATGTGTACTCTTGATGGAATGGTCGTTCATGAAGCAATCGCATCACTTTGGCTGAGCAGCATGCGGCCACCTCCATCACACCGTCCAGCCTTTCAAGTTGCACATGATTGCAGTTGACCAAGAACTGACATACGATGTCCTCGGTTATGTTGCTGCGAGGCTGGCCAATGGCTCTGATCATCGAGAATATGGATTCAGGTGCGAATGACAAGGGTGTCGTACGTGGACTACTGATGAGTGTAGCCATCGCCCTTGACATCCTTTGACAAGTCTTGAGATCCAGTCTAACAATAATACTCTCCTCAAAATATTGGTCGCAAGGTGGGGGTGTCTCCATTGCCGCGAGATCATCTGTACGTATGGCGACCAGGGGTGTGGCCTTGGACAAGATCATGGACGTATATATGTTGCTGATGAATGAATCCTGACCATGATCCAGTGCCACTTTGATTATATAGTCGCTGAGATACTCGATGTAGCGGTCATGTGACTTGGTGAGCAACCTGAACATGTTGATGTTGCCAGTCTTGGCGCAATGTTTTAACAACTTTGAGATTTCATATGTCTCCATATCACGATTCATGTTGTCCATGATGTACTGTACACTGTCCAACTTGTTGCACTTGACCGAGTGCTTGAGTATGCCTTGCCATATTGATAGATTAAATTGTATGCTGAACTCCCTGTGCAGCATCCTGATCATGTCAACATCGACTCCACTTCGATTGAAAGTGTATCTGTTTATAAAATTGTCCATTAGATTGTACTCCTCCTCTTCGTCATTGACAACAACAACAGTGAGCAGTAGACGCATGAATTGTACGTCTCCCATATCAATTAGAGGGTTGAGGTCACGCAGGGATAAGATTGGCAAGGAGCGGTAGGCCATCACCTTGAGATATTGTTGAAGTATATCGTAGTTGCCATGTTTAGTCATACCAGGATACAAATGATATACATCTGGACACATGTTTGGATGTCTACATAGATGTTCAAACACCTTTGTATTGCCATGTAGTATAGCGTTCGACAACAAACTAAAGTTTGTTGGGTAGTTTGAGTTTGAAGCAATTGTTATTGTGTCTAATGTCTTGATGAACATTTCAGTGGCATTATATCGTAACATCTCTGTTAATAATCCATTAGCATATAGTTTGACACCTTTGATAGTAGACTTGATTTTGATCATTGATGTGTTGGTATCATCACCATCTCGCATCCCCAACGACAAACTGATCAATTGTCTATGTATATCACTGACGTGATTAAATATTAGTCTACACAACAATGTATTGTGGAACACATGGTGTATACTACTTTTGTTGTTATTATTCATTAATTGTATATCTATCTATGAGTGAAGGAAAGATAGTAGAATGAAAGGACTCATCAATGATTGAGGGAGGGAACTTTCCAAAACTCAATTTCTTAATTTATGGGATTCACCAATCTCATTCAAACAGTGAACAGGTCCATTCACTTCATTTGAGTAGTAATAATACCAAAACATATACATATACATACATATATAATGATCAGCAACAGCAATAACAATAGGATATCACTTCAACCATTACAGTCACCATTCAAACGAGCAAATATCAAACAGTCTGATCAGACGACTGCAGTCGCCTCCTCATCATCACCTTTGTCAACTTCACATCATGTCTCAAGTCCAATCATATCTTCATCTCCATCTCCAACTCCATCGACGACAACAACAACAACACCTACAATATCAACATCATCAATAGCACAAACATCAACAACAACAACGACAACGACATCAACATCAACGACACCTTTTGCCAGCTCATCATTAAGACATGATAGTAGTCAAGAGACAACCACCATTCGAAACAGCAATAGTAAAAGCAGTAGTAGTAGTGGATACAACAACAACAACAACAACAACAATAGTAGTATTGATCATATTATCAACAAGTTCAGCGCAACTGTATTGTTATCTGATGATGAAGATGACGACGATGAGGATGACAATGACGATGAAGATGATGATGGCCCCGAGCAAAAATCAACAGGATTCAAGATCAGTCTGAATGACATCATCCTTGATGATGAGAATGAGGAAGATGAGGATGTTGACAATGAAGTCGATGATGATGAGGAAGACGATGAAGAGTATGATGATGAGGATGATGAGGATGGAACACAAGAAGAAGAGCAAGACAATGATGACCAAGAATCTGCGACAAGTCGCGACAAAGACAAAAAAGTACGCGTACCAGCCAAGCCAGTATCCCTGGACGCCTTTGAGACTGATATGTTGGTTAATCACATGCGCAGAACAATCAATCGCTCAACAAAGGTATGAATGAATGGATGAGTGATCATCGATGGAACTATCCCCTAACCAAATCAATCAATCAATCAACTTAGATGTCACTGGATAATATGACCGAACAACTAAATAACAAGATGCGCAGTCTCAAGCTTCAGAGCGAGAGCGAGAAGCGACGTGTGATCAAAGAGCACTCAAACAAGGTGATACAGAGATACAAGAAGTTGGAGAGTGATGAGCGTAACAATCAAAAGACGATACTTGAGAAGAGTTTGGGTACACTGCGGTCACAACACGAGAAGTTACAACAAGACACACGAACTACAATCAAGTTACACGAGGAACAGAAGTTGGATGAGCTTAGAGCCTTGGAAGAGCGTGAGCGACTGCGCAAGGCACAAGAGGAGAAGGAGCGCAAGAGGCGAGAGGATGAGGAACGCGAGCGCCAGAGACTGGCCGCCGAGGCAGAGAAAGAGCGCAAGAGGAAGGAGGCTGAGGAACGAGAGCGTCTTCAAAGGGAGGCCGAGGAGCAGGATCGACTGCGACGCGAGGCCGAGGAACAGGAGCGCAAGAAGAAGGAGGCCGAGGAGCAACGCATCAAACAAGAGGAGGAGGCGCAGCAGGCCAAGAAGAAACAGCAGGAAGAGGAGGAGCAGCAGGCAAGGAAACGTCTGGAGGAGCAACAACAGAAGAAGAAGAATGAGGAGCAGGCCATGGCTCAACCGCAGCCAGTCAGCCAACCTGGCGGCAGGATGCCATTGATCGAGTCAAGCATGTACATTGGCTCAGTGAGTGCGTATCAAGAGTTCACGCAAAGAATGAAGGCCCTGGAGGAGCTGAGCGCGATGGTCAAGCAGGGCACAAGCATGTCGAATGCCCAACAGCAGGCGATCCTGAGCAACATTGACAAGCGCGTCAATATGCTGTTCAACCAGCTCTCGTCAGACGCACAACAGATCCAGGACAAGAGCCGCGAGCTCGCAGGCATGCTCACCGAGTTCAAGGCAAACAATCAACTGGCGTATGGTCACACTATGCTGGCGATCTCGCGCAAGGCCATGGCGCAGGTCGAGGCGCAGATCGAGTCGCACAACGAGTCTGCCTACCCCTACGCCTACATGCTGGCCAAGGTGAGCGCGGTGCACGCCGACCTCATGCCCATCGTGTTGGCGCACCTGCACCACGAGTGCATCTACACCGTGCCCATGTACATCGCACACAGCAAGGAGGAGGGCATGGACGCCTACAAACGGAAGGCGGGCTACAAGCAGGACATCAATGGACTGCTGGAGCTCGACGAGCAGTACAACAGTAGGATGTTTGGATATCTCTGCCTGTACACGGCGCTCATGGTGGCGCCAGACACACAGTCCCAGTCGCTGTTTGGGCTGGATCAGGGCTGGAAGTGGATCGCGCGTCTGGCCAACATGAAACTGCGACGCATTACCGCGGGACTAGTATTACGATTCCTTCGCATCGCCGGCGCTCTCCTGCTCAAGCGCTACAAGGATCAGTTCGCCAAGGTGCTCTACGCTATTGCCAGCAAGGACTTCCTCGACAAAATGTCTGAGGAGGCTGGCGCCGTCGCTGACAAAAAGAATCTCAAGCAACTCTTGGACACATTCTTCAAGTCAAAGAACATTGTGCGATTGGCTGGTTATGACATCAACTGAACTTATGATTGATTGATCAACTCAACTCAACTCAGCTCAGCTCAGTCCAACTCGACACACAATCAATGAATCAACTCCAATAATACCAACATGTACATAACACATCTTTCAAGGTCTATCACATCATACCAACTTCCAGTCAGCAGGGTTCATCCCCTCCCCTCCCCTCCCCTTCCCCATCTTCATCAATCCAAAGAAGTTATCCGTTCACCATGAATGGACGACCCAACAAACACAAGGCCTCGACCTTGTGCTAAATATGCCACACGCTCAATGGCTGATCGCTCAATGGATCAACCGTTTCCCGACCGTCATACATTCCGAACACCCTCAGACATATACAAGAACATACATACTCGATCACTCGTCATCACTTTGCGGGGCCGGTCGGTCCGTCCGTCCGTCTATTCAACCGCGAGACTATATTTGCAAACGAGCCTTCATCCATGCACACAGCCCCAATCTTCTGGCCCTGGCCCCTCCTCATCCTCTATTATTACTTATATCGCTCACATAGTGACAACGATGAGAAAACTCAATCAACCCATGAGAGAAGTATATAAATGCCACTCGATCGACTATTATTAGGCTGTTGCCTAAACAGGGCCTATTTTCGGCTTTGATCACTTCCACCTTTAGTATTTGTCGTGTGTGAAAAGTTTTTCAAAGTTGCATTTGATACACTTTTTGGATCGCCAATGGTCCTTGCATCGTTGTCGCACGCAAAGGTAAGGTATCTTTGTCAAGACTTGAACATGAGGAGGGATGAGAAGAATCTAACAATGACCTTTCCATGGATGAATGAATGAATTAACTTATGAATGTATGTATGTTTGGAAAGGACATTCAATCCAAATGAAGCAAATTGGAGTTGGCCAACTCAAGTGAGCCACGCCCCCATTATCCAACAACTTTGTTATATTTTTGTAAACACTAAACAAACAGTTAGTCAACTAAGTATTGATAGTGTTGTCATTGACAGGTATTTAAATATAGGCTATCCACCATCTTTCAAACCTGGGTCTAACAATCATTATATCATTTACAATTCAAGTCATATCATTCAATACCATTAATTTATTTTATTTATTCAATCAATCATCATATTCACTCATACATTCATTCATTCAATCAATCATACTTTAATAATATTAATCTATACTTGGTAAGTTAACATAATTGAGTTTGACATAAATCTTGTTTGGGAATTTTGAACTTTTGACAACCAATCAAAGCCATCAACCCATGATCACATTAATGATCACTCAATCACACTTGTTTGTGTCTTATCAAACGTATCCAGCCATTATCGCTCAATAAGCAATGAGACACTTCATCAACTTTTGTAGAACGCAGGGCGTGTCACTTTGTAAAAAAAAAAATCTGACTCATTGTAGTGTGTGGGAAAGATCTTGCCTTTACTCGCGAGCATCTAGGCCCTTGGGGTCAAGATTCAATTTTTTGAAATGATTTTTGGACAACAACACCTGCCCCATTCAGCAACCCTGCTGTCGATGAAACCATCGATGGATGGTTGATGATGCGCCAACCCATACTAGTAGTTTGTTTGTTGTTTGTTGGTTGTTGTCCCTCAATAATATATATAAATCATAGATACATCTCGTCACATATTTCATTCATTCATTCATTTAGTCAAGTCTCTCAATCATTCAATCAATCAATCAATCAATATCACACTCGCGACTAGTCTGACAAGCCAAACTTCAACACAATCTCATTCATTCGTCGCATACTCACTCACTCACTCGCTCGCTCGCTCGATAGTTGTACAATTACTTACACGTCATTGACGACAGTATCATCATCAACAACAACCACAACACATTGACTTCACTTTACACTTGCAGTCAACTAGTACCAAGACACATAGATATATAACACAGACACAAACATTGACATTGACATCGATCGACATTGACACATATATAGATACAGAAGATGGATGCACTATCAACATCTGGAAGTAACAATGCTAATATTAGCAGTGCCAAACCAATGTTGTTTAGGAATATATTCATATCATTGGATCCTCAGTTCTCTTATACATTGATGGATTACTTTTGTCGAGGCTCACCACAAAAGACATCACAACTGTTTGGTTCACTGATAGCCTTGGTGGATGATCACTTCATGGAACAATTGCGTATATATATTAGAGTAAACATGCCTGCCAATCAAAGGATGTCCTCTTCCTCCAACATTAACAACAATGATGACTCAACATCATTCCAAAGCTTCAAAAAGTATGTTGTCCCGCTCGGAAACACGGAAACACCACGTGGAAATACACGGAAACACGCAGAAACACACGGAAACAAAGAACGGAAACACTAACACATTGACCCACAACTACTCGCTCAAACATATAGCATCATCAATCTTATGGTGTCTAACTATTTAAAGATCAACTCTACACAGTCGATGGAGTCCCTATTGACATCACAACTACAGGTGCTGGCTGCAAACATCCAGCAATACTGCTTAAACACAAGCGCATCATCATTGGAAAGCCTCGTAGGCAACAACTACAACAATAACAGCAGCAGTGGAGATCTGGCACAGTCGGGAACATACACAGGTGGCCGCTCACTCAATGAGAGCAGCAGCAGCAGCGGCAGCGTCCGCGTCACCAGCTACAGCGAGGAGCTGGTGCAGTTTGCCACGTCGATCGTCAGCGCCGTGTGCAAGTCGCACGACAAGTTCACGCCACACACCTACCAGGTGCTGCAGGTACTGTACAACGAGACCAAGGCGCTGGGCGCCGAGTTCAGCGTCGAGCTGATCAAGCGCATCTTCTTTGTCAAGCTCGTTTGTCCAGTGCTGGAGAACCTCGTCCCCTCATCACTATCGTCGCCACTCACCAAGCGCGTCTACGCTCAAATGTCCAAGATCATCGAGGAGATCATCTTGACCAAGGAGGTCGTGGCCACGCCCGTCCTCAGCAGCAGTCCAGGACTTCGTGGACTCAGCGGCAATCTCAACAACAACAGCAACAGCTACAACAGTGGTGGCAGTGGCGGTAGTGGAAGTAACAGCAACAGTTACCTCAACAGCGCCACTGGCAGCAATGCCAGCAGCACCATTCGCTTCGACTCATTGCCAATCGCCAACCAGATCACAGAGTTCATTGCGACGTTGGTCAGCCCAATGATCAGACGCACGGTCAGCAGCGCCAACGTGGCCCTGACGCTCAAGTCGTCGGTCAACAAGGACGAAGCATTGGCCTACTTCATACACTATCTCAAGACCGAGTCATTGATGCTCGACGACCTGTTCAAACGCGCCAAGGACATGGGTCCACAGGGCGAGCGCAACTTCTATCTGTATGGCATCTTCAAGGAGCTGCTCAATGGCATCAAGTCCATCTCGATGGGCATTGGCCTGGGTGGCGTCATGCGCTCAAGTCTGACGATACCGGGCGAGAGCACTGCCCACTTGCGATCAAACAGCAGCCACGGACACAGCCACAGCAGCCACAGCAGAGGCCGATCATCAACTACATTGACGGATGAGGCCAAGTCGAAGCGCGAGAAGGAATCGATCGAGTTCAAGAAGTGGTCGTCGGAGGACCTCAAGCTGCTGGTGAATGGACGCTCTCAGAAGCGTCGCTGCCAGATCCTCGAGCGCAGCGTCAAGTCCAAAGAGGTGTTGACCTTCAACATATGTTTGTCAGACAGCGTGGTCATCGTGCGCCACATCAAGGTGCCCCTGGCGGCCACTGTAAAGGGCCTGATCGCCCGTCTGCTCAGCGACCCCGAGATGGCCGACATCCAGTACAATCGCGAAGTGCCCGAGTACGAGCTGGCCGTGCGCTATGCCGAGAAGGTCACAGTCATTGGCAACACCATCGACGCCAAGAACCGCGAGGTCATCTGCGACGTCGACATGCCGCTCTGGGTCTATGATGTGGACGCCGAATGTACCATAGTTTTCCGACCGGAGAAGAAGCGCCGTATCGCCGAGTTCTCCATCTACCTGCGCTGCTTCTTCCCCTCGCTGGCATCGCCAGCCACACCAGACGCCGCACTCACACGCAGCAAAGAGCCACCCGTCATCATACACGTCAGCCTGCAACTGGCACCCAAGGTCATTATCAACGAGATGCTGCTCAAGCACGTTGTGCAGCTGGACCCGACACGTCTGGGCATGTACCTGTACGACCTGGAGGAGAGCGCCACCACAATGCAGCCATTCAAGCTGGCCGCCGACAAGGTGCTGGCTTGCAACAAGATCTCTACAATGGACATTATAGAGTGCAACTTCCGCCACGCTTACGAGCTGGTGGCGGGTATCGACGGAAACAACATCACAACACTGGTCGACCACGACACACCCGTCGAGGTGGCCGCCAACACACTCCTCGCCCTCATCCAGAACATACTGTCTGGCAGCAACAAGTCGCCAAACGCGCATCCCCTTCGCAGCCCACGCTCTGACATGAACCCCAACCACTACTCACTTATGCTGGCCGCGCAGATCAATCACCTGCCGAGCACACTGCTCACGGGCACAAAGCTCAGCGACTATCCAATGCTGGTTGGCGACGAGCTCGTCATCTATCCGCGCCAGATGATCTCTCTCGTGGAGAACCTCGAGCCCAAGAAGGACAACGAGCTGAGGCGCTCACTAAACTTCTTCCTCAAGAAGGAGGGCGAGCAGCAGTCCAAGCAGGAGGAGCTTTCCACCATCGAGAGCGACATTATCAAGTATCGCTTCAAGGTCAACTGGATTGGACCGCGACAGATCACAGAACATGGTAGGAGCGAGTCAAACTTGAACATTTCGCCTCTGATGTTGATTGGCGTGCCTACCATCCAGGCACCATCGTCGAGCAACAGCAGCCCCAACAGCGCGCAGGGCGGTGCCAATGCCGGCAACAACTTTATCAACCTTGCACCATTCGAGAAGCGCATCACAGTCTACCTGTCCAACACGCTGACGCTCAACCCCTCGCTCATCTCCAGCTCCAAGGAGACATTCTGTCTGAACAACGATGTCAAGCTATGCTTTGTGGGCGACGAGACACCTGAGAAGCTAAACCTGTTCAACACACTCAAGAAGTCTGGCATCAGCCGTTTCGCGCGACCAGATGCTTCACCCTCCATGATGTCTGGCTCGATGATCTCTGGCTCGTCCACATTGAGTGGTGGCAGCAGCATCCTGCAATCTCTGGCGTCACAGCAAGGCGATGGCGAGGACACTGGTGTCAAGATGTCCGAGTGGACATTCTCACAGAGCGAGATGCCCGACTACATAATCACATTCAGGATGCACTACTTTAGTGGCCTGGAACAATACCAGTCGACGCACCCACTGTTCATCACACCCGAGTCTGTCTTTGTGATCACGTACCCCTCCCTGGCACTCAAGGAATCGACCATTGAGTACTGGATGGAGATCATCCAGGCCAAGGCACCTGGCTCCATCGTCATCATCGTAGGCCTCGCCACAGAGGAGCCATCCAAAAAGACACAGTTCATCTCGCGAGCACTCTTATCACGTTATGGCAACGTGCTGCACTACCTACAGACCAACATCAAGAACCCCAAGCAAGTGCGCGCACTCATTCAGTGCCTGCACAACATCGCACGCCAGAAGCAGTTCCGTAAGAAGGTGCCCATCCCCTTCATCCTGCTGCGCAACCAGTGCTTGGAGACATGTCGCGAGGCACACCGCCTATCGCGCATCCCCATGACATCGATCAGCAAGATCAAAGCGGTGGCCAAGCTCATCGGCCTCGAGAACCGCATGGTGGACGAGGCTCTCAAGTACATGCTAAAGAGCGGCGACATATTGTATTATAGACAGGATGGAGACAATGAGTTCATGACCGACATCATCTTCCTTGACCCCGCGTGGATGTCGCGCCTACTCTCCTCAGTGTTCACACTGAAGCATCAGAACGGCTACTTGATGAAGGGTGGCATCTACCAGGCGTGGGAGGACAAGTACCCCAACGCCATCCATGCATCGCTCACCTACCTTTTGGAGAAGTTCGAGATCATTCACTTGAGCACCGAGGGCGACACATCGACGAGCGGCGAGAGCGACAGCATCATCGTGCCCATGTTGTTCAGTGAAGAGCGCCCAAGCGTCATGACGATGCTGTGGCCCGAGCACACCACCAAGATCCAGAACGAGCGAGTCTACCACTTCCGCTTCCTGCCCAAGGGATTCTTCAGCCGACTCTCTGTCAAGATGCTGCAGAACTTTGACGCCGTGTGCATCTGGCAGGGCGGCATGGTGATCCAGCCCGCTGGTCAGGTGTGGGCCGGTGCTGCCAAGAGCGAGCACGGCCAGGCGTTCATCCAGTACGATGCTGGCAAGTACATGCTACGTGTAGTTGTTCGCGATACCATCAAGGGCACAATGCTCAAGAACCTGGTCGACATCATCTCATCGTTCATCATGTGGTACTTCCCCGATCGCCTGACCAAGACCTACGTTACATGCACACATTGCATTGAGTCACGCAGAGGCAAGGAGAGCACGACATGGACTCTGGACTACTGCGAGAAGGAAGCGTCGCATGGCAACGACTTTGTTGTGTGCAGTGGCGTGCACAAGGTGAAGCTCAGCGATCTGGCCTTCGAGGTCACCGTGCACAGCAACAAGTTCTCGATCATTCCATTCGAGGAGCTCAAGGTTGGACCACAACTTGGCGCTGGATCATTCGCCACCGTCTATCGTGGACTCTGGAAWTCAATCCGAAGTGGCCCATCAAGAAGCTCAACCTCGAGGAAGACGACACAAGCACTGAGAAGTTCCGTGAGTTTAGGCATGAAGCCGAGATCAATGGGTAAGTCATATCATTCAATCACACATCTTGGAACTATTCCGATCAAACATACTCACTCCAATCCAATCTAAACACAGTGACTTGCAACACGAGAATGTAGTCTCACTCAAGGGTGTAACATTGAACCCATTCTGTATTATAACTGAGCTGCTCAGGTTTGGAGACCTGTCCAAGTTCTTGCGCAACACAACCGAGTCATTCACGATGGGCACCATCCTCAAGTTGTCGATGGACATTGCCCAAGGCATGTACTTCCTCCACTCCCGCAAGCCAATGATCATTCATTGTGATCTAAAGAGTGCCAACATCCTGGTAAGTAATAAGAACAACCAAAGTTGTCAAGATGTAACATAACTAACCAATCAATCAATCATAGATTGGAGGACAATCATTGGACACGTTGGTGGCCAAGGTATCGGACTTTGGATTGTCAGTTAGACAGTTTGATAAGGAGGTCAAGGGAAGAAAGGTATGGAACTGGCGTTGGCTGGCACCAGAGGTGATCAAGAACGTGCAGTACACAGAGAAGATTGATATATACTCGTACGGCATGGTGATCTGGGAGTTGATCACCCGCGAGATCCCCTTTGAGGAGTACTTTGAGGAGTACAAGTGGAACTCGGTCATTGAGGACAAAGTCACACATGGCCTGCGCCCCACCATCCCCAAGGAATGCCCCGAGCAGTTTGCCAACTTGATCCAGGACTGCTGGCAAGAGGACCCACGTAGGCGTCCATCGTTCGAGGACATCATCACACAGCTACAACAGATGCAGAGCACATTCCCCCTGAACAACAAGATTGAATTCCGTGCCAACGGCAACATGGAGGGTCCATCGATCGATATCACGCCCATTGACATGTCGCCACGCCAATCGGCCACGCCCAACAGCATCAGCAGTGTTGGAAGCAACGCATCGAGCGACACTCTCTTCTCCAATCTCCTGAGCAAGTTCTCGCCCTCCACACTCGAGCCCATCGAGTCACCGCGCAGGAATCACTCAAACAGCAGCTTTGGCGACGACTCTGCCAGCAGCTGCGACTTTAATGCCTCGCTGCATTCCACTCCAAGCGTGAGCTCATTCATGCTGGACGACCCACCCCTCGCCTTCAAGGAGTTCCTCTCGTCGATGCTGACGTCGGCCATCCACACAATGCTCTACGTGCACCAGAAGCAGGAGCCACAGGTGTGGTGCGGTTGCGGCGACGGCTCCGTCACTGTGTTCAACGCCAACACAAAGGAGATCATCTCTTCATACCGCAGCCAAGAGGCGACAAGGATTATCGGCATCGCGCAGGTGCGCAAGTCCAAGGGCAAGGTGAACCCGCTTTCCGACGACGACCTCCAGGTGTGGGCCTACTATCTGGATGGCATACTCGTGTTTGATCCCAAGCAGCCACTCAAGCCTATCAAGGCCATCAAGACCAACTACATCGCCAGCCTGTTTGACGACGGCAAGGCAGTGTACAGTAACTGTCGCGAGAAGAACGTCACATCGATGAAGATCCTGAGCAAGACATCGTTCAAGTGCAAGAAGATCATTCCACTCAAGATCCCCCCCGAGAGCCACATCTCGACAATGGCGCTGATCAAGGTGGGCAACGACCTCAAGTGCTGGATCGGCACGGAGAAGGGCACCATCTACGTGTACGACCACCCCACGTACCAATCGCTCAACACAATCGTCGATGGCCACAACGGCACCATTCACACGATCAAGCGCATCGACAAGTACATCTGGACATCGAGCGAGAAGACCATCTGCATCATCAACGACCAGCTGGCACAGAAGAAGAAGATCGACGGTATCACGTCCAAGGTGATGGGTCTGACCCTCGTGGACCAATACGTGTACGCGCCTTGCTGGGACAGCTCCATCCTAGTCTACGACAAGGAGACTTTCCAATGTGTCTACCACTTGCCCAAGAAGCACGCCGATCCACTCAGCAGCATTGTAGGCGTACGCGTCTCTACCTTTGCCACTGAGCTCTGGGCTGCCAGCTGGGACAAGCGCATCTCTGTATACACTACAAGTGATGCGGATATCGGCGGTGATGCCATCGATGCACCCGGCTCACCATCATCAGGTCATCACAACTTTAGTGGACTAGGAGGATCTATAACAGCTGGAGGCATAACCTCATCCAGGTCAATCTCTTCTGGATCACTACTCGTCCATTCCAACTCGAGGAAGAAGATCAACAATATATTCGCCAACTAACTTATTGATCAGATCTGATCCAAATAAATACCATTGTAATGTTACTAATCAATCAATACTAGTATGCTTGTGTATCTGATGTGATTCAGCGGTAACTCGGTTGACAAGTCGCGAGCGACTGTGTGCGTGGTTAGTTTGATTGTGGGTTAGATTGTTCAAACCCATCCTTCCATCTTGAGTTCTGTCTTCAGAACTGACTTCAAGGTGGGGTTCATCATTCATTCAATTCAATTCAATCATTCATTAATTACAACTTGTATACATGTAATAACAAATATGATGTATTATTATTATTTGAACGATGATGACATATATATAAACTAACTAAATAACTATACATTAACTAACATATATAATAATTGTAAATAGAACTTGTGTAATAATAATAACAATAATAAGGTGTATATAGATATATAAATATATAGATATAGTATATAGTATAACAATAATGAAATCATTACCATTGTATATTGAAAAGGATATATTGCTAAAGGTGTTGTTGCTTGAGAATGGCTTCACTCCATTGGCTTGGAAGCTTAAGATGGACTTGGTGTGTCGTCGTTGGTATTGCATAGTCAGTGAACAACTACCTCGTCTATTAAGTCTGAAAGCATCAGATGTACAACATCTAAAAGAATGGCTTGTACATTCAGATAGTTATAGACCAATCTGGACACAATTAGATTCACTTTGTATCACTCATAACAACTCAGATTCGCTTGAACAACATTATCAACATCAACTACACGCTCAATCAATCACAGTCGACTATGATAATGATGACGATGATGAAGTCATAAAAGCAATATACTCAACTGTTGACAATGTAAAGATTGTGTCATCCAATATCAAACAGTCGATTGAACGTATGAAGTTGGATTGGTCACACTTTGCATCATTGAAGAAGTTGTCTGTGTTTGGTTATAATGGATGCTCCGAGTTGATCACTTCGTTGGACACTTTGCCCCAGTCGTGTAGGCTGGAGCATCTTGACCTGCGGTGCTATGGCATCGATCTGACCAAACTGTCCTCGGTCATCAAGGAGCACGCACCCACGTTACAAAGCCTCTACTTCCAAATGAACCAGAACGAGAATACAATCGAACCATTCCTGGTGCAGCTCGCGCAGACCGTGTCGCCATCGCTCACCAAGCTTGAGATCACATCCCGCGTCTACTTTGACTTCACGACATTGCGCTGCTCACTGCCAAACCTGTCCACATTCAAGTTCATCCTGTCATGCAAGCCCACTGTTCAAGAGTCCATGCATCAGAAGAACAATCATCAGTCGCTCTACAGGTTCGTCGCGCAGCATCCTGCCATCACCGCACTGTCAATCCAAGAGCATCAGCACCACAGTGAGTGGGTGGATCTAGTACGACGCAAGCCCCTGATCCAGAAGCTTGTGCTGTCCATCAAAGCTGGTGGCGGTGGCGGTGGCAATAACAATGGGGTCGGTGCAGCGACAGGCGGTCCGCCAATCAATCTCCTGGACGAAGCCACAACAACACAGCCACTGCCAGCGAGTCTGAAGCACCTCAAGTTGAACCAGGCAAGTCCGATCAACAGCATGAACCTGTCGCGTCTGTTTGCCAACCTTTACTCGCTGTCAATCCACAGTCTGGGTACATCTTGCATGCTCGAGCTGGCCAAGTATCTGGGCGACACCGTCCATCTGGAGGAGTTCAAGCTCAACTACATCGTCAACCAGCATCCGTCAAAGCGACCGATCGAAGCACAGTTGGAGCCATTGTTCCACGCGATCCAACGCAACAAGTCACTGCGCAAATTCGCCGTACACGACTACCGATTCTCCATCAACTCATTCAGCAAGTTGAGTGCTGCACTCGAAGTCAATCAAACACTCATGGTCGTACAAGTAATCTTCTTCAACATGGAATTGCCCACATCATTCAAGTTGATCCTATCCAAGCGCATGAAGCATAATGAAGAGAACCTTATGAGGACTCTTTACAGAGTCTAGTCTAGGTATTCAGTCAAGTCTAAAAAGGTTGATTGTTTGAATGAATGAATGATCGATTGAGTTGGTGACCTTTGGTTACAGGACCAAAGCGTCATTGTAATAGTCAATCACATCATCAGTCACAATTGCTTTGCATTCATTCATTAGTTCATGACTTCTCCTCCACCTCCCTATGCTCTCTACAAACAATTAAACCGCCTGGACCTGACCAGTGCTCACTGCTCCCTGGACAGGGGGGGCTACACGCGGGATATATCTAATAATGATAAGAGAGTAATAATAATGGAACCAAACAGGCAGAGAGCCCCCGGCGATCTTATGAGAACACCTGATAATAATAATGATCATCACACAAACAGCAGCAACCAAAATTGCCATCATCAAAGAGATAATATCCTTTTTATTTTAGAAGGCAAAGCTCAAAGATGGAGGCTCAATGCGCATTTAGCACTCACAATGAAGGCAACCAGCAATCTCCATAGCATGAATGATTAGTTTTTTGATCAAACACCCACGTGATACTCAATGGATTCATCATCCTTTTTCAATCAACTCCATGTCTGAGCGTGCGTGTGACCCTTGACAAAATTGGACCTTTTGGTCATCATCCAATCAACTCGCGAGTGAGCTCACGCACTAACTTTGAATTAAATCAATCACACTGTCTAGACACAGAGAGAGTTGGTTGTGTAGGGGTTTGGTCGAGGGGGCGGATGAGTGTGTTTGTCCGTCTGTTTGGATGACTGACTGAACTGAACAGACCTTGACGATACCAAGCTGAATCACACTCGCTCAGCGATCACCCACCAGCGAGGTACACAGCTCTAGTCGTATCTCCATGGTTGCTGCTCGTCTTGTAGGGTGATGGGATGGTTGTGCTACATATATGCGTTTGGTCTAAAGTCATACCACCCCCTCCCCCAACCATCGCTGCCCCTTCCATCTCTTCTTCAAGTCTTGCCTGTTCTAGTCTCTCTCCCCTCTATCTCTATATATCTATCTCTTTTATCTCATTGTCTCTCTCTTCTGTGTCTCTGTCTTTAGACTTACTTTCTTACTTGTTGTGTCTGTCTGTCTGTTTGGTCGTTTGAAGTCCTATGCGACACTGCCATTCACAGCAACCAATTCATTCACAGCACCAGAGCATCAACCTCCAAGCCATCTCATCGATTCAATCATTCATCTTCATCACCTTCATCATCCACATCGTACTCAAACTACACGCAATACTTGACTCTTGACACCTGACCTTTAATCAACATCAACGCATTCATTCAATCATTCATTCATTGTAACAACATATACTACTACCACTACAACTTGTACAACTACCAACCAAACCAACCAAACCAACCAACCCTACCAACCAACCAGACTGACAGAGTGAGAGAGTGACATGTATGTTGGTATCAGGCCGCGCCAACAACAATAGTAGTAGCAAAGATAGAATGGGCATCAAGGTATCGAAGGAACAATGCGAGAACAAGTACTTGGACAATATTATAAAGGTGGCCGATCTGCCTAATAAGGAGCTTCGATTCCAGAATAAGAAACTAAAGAAGCTAAAGCGTTCAAAGTCATGGACTAATATTGCACGACATGGCAAGGCCAGTGGCAGTGGCAAGGGCAATGGCAAGGTTAGTGGCGGCGGCGACTCAAACAACACACACTCAAGTCTGTCCACATCCTCGTCCACATCATCATTATCATCGATATTGGCAACAACAGCTGGCAACGGCAACTCAACTTTACACACGGCCAGCATTGAGATATCATCGGCGCAACAACTTATAAATCAACAACAACGTTGTATGGCGACAAGGACAGACTCGTCGGCATCATTCTCGACGACGACAACGACCACATCAACATCTGCATTCATTCAAAGCGTGAGCAACAACGATACATCAGAGACGTTGTTGACGGGCTTCTCACATCTGCCCGACATTGTTCAGGCCAGGATCATCAAGATGGCCGTCGGGTCGATATTCCCCACGCGCCACTTCTCCAACACGTCCGCCGTGTGCCGAGCATGGTGGCGCATGGCGTTCAAGTCGATCAGCACGCTCTACTACCACTTCCCCTACATTTACGAACGCGACCGCGACATCCGGCGCTGCAAGCTGATGGCACGCTGGCTGTCGGCCACCAACCACTACGACATGGAGAACCAAATCACGACCGCCAGCCTGGGCTTTGGCTTTGACACGTCGGGCTTCTGCATGCTATACACGCCTCTGCTGCAGTGTCGCACGCTCAAGAACGTGCGCGTCACCTTCTACCAGAAGCAGGTGTCGACCGAGCGCATCAAGGCCATCTGCGACCTGGTGGCCACAAACACCAACATCAAGCGACTTGACATGTCGCGCAACTCCTGTCCGAAGCAGGCCATCCACCCGCTGGCTCAGGTGCTCAATGATGGTGTCACCTGTCTGCGCGAGCTCATCTGGCGCGACTCTCTGCTGGACAGCCAGCACTTCGCCGGCCTGATGGAGGGCATTGTGCGCTCGCAGATCTCGCACATCAACTTCTCGGGCAACAGCATCGACTCGTACGACGATCAGCGCATGTCCACCATCATTTCACTCATTTCCCAGCCGTCTAAGCTGGTCTCTGTCGACCTGTCCCACAACTTCCTCGGGCTGCCGGCCATCGAACGACTGATCGTCGCATGTCGCAAGACGAATCGCATCAGACGTCTCAAGTTGGTTGGCAACACCATCTCTGAGGAGGAGGCTAACGAGCTCCGATACAACTTGGAGAAGCGATCCTCTTCTGAGAAGTTGAAGGTAGTCATATGAAGCCGCGGCGGCGTGGAGTGAAGGGAGCATTTGGGTATCTGGCGTTGTGCAACGCCACATACCAAAGATGATATATCCCCAGGATGTGTACATTAGTTTCGAACACAATCAATCAATCAACTCAATCATTACATACATACAACAGAGAGTGTAAATAGGCGAATGAATGCATATGGATGGACCCAGCACCAGATGAGCATAGGGCCACCAAAGTGATAGACTCGGCGACGACCACGACGACTACAATCCAATCCAATCAAACATTATAACAATGGCATCCTAGGGGATGTGTCCACATCGAACAAAGCATTGGGAATTAATAAAGCTTGGGCAGTTGGGCTTTGTTGTTCAACTTGTTACTCGTACCCCAACCCTCGACCTTGCCCTCGCTCCAGGTCAATCATACCCAACAAGTGACGTCTACAAGGGTACAACTATCTACTCTTTTATTGAACGATCAATCAATCAATCAATCATTCAAAGAATGAGTTAACTGCTTGCCACATGGGTCCCGGATCGCAGCAGTCAATGTACCAGATGCCAACACCTCCAATGCCCAAGTCCTTGGCAGCTTGCACCTTGATGTAGATGGACTTGGGGTCATCGAACCAGACCTGTCTGATATTATCACCAGAGACGTAGTTGAAGAAAGGCGACTCGGACAAGTCATCCCAATGCATTCCATCATTTGTCGATTGATTGAAAGTCTCCATGATACCCTCGTAGCAGTTTGAGGCCACGACCGAATTGTTCCAACGCTGTGATGTGTCATAAGTACACTCGCGGGTCGTCAATGTCATGTTACCGTTGCAGATGTAGTCGTAGCCATACCTAAAGATGGCGAGGGTGAGGGTTAGTATAGTATTGACTGATTGATTGAATGATTGATGATGTGCGACATACCATGGGAATGCTTGGACGACCTTCTCGGGTGGGATGCCAATGCCCAGGAACTGGGCAGCACCAGACATGGCGGTGGGGAAGTCAGAGTTGGCGGCGGCGATTCCGTTGGAGTTCATGTCGTAGTCCATGGCAATTATAAAATCGAGTGCCTCGGACAGGGCAAAGAAGTCGTAGCAGCGTCCCCAATCACAGAATGGTGCGGGTGGCATGTCCATGGAGATCTGGTAGAATGGGTTGATGGACTTGAGCGCCCAGGTGACGTCGGTCACCAGAGCAGTCAACAAAGCGGTCACCATAGTTTCGTTCTTGGGGATATTGTCCTCAAAGTCGATGTTGATGCCGTCGTAGTGGTTGGTTTGCACCACGGAGACCATGCTAGTGATCCACTCGATGTGGTACGTGAGGTTGGTCAGCTGATCGGGCGGGAACTTGGCAGCGGCAATGACGCGCACGCCAGCCGCGTGAGCCTGGCACACCAGCTGCGGGTCAATACTGGACGCAAACACCATGATTGTTGTCAAATGCGACAGATCATATGCGCCAAAGTTATTAGGATACACAGTGAATCCAACAAACTCCTTGCGAGGTGGTATTCTCAATGGTTGGCACATCGATACATTAGAGCATGAGCATGGTGCTAATGTTGGTGTTGGTGTTGATATTGATAGTGATTGTGATTGTGTAATTGATATTTGTGTACTTTGTTTATATTGTTGTTGTTGAATATTGATTCCAGCAACAACTGCAATCGAGCATACCAATAACAGGTATGCAGACTTCATTATCTCTGTTGTCTAGTCTTTACTTGTCTTATTTGAATATAAATATATATATATATTATTATAAGTTATCAATGTACATTGATTGGAATGAATGAATGAATGAGGTGAGTTGAATTGAATAGAATTGAAGTTGAATGGAGCACTTTGAGTGTTTGTAGTTGAATCCAGCAAACAATCTAAATCGCCTCAATGATTTGAATGAGCTACAACCCCCACCTTTGCAGGATAGGGTTAAATTGAATCTGATGGAAACACACACACATAAAGATCCTTGATGATCATCCGAATCAAATTACAACTTGGAATCAAACAAATAATAACAATAATTTAAGATATTAATAAAACTAACTATTTTTTATTCTTATTTATTTCATAAACCTTAAAATGTATTGTTTGGATTCAATCCACTTCGCTCACACTAAGAACTTGGTCATTTAGATCACCAAAAAGAGATAGATAAATAATAATGAATAGTATCCATTTAGTACTCCACAATAGAGTGTTATGTAGACTCATCTTTGAACAAGTTAGTGACATTCATAAACGATGGTGTAGTATACCATCACAATCATCATCATCATCATCCAGGAGGAGGTGGTGGAACATTAATGATCAGGACAAAGACCAACACCAAAACCAACATCATAGGATCATATCATCGATCAAAGGATCCAAACTAAGGGAGTCTGGTAAACTAGCTGATATGTTAAGATACCAGGCCACAGAGATGTTCATTCAGACATTCGATAGTCTATCACATATTTACAATGATATTGATAACAATCTATTATGGTTCTCAATATATCATAACAATGTAAAGGTGTTCAAGTACCTCTGTGCACTTCCAAACATGTGCCCCCGTGTCAATACCCTGCCTCCAATGATCTACAATCACTCCAACCTTGAAATACTCCAGCAGTACTTGGCCATCACCGGCTACCACTCACTGCCCCTCGACACTCTGAACCGTCTGGCAATGTGTGTCGACTCGGGCAACGAGCAGTTTGTGCGACTGATGATCAAACAAATCAAGCTGGATCTTACCGTCGAGAGGCCAAACAGCAATCTGGTGCGACTGGTTCGCCACGACTTTAAGCGTCGCGGTGTCAGTGTGAGCATGCTCAGGATGCTGCACGAGGAGTTCAACTGTCTGTTTGGCCACACGAGCTTCTGGGAGGTAGCGCTCAAACATTCAATCAAATGTAACATGGTGGACAGTGTGCAGTACATCTTGAAGAGCATGCCAGAGTATGTGTCGTCCAGAGCTGACCACGAAATGCACACGCTCATCAAAGGGTGCTTTCATCGTTGCGCCAAACATGACAACGCCAACATGTTCAAAGTGATCGTCGACAGGTCACGTGTGGCGCGTGACCACCTCAGGGAACATGACATTCGAGACTTGATCAAGGTGGCATGGGATCGATCACACAAATCATTCATCAAGCACCTGATCAAACATCATGTTGGCAACAGCACAATCACTCAGGTGTCGGAGACCTACCTACTCAACTGCGTTGAGGGTGACACACTACGAGTCACACCCTTGTCAGTGTTCAATAGTGATGCTCTCGCACAGGAGCACATCCAACAGATCACCGATACTCTGACGGCCAGTACCTGCCTGTACATGTCCAAGACAATGGCAACACTGATCAGTATTCAACGCAATACCAATCGCTTAAGATTCGTTGGTCGGTCAATCATTAACATGGTCGAGGCGGTCGGCAAGCCACACAGCAAAATCACCGCGGACACTGTATGCCAGTTCATTGTCAACTGCGACCACGAATATATTGAGCAACTTAATGAGGCCATGCACTGCGCGGCTGGTTACTCGGCCGAGTTGCTACGTCTCATACACACTCATTTCAATCAAGCTTATGATCATCACTGTCTGGTGGCCGCCATCGCCAAAAACTGTCGATCAACAATGTCACTGCTACTCCAACAACAAGACTTGATGCAGTCCATAACCAATGATCCCAGCCTCAGACACAAGATCACAGGTGCATCAAGGCGATACATCTTGGGTGCTCAATCATCGTCGTTGGAGGACATCATGTTCATCTTGGACAAGATTGAATGGATTGCAAGTGACCCTAATATATGTATCTCGGTAATGAAGAATGACATCAAGGTGTTTGAGCATGTGTTGAACATGTTCCAGGTGGAGCAGTTGGAAGACAAGACATTCCTGAGTGATCTAATCACTCAATCACTAAAGAATAACAAGCCAAACATTGTAGACGTACTACATCAACGATTGCAAGGAAGGTTGGATGTGTATTCAAGTTTGTACTTCAATCCCAATATTCAAACTCTGCATGAGATGGCAATAAAGAATGCCTATCTCTCATTGGAGTATCACTTCAACTCATCGACATTCACCAGCCTGCCAATCATACATCGATTGCGTACTATCAACTCGATAATGGACAAAGGATACAGGTGTGGAGTGACCAGAGTGATCAAATTATGCGCGCAGTTCAAATCAATCACTATAAATCAACCTCAAACGTATGTATCCAAGACCTGCCGGCCGGCCGATCATGTGAGTCCCACCTCACTCACTCAATCATACAAACAGATACACTCTTCAGAGTGTTTGTAGTGTTGAGATAACCAAACATACTTGTTCCAGACACTTGGAAACAATGGTCCATACGGTGTTTGGTGACAGGAAGCTTGGAATGATGATCATGGATCAGATTGGTGCGATACACAAGTCACTTGAAATCTCACCACATGCTGTAATCAAAGGTTCAAAGTTACTGGATAATCATAGATTGCATGATTACATCAAATATGGTGCGACGGAATGGTTCCTCAAAGCATATCACTCAATCACTCCAACACCATCATCATTGGGACAGAACAAAATATTACTCGAGGCAGCCTTTGTATCTGGTGATGCACGCATGGTCGATGCCCTGTTGGACAACCCCAACATGACACTCTCAGACTTGGACCTCATGTCCGAGGTGTTTATGAAGAGTGTATCATCGTGTAGACATCCGGAATGGGAGAGGATGTTTGATGAGTACATCAGGATCACATGCCAGTCCTCCCAACTCGAGTTGGTCTATCACATGATTACGTTGGTCCGGCATCCATCATTCATACACAAGCTCATTCAATCAGGCGTCACACTGCCATCGATCAACAACAGCTCTGCCAAACAGATGGCCGAGTCATGGATGACCTCGCCAACCGCCCTGGAAATGTTCCAGATGCTCAGGTCACACAATCTCTTATCACTCCCCTTACAATCTGAGCTGTGCCTCAGTGCAATTGAGCTCCACGTCACACCGATCGTCAAGTACTTTGTCGAGACATCCCTGGTGCAATGGATGGACGATGTATTGCCAATGGTGAGAAGGAATACAACCAGAGAGTACCTGTTCAAGTGCTGCGAGTTTGGACGAGTTGATCACTTAGACTTGCTTCTCTCATTCATTCAATCACCGACATACTTTGACGATCTTGATCCCGATGCCCCAGATGGCACGCTTGGTGAAGCATTCCAATTGTGCGCCAACAATGGACACTGTGCAATGATCAAAAAGTTGTACTCTATGGTCGTGGCCACATCAAAGTTTGATCAACAACGTGTTCACGATGTATTGATCAGGTCAACAATCAAGGGTGCATTGGATAGTGGACACCTTGACGTCGTCGACTTCCTGCTCGAGACATCCTCAGATGTTCCTGCCCCCTTGCCAAGCACAAAGATAACAATTGACTCTGTTGATCAAGGTTTATTATCGATTGGATTGATTGACCGACTGATTGAGCGACTCCAAGCCCATCCATATCTCGAGTGCAAGTTTGGCCAATTGTTGGGAGCGGCAATAAGAGTCGGCAACAAACTTGTAATTCAACCATTGATGGATGGTCATGGTGGAGTGATCAATGACTATGACCATGCTCTGGAGATGGCTGCTCAAGTGGGCGACCTTCAATCAATCAAGATGATCATGGATCAATCAAAGAGTGCACTGTCTCATAGACATATATGTTTATTGATCGATCATATTGGTTCGTCAATTACTGAGGATGAGATCATCCAGTTGTCCATTAGTGCGCTGGGTCTGGATAAGATGTATCCCTCGCGAGAGGACTTATATACAATGTTATTCAAGGCTGCATCCAAGTCCGTCACGGTCATCCGTATGGTGATCAACAACTTCACCAACAATACCAACAAATCATTGACCGAAGGCGAGCTCAAAGGTATCCTGAAAGTGTGCATCAAACGAGACGACTTGGAGTCAATCGATTGTCTGATCCAACTCGCACTTGATGTTGGAGTGATCACCAAACACGATGTCCAAGACCTCTTGAACGCGGAGCACGTCAGTTCTAAAGTGTTGGCGTACCTCTTTGAAAAGGGATACCTCAGTGTGGATGCTCATCACTACAAGTCCGATGATTATATACGTCTGGTGTTGGTGGACTGGGCTTGCTCCAATGGCAAACTGGACATAATCCGGACCATCCATCAGCGATGCACTACATCAGAGCAACTCCAAAGACATCTTCCATCAATCTTCAATATTCTCCAGGCATCATTGAGAAATCATTATCAAGTGTTAAGATACTTGTTTGAGTGTGATGATAATGGCCAAGATACACCGTTCCAGCGAGCTGGTGTACAACTCAACATGATCCAATTATTAACATCAGTTCGAAGGTTTTCTTGTGACAATGGCAATCTCAAGATCATCTCCATGTGTGATCGTCTATTGTCGGGGCTTGGACAGAGAGGTAGTAAAGGACAGCAAGTCGTCCCATAAATAAAATCAATCATTCAATCAATCAAACACTTTCACTCACTCACTAACACATTCATTCATTCAATCAATCAATCAATCAATCAATCAATCAATGAATAGTAATAATAATAATAATAGAAGTATAAATGATGTATTCCACAATAAGGTATTGTGTAGACTAATCTTTGAACATATTAGTGATATGCATAGACGTTGGTGTAGCCTGCCATCATCAATCAAAGAAGATAGAGAGAAGTCATTTCAGAGCCAGGATGATTGGCCTTTGATAGAGTCAACGATCAAGGGCAGCCAACTATATTCCGAAGGTCTACTACATGAGATGATTCGATACAATGCAACTCAAATGTTCATTGATACCTTTGACAGTGTTGACAACATCTACGCCCATCATTACATAAACAACCTGTTGTCCAAAGCAATTCACTATAACAATGTAAAGGTGTTCAATCATCTGTCCAAGAGTCCCAACTTGTCGTGCACCAATGTCAAAGGAATATACAGAGACCTGATCGGCGCAAGTAAAGAGATCCAACAACACTTCCTCACAGAGTGTGTTCAACGCCAATGGTTGGCAGAACTCTCCGGTGAAGACCTGATCGCAGCCGTCGACACGGGAGATCAACAACTCGTTCGATTGATACTTGGAAAGGCAATCATTGATACAAGACTGATGATCAGTACTATACAATCAAGAAGAAAACATTCATACAAAGAGGTATCAGAGTGAGCATGCTGAGATTACTCAACGAGGAGTTCAACATCTTGTATCGTATCACAAACATGTGGACTGGAGCACTCTATCAATCAATCAAGTGTGGCATGGTTGACAGGGTACAATAGGATACTCTCACTTGTTGGGTCCTGTGGAGCTCATGAACTCCAACTAGCTGAAAAAGTTGCATTGTCCAGAGGACACTTGGAGGTGGCCAATCTTATCCTAGACATGATGTACTCCAATCCAAAGATATACGCCGACCATTTTCTAATAGTCACTGATATACATCACAACATATTGTCCGATCAGTTAGTCAAACAACTATGTTACCACCCAAACATCAAATTCAAATTTGACAAGAGAGGCATTAAGCATGGTAACAAGGAAGTGACCAGTGTGATGATGATGAATATAGACGATACATTTGGCGACGTTGATTATCAATATGCACTGTCCAAAGCCATTGAACAAGCGGACTTTGATTTGATCAAGATGATAATGGACAAACTATCAATCCAACCTCTTTTCAAAGATGTGGTCTCGATGTTGAAGCTTGTTGGAGATGGTCCCGACTTACATGTGACGGTGGATCAGTTCCTATATGTAGCCAACTCTATGCCCAAAGGGTTTCGCCTATACACATTCGAATTCTATGATTTGCTAATGGCCGCAGCAACCAAACCATTCTACATTCTCAAATTGGTCGTCTGTCATTTTACCAACTTTGATGATGATAGACGAAATGCACTTAAACGAATTGACAGGTATCACCTCAAGGATATCATCTCGGTCGTTATCAAAAAAGGACACAGCCATGAAACAATCGATTATATTGTCCATCTTGCGATGGATGTGTTAGGAATTGTTCCACCATCATTCAAGGATATGAAGTCAACACTTGGCAACCTCATCAATCTGGAAGAATGCTCTACAACTGTACTTGAACATCTCTTTTACAAAGGTTTCATCAATGTGGATTATGATCAAAATGACAAATCAGATGCCTTGCCTCGTTTGGTTGATTGGGCATGCAGCAATGGAAAGTTGGACATCATCAAATTGGTACATCAAAGATGTAACACCCCTCTTCAACTCCAAAGACATTTACCATCCATCGCCAGTATCCAGGAAGCGTCCAGATGTAACTATCACAGAGTACTGGCCTATCTATTTGAAGGGCTCAATCCATTCCAACGAGCCGAGGTCAAGTTGAACATGCGATCCTTGATCCAAGCAATTCGCCACCATTCCTTGGAAAAAGGCAACCTCAAGATCATCGTCATGTGCGATCATCTCCTATCATCAAATTAAGTCTTTGAGTATCCACTGCAAACTTCCTATCATTTTAATGTGTGTAACTTATCAATCGCGTATCAAACATGCTCCAAACCAGTTGCGATCCAAAACTTTATCATTGGATTTGATCCTTGTCCATTTATCTTCCGAGGTTGAGTATCGATAGTTCTTGCTAGTGCCACAGAGGTAGAGAATTTCGCCAACGAATGTGTCATAGATGAACGGGCAAGAATATTGATATAATGGACACTTTGCCAAGTTGATTGATTGTTTGCTGGACAATGTGTATCGTGTGAGTGTCTTGGCGGAGAGAATGTAGATGTTGTCCACGCCATCAAAGCAGCTAACCGAGTCATCTACCAATCCCTCGAGGAGAATGGTGGTCACGCCCGTCTGTACATTGAACGAGAGTACAAGGGGACAATGCCTATTGACATAGATCTGTCCGCCAACAATAATGATATTTCCCGCGTGGAAGAAGGAGTAGGCGTTGCTCAGGCTACAGGAAAGGTAGCCAACCTGCCTTAACGTTTGAGTGTTGATGTCGAAGGAATCGACGCGGTTCAAGAACATGTTGTTTTCAAAGCCACCAACAAGGTAGATATCATTGTTTCCGTCATAGCACGTCGAGATCAACTTTGTAGTCGAATCTGCCAGATTGCCAAAGCTTCTTGTCCAGTGAGTAGAATGAGTACTTTTGAAGATTGTATTGCCCGCCAAACACGTAGACATGACCACGCGCATAGACAACAGATGTCGGCACCATGTCGAATCGTTTGACTTTGACACTGGGTGGGACAGAGGACCATTTGTACGTCTCCAATGAGAGCATTTCCATATTATCGTCATTGATTGTCAGGATGTTTGATCCATACTTGGTGGGTCGAGTAGGCGCTGGGATCAGTTTGAAGCATGACTCTATATTCTTTCTAATGTCGTTTATCATGTTGGTATTGACGACTACCTCACATGGTTTCAATTTGTATGTTGACGAAGGACCATAAGGAACTACACCCATGTGTTTGGATGTTGACCAATCATTGTCAACATCTCATCATCAGTGAGTGGTGCTGGTGATTGTTGTTCTTGTTGTTGTTGTTGCTGTTGAAGTAATGTGTTGTTGTTATCAATGAATTGATCAATTGATGTACATGTTGTAATAGATTCAATCACTTTAGATATTTGCTCATTGACGTCTACTTCATCATCATTGCTATTGAAGATATCTTGTTGTTGATGTTGATGTTGTGGATGTTGTCTGTTGATTGTTTGATTGATGCCTTTAATCTCATTGATTATATTATTGATTGTTGATTGTATTAATTGTAGTTGTGCTGTGATAGGTGTCTTTATCTTATGCTCCCTAGTGATTAGAACCTTTATCAATTGTACATAGTGATCGGTCACCTGTTTATATGTTTGTTGTAATGATTGATGTGATGATGCACACAATTGAAGTGTCTGCCACAGATGACTCAATCTACCATGCAGTACATCTGTATTATTATTATCTTGTGATATGCTGCTCATCTCTGTCTCTATCTAATTATAACAATGAACTGTCAAAGTGAGCTGTGGCTATAATCCAAAAATGGCGCGGGCGAGGGCGAGGGCAAGGGTAGGGTAAGGGTTCACAACACAGTGAATGAATGTGAGACGGACAACAAGTTGATTGCGAGTAATAATACAAGTACAAGTGTTTAATATGTATGTGTGTAAGAAGAACTTTAGGCTTGGATTGGCTCCTCAACAACGTTCACCTTCTCCTCAAACTCTTGGGTGAGTTGCTCAACTTCTGGCTCCTCCTGAGTGGACTCAGCAACAACCTCGGACTCCTCCTCTGGCTCGACTGGTGAGTCAACAACTGGCTCGATTGTCTCGGCGACTGGCTCGACGACTGGCTCGACGACTGGCTCGACGACTGGCTCGACAACTGGCTCTGGAGTGGCCTCGACGACTGGCTCGACTGGGGCTGGTGCTGGTGCAGCGGCAACTGGGGCTGGAGCTGGTGCAGCGGCAACTGGGGCTGGTGCTGGTGCAAGGTTCTCCTGAGACTTGGAGGAAGACTTGGAAATGAAGATCTTGGCGGTGGTGGATGGCTTGGAGAAGTCACGGAAGGCTTGGAAGTTGACATAGGTCGACTTGGGTGCAGCAGCAGTGGTGGTGGCTGGCTTTGGCGCTGGTGTGGTGGTGGATGGTCTGTCTGGAGACACTGGTGTGGTGGTCATTGGCTTGGCGAATGACTTTGGTGCAGAGGCAGTTGTGGCGACTGGCTTTGGCGCTGGTGTGGTGGTGGTGGTAGTTGGGGTAGCCACTGGCTTTGTCTGAGAGACTGGCTTGAGGGCAACATTGAATGGCTTTGATGCTGCTGGTGCTGGTGTTGGTGTAGCCTGGACGACTGGCTTTGGTGTGGCAGCAACGACAACTGGCTTTGGTGCAACAGCAACTGGTGCTGGGGCTGGAGTTGGAGCGGCAACTGGTGCTGGTGCTGGGGCAGAAACTGGTGCTGGAGCTGGAGCTGGAGTTGGAGCAGCAACTGGAGCTGGAGCTGGGGCTGGGGTTGGGGCGACAACGACCTCTGGGACTGGTGTAGAGGCGTTGACAGGTGGAGGTGGTGGAGTGACGTGTGTGACGGTTGGTGTGCCTCTCTTCATGTCGAATTGGTGCTGTGGCTTCAACTGACCGAAACCCTCGCTGTAATTGCCCTTGGTGAAGAACAGCTTCTTGAAGCATGGCTTGCAGAATGACTTGGACTGCATCGAGGCGTAGTTTCCAAGCTTCAATATATTGTTACAGGTTGAGCATCTGAAGCAAGCCTTGTGGAAGACACGCTCATCTGAAGCCAAACGCTCAGTGGCAAACACTGTCTTTTGACAGACGACACAGCTCTCATTCGATCCAAACGACTTTATATTGTTTGGCATTTCCAAATGTTATTTGATTGATTGATTGATTGTGATGATGGGGAAGAAGATTGTTAGTTATTAATGTCCTTTGATCAGGATGTTTCAATCAATTGATCATAAGATGGAAGTGTGGACATGTCGGACCAAGTCATTCATTCATTCAATCAACTTCTGACAGTCAGCCAGTCAGCCTCGGTATCCAAGAACAGACACACAAACATTCCATGGTTATGAATGTGTTGTTGTAATGGCGAATGATCATGTCGGTATGATCGGCAGGTTGGGTGATCGAGTGGTCGAGTGATCGATTGGTCATGTGGTCAAAGTGATTGATTGAGTATGTGTGTGTTGGGTGTGTGATTGATTGATCGAGTGTTTGTGATTGAGTAAGTTGGACATACTTTAGTTGCCATTTATATATTATATTTGTTTGATTAAGTTAAGAGTATATATTTATATTTATATTATATATTTGTTTAGTGTTACAGATAATCAGTGATTGATTGTATTTGTTTGTTTGAGTACAAAGTAATAATCAAAATGAGATAAAGGTCTTGTTTAAGAGAGTCAGGAGAGGTAGTACTACCCAAACAAACAAACCAACGATGATTGAAACCAATAATAAATTGAATAATAATCCATTAAAATACCATCAGAGTCAGTTGATGGACTGACTCGTGATGCGAGTCGTCAACAAGGAATGGGATGGGTTGCAGATGCCTTTTGTTTTTGCAAAGCATACCACCACCAACAACTCGATCGAATCGAACAATAATAGTGCAAGTCTATGTTAATGTGTATGAGCGAAATCGGGGTCATCCCACCCACAATAAATCTTGGATGGATGGGTCCAATTCAGATCGCTCTGATCAAAAATCTCACTCACTAACTTCATTTATGGGTCACCCCACGATTCTCTCTTTTTGAAGTTCTGTTTTCAAATTTTCAAATTCAAACTTTAAATTCATTTTCCGTTGTGGATGGTTGTGTTTAACTGCGCGCCAATTTGAATTGATTAATCAATCATCACATGATGGTTGTTGAACAAACATATTGTCATTCATTGATATCATATCATACAAATACTTACTTTCAACACATAGTATATACATACTTCAAAATGGTTAAGAAGACAACAAAGAAGACGACAACTACTGCTGCACCAGCAATGTTACAGGAGCCAGAGATGACTGATGATGCACAGATGACTGCCACAGATGAGAATGACACCATTGTTCAACTAAAGGATCGTTTCGAGAAGATTGTTCGCACTGGTGGCAATGATTCATCCTCCAACAACAACAACGCATCATCCAAAGACACTGCCATCCTCTCCAACATCTTGGCAACATTGAACAATGCCAACAACATCAACAACAACAACAACGTCAATGGCAAGGACATGGACTACAAGAAGAGGGTATGTTATTACCATACATTCAATCATTCAATCAATCATACACTAACTTCCTCAATCAATCAATCATACTTCAGTACATTGAGATGAAGGACAAGTTGGCACTCTTCAAGAAGATGAAGAACACTGACACAGAGAACTTGTTTGAGGACTTTAAGATCGCTGCTGAGAAGCGTGACTCTGGTATGTCACAGTCCATCAATCAAATCAATCAATCACATTGCTAATATCTCCACATTCTTAGACTCCAAGAAGTATATCAGCCAGCTCAAGTTCCAGGTTGAGGTGTTGCAACAAAAGAACAGCTTGTTGAATGAGACTCTGAAGAACAAGTTTGGCTGTGACTATGATGAGCTCCAGAAGCAAATAACCGACCGTAGAGAGCTTGAGGAGAAGTTCAAGATCGATCAAGTCAAGGCTGTCCTCAACGAGAAGATCAAGGGTGAGTAGTATCCAGAGTTAGTCCACGAGCATGTACACCATTACTGACTCACGTACATCATTCAATCCATCAAATATAGAGGATGACAAGATAATCTCTCAACTCACGTTGGACAAGGAGCAACTGCAGAGACAGATGGCCGAGATGAAGGAGGACTTTGAGAGGAGGATGGCCAGTGCCAACCAACAGTTTGAGTCGCTGGTCAACAAGCACAACAATGAGAGGTACGAGAGCCAGCGCTCCGTCGACACCATGAGCCAGGAGGTCAACGAGAAGCTGGCCGAGTCGCGCTTCATCATTGCCCAGCTCCAGACCGAGAACCAGGCACTTCAGTTGCGCATCCAGGTGATTGAGCAGGAGCTCCAGGAGCACTCGGAGTTGTACAACGAGGGCAAGCAGAAGCTGGTCGACGAGTGGATCCTGTCCGACAAGCAAAAGTCCGACGAGGCCGAGCAGCGTCTCAAGGAGCTCAAGCAGATATACGAGACACAGATCGCCAAGATCAAGCAGCACAACGATGAGAACATCAAGAAGTTCCACGATGACTTTGTGCAGGCCGAGACGCGCTTCAAGAAGCTGAACCAAGACCTGGTCGAGCAGAAGAACAACGAGTTAGTGGCCGTCGAGAAGCAACTCAACGACGAGATCGAGCAGCTTGAGGACCGTCGTCTCAAGGAGCACCAAGCCTCCCTCCAGACACAAAAGATTCATCTTAGCGAGATCCAGGATCTCAAGTCCAAGCTAGAGAGCGGTGGAGCATTGAGTAAGTATACCGACCAGTGCTGTTGGCAACATCAACATGTTTGACTAACTTCCCTTCACTCATTCACTTTTCAGACAAGACCAACCAAGTCTACTTGGATCTCTATCATATGCTCACCTCAATCAAGCTGAGTCAAGTCACCGACGAGAAGTTTGAGTTGATCGTTCAGAACAAGAGTCAATCAAACAAGAGTATGTATATCATTATCACAGATAATACATGTACATCATGTACTAACAAACATAATATAACAACAGAGATACAAGGAGAGATAGTGATTGGAGACCAAGAGATTAGCTACAACCCAATATCAATTGACAATTGCAACAAGGTCAGTGAGTGTGTTGAGAACCAGATCGACTTCCCCAAGCATCAAGTCAGTGCCTTCATGATGAAGCTTATTGAGACCGTCTACGCTTAAGTCTTGTGCTTCGCATCCACACACACACACTCACACACAACGTCCATTCATACGTTGATCTTCATGCATCTCATCTTCCCATCCATTCATCCATTCATTCATCCAACCATGCTAGTGTTGTCTAACGAGCAACAAGCACATCAAACAACCAATCCATCAATATCTATTACCAAATTAAGTAAACCCTTTTGTACAAGATAATATTACTTGATATGTCAATGACAAGATCTAAGAGAGGGAATCAATGGTCTGTTTCCCATTGTATTGATTCTAGGAATTGAGATGTCATGTCTGTTCACCATTGACTTTGTTATTTCCCTTTGGAAAATAAGAATAACAATTGTCCTCTAGACAGATACATTTAAACAAATAATACTAACATGTAATTGAATGGATGTCCAATCGACATAGTAATAGTAAGTTTGGTTACAAATAAATAATCACATCACCTACTAAGTCCATCACACACTCAACCAGAGAGACACAAAGAGACACTGACACACACAAACCCAATCATCTAACCACTAACAACATCAACCACTTCCAACTCGCCATTATGCGAATTACGAATGTATCTATAATAATCATTCACTGTCGTTGATTGCAACCCCACAATCAATCAATCAACAATCAATCAATCAACGCTGCCATTCAAACTAACAAACAACCAATCACATCAATACCATGTATGGTAACATGATGGAGATGAACATACAATCATACTATGGTGGATATGATTGAACTTGAATTGGTATTGCCATCACTCTTTGAGTGATTAGTACGTATACCATTGTCAACTCTCTTTAAAGCCAATTGGTATTATAAGGAGAGGAAATGGTGACAGAGTATCCCACCATGCCATGATTGGCTATTGGGTTGACACTTGTCATTGATCAATCAATCATGAAAGTTAATTCGTTGTATCAAACAAATCTTCCAAAGACATACTACAAGCATTGAACGAGATTGACCATGACAACAACAATATCAGTTGTTGCCAAACTCAATACCAAAAGAAACTATTTAAACCAAGGATCCAAGTCATTCAATTTCATCATCTGATAAACAATCAACAATCAAATCTACTCTAATATTTAATACCTTCCTTTCTTAAACTTAAATCACAAACATAATGTTGATCAGTATGTATCCTTGTGATTAAATCAATCACCTGATTATTAACAATCAATTCTAATATCTTCAATTCATATAGAGGCCCTTACTTCATCCGTCGGAAGCTTTATGCCATCTTCCATGAGTGGTAGCGTAGTTGGTTCCTCTGGTAGCTCTGGATCATCCCAAGGTGGTAACTCAACAGCTGGTTGTGGTCCATGCGGTCCTGTGAGCCACACCTACCAGGAGTTTGTGGCCTATCCAGTGTGCTACCCATGTTACCCACCACCATGCTACCCATGCTTCGTTCCTCCAGTCTGTGGCAGATACTGTTAACAATGTATCCATAAATGAATTGGACATTGTAATATTTCTTTCTTCATTAAAATCACTTAAATGAATCTCTTCTCTGAATGGCTTAGTTGCCACTGCTGGTGCTCTCCCACTCGTTGCACCACTTGCTGGTGCATCTGCACCTGCTCCTGGCGCTCATACTGTTCATTTGCACTATGGGACAGAAAGCATTGTTGTGACCATCAATAACAACACAACATATAGTGAACTCATGAGGACAATCAAGAAGGAGTTCATAATCGGTGTAAAGAAGCCTGTAGTTGAGTACCATCCAGGTACACTGGTCCATCCAGTGGTGACCAACTCCGACGCTCTGATCCCTGCAAATACCGAGCACATCTACATCACTGAGTCTCCTGGTAAGTACTGACTCCGACTCAAGTCAAGCTTTCATGGTCACTAATGATGACTAGTACGAGTTTTCTGGAGAGATGCACATGCACAGCCTGCAATGCAGCCCCTTGTTCAACCTCCATATCCAGCTGGAGACTACACTTTTGTCAATTTTAAGAAGGAGGTATGTAGCCATCTAATCATACCAAAAACCAAATGGACTAACATATTAACAGTCTTTATTTAGTTAAGGTGGATATGGAGACTGTTGCTCCTGGCATGACATAATATTATGGGTGCACTTCAGTAGCAATAACAGCACTGGATATCGGGCGTTTTTTGTTTAAAGCCGACTCCATCAAGCTGGTAGTCCGTCCTACCTGTAGGAGAGCCGCGGGATAACACAACGATTGTTTTTGTTGTTGTTCTGAACATATATCGGGTTTTTTGTTTAAAGCCGCCTCTCGTCCGACCTGGAAGAGAGGCGCGATGTTCAGTTTATTTATCCCGAGGGATAACTATACAATTGTTTTGGTTGTTTGGATACTGTTCTGGTTGAGTCCACTGGCCTTTGTGTCGTCGGCTGGTGGTATGAGCATTGGTATGGATTGTTGCCATCGCGTGCTCATGCGTTGACTTCCGTGGTTATATACAATGAATCGAGTTATAGTAGGTAACAGTTAAGTGGTGGCAGATTGTAAAGGGTCTGGTGTCCCCAGTGTTGGTTCAGTTGGGTAGTTGTTTGGGTGATGCGCTCTTGTATTGCGTGCTTCGCTTCTGTGTTTGTAGTGTTGATTCCTTTGGTGTAGAGTCTCTGGCATGTGTTCTTAGCACGAGTCCACACGGCCTTGATCACAGTCTTGGTCTTAAAGAGAATGAGGTGCTTGGAGAACTGATATTCTTCCACATGTCGCTCCTTATTCCTGATTGTCCAGAGGGTCTCCATGAAGATTGCGTACAGGTTCATGGTGAGGACGGGGGAGGAGTTGATGTTGAGTCTCCTGGCGGTCCAGGGTCTGTTTCTGATACCAGCCTCTTCTGCTGCCTCCTTGAGGTGTCTGAGGGCGTCCAGCGATCTTGGGCACTGGAAGAAAATCTGCTCGCTGGACTCGTAGGCGCCGCAGCGCTTGCAGTAGGAGTCGGGGCCAGTCTTGATGAGGGGACACAGTTTTGGTTGAGTCCACTGGCCTAAGATATGGGGTATTTTGCCCCACACAAAAACGATTCAAAGATTTTTAAATTTCACAGCTTCTGTGGCTCAGTCGGCAGAGCGTTCGGCTGTTAACCGAACGGTCGTTGGTTCGATCCCAACCAGGAGCGACCTTTTTATTTCCTTATTTTTTTAATATAAAGAGATGTACTCTTAATATTATTGAACGTTCACTTGAGAGTATGACAGTTAGTAACTGAAGACCCACTGTCTATGAATGAACGAATCATATAAACTTATTTATTTATATAATTAATGATTGATTGCGTGTAACAAGAGGACATACCTTGAGAGTATGACAGTTAGTAACTGAAGACCCACTGTCTATGAATGAACGAATGAAGTGATTGAGTGCGCGAAGCGACATCAAAACACTTTGGAAAACGAATCATTCGACTCTGGAAGTTCCTCATGTTACATTTTTTTCAAAGAGATAAATTCAACAAATATTGCCGAATTTCTCCTTTCCCATTAACAAAAAAAACCGAAACGAGCGATACAGTTACTAACTGTTTTTCGTTCTGAATAAGTCCTTAGCTAGACTCTACACAGTCAATCAATCGTCGCTCGAGGTCGAGCGTCGATACACTAAGGTTACAGGGCAACATGGGACTTGACAGTGTTTTAGCGAGGTTCGCCCCGATGAACACGGTCGCCCCTCCCCATCGCGACTCGTTCTACGAATTGCGCATCTTCTTCCCAGGCGTCGCCTTACTACCAGACGACTACCTCAAGAAGCTCAAGCTCATACTACGACTGTTCAGGTCGTACCCTTCGTCATCTGCCCCCACGAGAAAGAGTAAACATGTCCGCGGCCTCACCGTCGAGGGCAAAGTCTACTCTTCAGCAGATCTCGACACGCTGATCGTCTTCATTCGCAGCGTCCAATGCAAACCACCACTGGTGGTGGTCCACCAGGCTGTGACACAGTCATACCTCGACTGTTCGTTCCATCTCACCACCTGGTCGAGATTCAGTTCCTTGCGCTCTACTACAACAACGTCCCATTAGTAGCCAAAGACATCTCAAAAACGTGCACTCCATGCTTCTTGCATCACCACACTAGGCCAGAGGAGCACTCAGCCACCTACCACACTATCACGCTGCTGTACCACGAGTCAGTTGACGCAGACGCCTACAAAGGCGACATTGCGCATGACCCCAACGCAGCTGAAGTCAGGTGGGTCCCGCACAGGAAGAGAGGGTCACCTCGTCGTAAGCGTAAGCTGCCTGTGATAAAGCCGTCGTCACCAGTGGCCAACGGCACCTCCACGCCGGTGAAGTCAAAGTCCACCGTCGACACTCCCACCCCAGCCACTCCTCACACCGCAATGGAGGAGGACTCAGACCGAGACGAGTCATCCGGCATGCTGCTTGACAAGCTGACGGCTGAGGCACCTACGCATCCAGACGCATTAGTCGCTTCGACTACCAACGAGCCACCAACACCTACGACTAAGGAAGTTGTTGACCCACCAGAACAGAAGGCTACCTTCAAGCCCCTCTCTCTCCGTAGAAGACGTGATGAGCCAGCCACTCCCCCCCATGCGGGAGTGCCCAACACGGTGTCACCCATCAACCCAATCAAGAAGGCACCCAAGAAGACTCGCGTTCACCCCCCAGCATCGATACCAACCCCATCTTCCCTCCCAACAACAAAAAAAACATAATCAAAAAAAAAAAAACAGGAAAACGAAACTAAAATAGGACTAACCATTCCCGCCTCTTCAATGACGCCCATTTATTTGCAATATAATAAACCTCCACATTAAATAGTCTAAAAAAAAAAAAAAAAAAAAAAAAAAAATCTCCTTTCCCGCGATTTTCCTTCAAGAAATCTATTCTTAGGCCTTTCAACCATTTATTCGTTTCAACTGTAAATATACATGTTTATTCTAACGGTTTGGTATCTCTGATATCTTGTGAGTTGAAAAGTCGTGAGAGTATTTGATAATGGTTCCCGATGGCAACTCTACAACTTGGTACTAAAGTGGACGGCAGTCTGTAGTTTAGTGAGTGTCCAACAACTTATTATCATTAAATAATAATAATATTACCTTCAGTTTGCCAAATGATCCCTGTGGTGCATATTTGAGTGTCAGTTGATAGGACTTGATGTCCATCGGGGACAACCTGATGGCACCTTTCCCATTGTCATCAGCGGATGAATGTCCAATACCACCTCTATTTGCACCAAACTCTGCTGTTCCAGTGCTCCAAGGTATATCCACAACACCAGCTACTTTGTAATGTTGTTTGTTATGCTCAACCAAATCGAATCGTACTATAATGTAACCAATATTAGATTATGAATTGATAGATTAATTGATTGTTTGATTGAGCAACTTACTTGGAAGGAATGCCAGATTCGTCTGTTGGTTATAGTTCATAACATACTCCATGCTGTTGAATATTGAATGTTTGCTTAGCATGACTGGGTCTGAAAGATGTTTGACTTGTTTGAATGTCTGTCCAGCTGAGAATAAATGTCCTATCCTCATGTTGAGTATTGCTTGCTCGCCATTGCGTAGGTCATTATAAGACTTCAAAGAGTATATATGTACATTTGGTGGCAAGTCCTCTGTATGTTTGATTGATTGATGGAGTGAGTGATTGATTGAGTGCTTGGCGGTATGTCATAATACATACCCTTAAGGAATGACATTGATGATTGATGCTCCATTAAGTATTGCCTGTGATCAATCTTGAGATACTTGGCCATCATTCTACAATGTTTGATTTAGTGTTGGTAACTTTGTTTGGTGGAGTACATCCATGATGAACATACCTTGGTGGTGTAGTGAGTTGAAGACTCCATTCCTTTAGCTTGGTCGTTATCTTCTCCCTAAAGTCCACTGACAGATAGATCCTTCCGTCGACCCTTGTCAGGTCGTTGGATGGTTCCAACAATCCCTTCTCATCGTCCACACATGTCGTCCTATGAATCATAATCTCCAACTCACCAGGTGAGCTTGATCCAACTCCATGACTTCTCTCTGTGAATATCTGTTAAGGTTGTGTGCGTGAACGAGTTAGAATTGTACATTGTGTTGCAGGGCGTAGCCGAACACTCACAGTAAACTGATACTTTGTCGATAGCCTGTCCTTGATGTTGGCGTAGTGTAGCACTGGGAAGTACTGGTAGTTGATGTCCATCTTGTTGTTTATCTTTCGCTCACGTGTCTCCAATCCATTGTCTGTGTATATTGTGTTGGAACCTTCAAGGTTGGTCTCATAGTTGATAACAGTCTCCTTGAAGTATTGTCCAATCAATGAGTATCCGACATCGACAATCTCTTCGGTGACCAACGGTGTCTCTGACACCTTGTCGGCATTGCTATATATTCGATGATGTAGAACAAACATTGAGTCCGACACGTTCACTCCATAATTGATGATGGTCAACTGTTTGACCAGTGGTCCCGAGACCACGTAGAACCTAGTATGCTCATTGAACTTATAAGCATGCTTGGTTTGCGGTGTGAATATATAGTTGCCGCTAGTCTCTGAGTGATATTGATTGACCTTGATTGATTGATTGTTAGAGAGGGGGAACTATTCAATTTGGGCTAGAGTGAGGACGACTTACAGTCTCCTTGGTTAGGACAAAGATAACCTCTTTGTTGGTGGTCTTGGTGATTGAGCTGAGCATGCCATTGGCCTGGAACTTGACGTTGAGGAACTTGGAGGAGAGTATACGATGATTGGATGCGCTGAGCTCTCGCTCAGACTTGTACACAAACACCTCGGACATGGCGGTGGTCGCTGGTTTGTTGCCGTCACGTCTAATCTTGATAAAGTATGTGTTTAGTCCCATGGCTGGCACCTCGACAATGAAGTAGAGGCTATATTGATTGGCCAAGTGAGACATTTCTGGCATGTCATGGGGCACGATCGGTGCGATTTGAATTGGTACCAATGACAATGTTTTCGAACTGATGAGCTCGATATGATCCAGCATACTATGATCGTCCAATGTGAATCGAATACTATAATGATGATTCTTGCGCCATGATAGAGGATTGACAAAGACCAAAGAGTATGAGTGGTCGGGCACGCCAGAGGACAGCAATAGATTCAAGTCCAATACATTGTGATACTCGTATGCTGATTGCTCAGATGTCTCTCCACTCAAATGTATAAGATACTCGATTGAGTTGGACATCACTTCATAACTATCGCGTGTCGCTATGTTCAAATATTGAGTGTAGTTGTACATTACATCCGCTCTTGACGTGCCAGTCACAGAGTCATGATGTTGAGTCAATGCCACAGACTATGTGTCAGGGTAGTGTATGTTAGTGAGTGAGCCACTGAGTGCCAATGCCATCCTCTCAATCAATCAATCATACCCTTCTAGACTCCTCTAACTTTGGATATAGTGATTGCAACTTGGACACAGAGTCATCTCCCATACTTGTGGCCTTGGCCAATGCCATGCTGTACATTATGTCTGTCGCGTGAACGAGTGATGATGTATCGCGAACCAATACTTTGAACAATGTGTATGAAGTGTAGAAGCCCTAGTATGTTGCGTTTGGGATAGTTCCATGTCAGTGATTGGTCGAGTGGTTGAACATTGTTGTGATGTCTTACAGTCCATGGCTGAGTAGGTCCAGCAACGTAGGGGAAGAAGTCATGGTTGAACAGGGGGATGGAGACCTTGCGCTCCTTTAGCTCATGATTGAGTAGCTTGAAGAACTCGCCAATGGTACCATAACGTATATCCTCGATGCCAACGTCATACTTGCGCTGCTGGACGATTCTCAGCATGTCATCGTTGAACTTGAACTCTGAGTACTTGGAGTAGGCAAAGTCTCCGCCCATCGGCAGGAACAGCACACGTGTCTTGTAGGCCAATGAAGCGTTGTGGATGACGTCGATGATAGTGTCTGCCGACACGTTTGGATCGGCCAAATAGGACAAGTCCTCGTTGTAGTATTGATCCGGATAGCTGTAGTGTTGGTACATCAGATGGTAGAAGAGCTGTGATGAGTCGCCCAGCGAGGGCGAGCCCTCCCACATGAATTGCATCTGACGCTTCTTGATCAAGTAGTTCTTGGAAGTCTCTGATATTCTGTTGCCGACCACTGCCTTGAAGTTGAGCTTGGACATTAGTGTCGGAGTGAGTGATGAGTGTCCAAACGGATCGATCTGCCAGCCATAGTCAACAGTGATGTTCAATGTGCGATGCAGCCATTGGAAGCCCTCTGTGATCTGATCCATAACATCATTTGGTTGGGCCACGGCCTCATCATTCTGTACCCATCCACCTCCAATGATCTCAAGTTGTCCTCTACGTATGAGTTGGCGTGTGATTATGCGTGTGTAACTGTCTTGCAAGTCCCACCATGTCCTGAAGTATGAACTTGATTGATTGATTGGAATGATTAAGTGAGTGATTGATTGAGGATGATCATGTTGGCGCCACTGGGGATATATCTGATACTTACATCTCTGACCATACAAATGTCTTTGATTTCTCATTTTCCAATGTATGTATTACATTGTTAAGTGTTGCATGTACCTTTTCTTCAAAGTATTGCTATAATGAAGGAGTCAGTCAGTCAGTCAGTTGATTGATTGAATGATAGAATTGTAATGTACATACATTATATGTTCTTAGCCAACCTGGATCACAATGTGAATGAGGGATGAGCAGTACTATCAGACCATTTCCATTGTCCACACGTTTGTGCCATTCATTCTCTTGATCAAGACGTTTCTGTTCCTTCTCTTCAGCAATACGTAGTGTTTGATTGTTGATGTTGCTGTTGCTGTTACTGTTGCTATTGCTGTTGGTATTGGCATTGTTATTGCCAATGACCATTGAATCTATTGTGACATGTGTTTGGGAACCATCTCCATTTACAAAGTTACTTTGAGATGCATCCAATTCATTGATCTGTCTTTGTTGTTGTTGTTCAAACAGTACTATTGTAGACAAACATAGTAATACAAGTGTCAAAATAAGATACCAACGATTCCTTCTATAAACAAAACTCTCCAAAGTCCTTAACATTATATTATATTTATATTACAACTGTACAATGATAGAGATAGAGATAGATAAAGACGAATGAAGCCTTGCGGGTCTAGGACCAATCTTTTGAAATTGTTGTTGAAATCTTTAAAAATTGAAAATATCTTCATCAAACTTGATTTTTTGAATTAACTTTGATTGATTGGTTGGATGGATTACTCATTGTAATGATCTTAAAGTTGGTCATTAATGATGTACTCCTACTGCACCAGCAAAATAAGTTGATCTTCTCTTTTGTGGAATGTTACTCCATATCTTCTTGTCAACATTATAAACATATTGATATAAAGGGTCTTTGCCTCCAATAATCCATATTTTGAAATTGTTGTTGTTATATCCATATACCAGTCCAAGTCCAAAAGGTCCCTCTTTGAGCGGCGGGAATTCTAATTTCTCTTCATCTCCAGTGATAATAGAAAACCTTGAGAATGTACTTTTGGTGATATAGAATATGTACTCCTTTCCATCTGAACAACATCCCTCGATTCGTTCGTTAGTGGGAAGATCACAGAATACTTCTATGCTGGAGTCCTCCGGATCAAATACTTCAACATTGTTAACATTGATATGTTGATCATTTGGATGTCTCTTGTAACATCCACCCACTACATACACTCTATGTCCAATATATAGGGCATGTGAGTAGTAGCGAGGATGGTTCAGGCGAGCAATGGTCTTGAATTGTTTGGTTAGAATATCAAAGCAATCGATTCGGTCCAGAGTTGAAGTACGGTACAGGCCACCAATCAGGTAGATTGATCGGCCATTGTCATAACAAGTGGCAATGCTTGATCCTCCCATTGTTTGAATGGCTTCGCAGGCCACCCATTGATTGAGAGCAAAGCTGAACTGTTCATAGGTGCAAAGGGAGTCATTGCCACCAAATATGTACAGATAATCTTTGGTGTTGACCATTGATGCATTTAGACAGGCTCGCCTTTCCTTGCATCTATGAAATAAGGACCATGTTCCAGCGGCAATGTCAAATCTCTCCATGTCCCATAGATGTTCATTGGAATCCATTCCACCGCAGGTAATGATATATCCATATGTTAAGGATTCAATATATTTCTTATTCAGCTTTCCAGGGTATTTTCCTTCTTTTGGACGGGTAGACATTGATCTTATTGGTGATGAAGCAGAGGATGAGGCACAATTGTTGGAGTTGGAAGTAAAGGACACTTGAACGGAATTCGCGGATTCTGAAACTCCTCTAGCCGAGGTAGGATTAAAATTATTATTATTATTATTATTATTATTGTTATCCTTTGATTCCTCTTGTTTTGAAGGAAAGGAATATGGATGGTAAAGGCAACGAGGGCAAGCTTTATATTGTTTGCAAACGATTTCACAAGATATAGTTAATTCCTCCATTGTTATTATTATTATTATTATTAATTGTTATTTGTTAATTATTGTTATTGGATATTGATAATATATATATTTGTTGAATGATTATTTGTTGATAATCCAAAATATTTATAATTAGTAGTAGATTGGAGTCCAATCAATAACTCATATTATTAAGTTTCGACACTTGAATAATTATCAGATTGCCCTACCAGGTTTGGTGATTCAACATACATATCTCCCAAGTTGACCCAAGGAATGGATAATTATTGGCTGACAAACTGAATTTTCAAGTATGCGAGGTTTACAACGAACAATGACGCTGATTGATTCATTGGTTGATTGATTGATAGAATAGAGAGAGAGTAGGTGAGAGAGAAACAGGAAATATTGAGGGAATATACATTACTAGTCGAGGATTCAAAATCTGTACAGGTTGTACAACCTAACTCGCCATATTAGGAAAGCGACCTCTAATTGCCAAGTCGAAAAGGAATATCAATATGGTCATAAGTTGATTTCCTAAGTTACCAAGTAATAGTATACCATTGATTATATTCTTTTACTATCTATCTAGTATTAGGAGTTGTAAATACGATGTGGGAGCTCCGTTTAACACTTGGACCCAACTTGAGAAGTTGTGTTGTGTTGGAAACGAATGTCATTGTTACACTTCTTAGAAATATATATATATTACAACAACAATGAACAAAGTAATAAAGAAACAGACAGCATCGACTCTGACTGAACAACAGTTGTTACAAGAGAGAGAACAATCAATAGATTATTATAGACACTACTTAAATGATACGTTAAATGTCAATCTAGAGCATATGCTACAACATAAACAGAGGATACACGATGATCTGCAGACTCTGTACGTACCAATCATGTCATGTCATTGGATCGTTTGATCGTTTGATCGATTGAATGAGTGAATGAGTGATTAACAATCTATCGTGTCCTCTGACAGATTGGAACTACGAAGTAACTTGGAGTTGATGATTGAGGGCCACATGACAGAGTTAAAGACAATGTTGAACCTTGGCTGCGAATGCTATGCCAAGGCTAAAGTGTAAGGTTACAGTCAATCACTATCATTGTCAACGTAACAATGAGTGTAGTCCTAACATCCTTCCTTCCTTCGCGTCGATGTAGACCCGACACCAGCAAGATATATATAAACATAGGATTAGATATCAGTGTACAGATGACATTACAAGAAGCTGTGGACTTTACAAAGGATAGAGAACAACACCTTATATTGTATGTACTTCTTCTCAATCAATCAATCATCATGATGTATGTTTGTACTAACCTTTGGGGCAATATTGCTTGATAATGGTATCTAGGAAACAAGAGAAGGTATCAAAGGGTATCAATACCATTCGATCAAGAATAGAGTTAATTGAGAAAGGAATAAATGACCTGCAAGCAATGAACAGGTAGATCGAATGAATGAATGGAATGAATGGTCGTGTGTGAGGTGTGACCCAGGGTTTGTTCAACTTCAAAGTTGGAACTTCTCTCTTTCATTTGTTATTATTAGATATTGAGATAGATATAGATATAGAGATAGAGATAAAGATACATATTGTATCGATCTATCCATTATTATTAAGAAAGTAGGAATGGATATCAATCTTACATTCATTGAGAACAGAGCTATTAGAGTGGCTATATTACCGATTGGAGATATATCATTGGACAGCTTCAGACATTACTCAAATCTAATCAAGACACTTGCTATCATTGAGTTATCAGGCATCACCAGAGATGCAAAGGAATCACGTAAGTGATGATCACCTTAATCAACTCAATCAACTCAATCACTCACTCAACTACATCATAACAACAAACAGGTGTATTAGAGAAGATCAATTGGGTCGATGGACATATGTTACTTAACTTCTTGGACTCGACAACACCACCGACATCGGAATGGGAGGATATACATGTACACAAGAGAGTGTTTGGTGTGATTGGTGTAGTGGACTGTAAGCGTGCAAAGGATCTGACAGAGACAAAGAGACTGTTTGATCTGGCGATCGCACCCTACAAGTCGGCGGTGGCCACGGTCTGCTATGCATTCGATCCGTTGGACGAGCAGGCCGACTTTGAGCCGGGCAAGTTTGTGATGATCCCCAACGCTGGCGACCAGAAGCATCTCCTGTTCTACCTCAACACACTGCTCTTTGACTTCTCGTTGACGTTGTTGCGTCACTTTGAGAAGATGGTTGTGGAGCCCGAGTCGCAGACTCGCCAGTCCTACATCTCCACCCCGCTCGAGAGTGTCATATCATGGGACGAAGTATCGCGTGCCAAGAAGCGCAAGCCCGGTCGTCTTGCCAAGGTCAAAGGTGACTACTGTCTCCTTGCCGGCTCGCCACTCGATGCCATCAAGTTGTATGTATCAATCGCAGTCGATCAATCAATCAATGACTCACTCATTCAATCAATCAATCAGCTATGATATCAGTGTGGAGTTGTCAAAGTCTAACAATGATTATGAATGGATTGCTGCATCATATGAGAGCCAGATATCCGCCATCCTTTCAAAGAGAGTATGTACAATACATCCATCCCCCATGTGTATCGCACGACTCTAACGCCGTTTATCGTCCAGAACCAAGAGTATCACTCACATACTCAATCAATCAATATGCCCGCACCGACTAATGTGCCGGCAACGACAGAGCATAATGAGTTGGAGGATCAACATATACTTACGATGGCGGCAGAGGCAATCAGTTCATACAACAGGAAGAAGGCATTGAACTTTGAGATTGAGTTAACGATCAAGTTGGCCAACTACCACGCATCAATGGAGCGCAAGGCCGAAGCATCAGAGCTACTCACGTCAGCCGTCGACCTATCTTTCGGCCTTACACTACAGGAGAAGATCATGATCATCTGCTCATGTGCACTGGCCTACTTCTCCATGGGATTCAAGCGCAAGTTTGCCTTCTTTGTTCGCGAGGCTGCATTCCTACACAACAAGCGACCAGAGACATGTACGTACATTCGTTGTGGATGGCGATGCGACCAAGTATACTGACTTGTCAATCAATCATGTAGGGGAAAAGATCAACAACTTACTTCAGATCACGACAAGGTACTTCCAGCTGGAGGACCTGTTTGGAGGCTCGACAACAAAGTTCCTGGAGGAGAGGAATAAGACATACAATTACTCGGCTACGACTGTGAGCAGTCATGCTGCCTCGTCAAAGACACGCTCATCACGCTCACGCGGTAACTCAAAGCAAGGCAGCAAGCCAATGCCACCTGGACTCCCTGCCACAGCCAATGGCCGATCGTCGGTGGCGTGGCATACTCGCATGCCACCAGTATGCACAGCGCGTCGCAAGGAAGGCTGGTTCATATTACAGCGATACCTCATCTACAACTTGATCTCTGTATCGTCCAACCTGCAGGACTCACACAGCATCTGCAAGTACATCATCTATYCTGCTGCGCACGCAACACCGTCTGTTGGCTGCGGCCAAGCAGATTGAGTTCCAGTACGACCTGGCGCATCACTCAAAGACGATCTCAACGAGCATCAACACCAATGTGCACATGAACATCCTGGGCTTCCCCTTCCTGCTCAGTGTGAAGCCACTGCCACCCTCCGACCACCTCGCGCCACACACCCGCAAGATCGAACACAACCCTCAAAAGGACAACTTCTTCATCTACTCGCCTTATGAGCAACGCAATGCAGAGTATGTACATCTGGATTTATCCCAATCAATCACTCACTGACATGTAATCACTCCATCAACAGCAAGGTACCAAGGAAACAGTTGTTATGGGTGGAGGGTGAGTGCAGCGTCGTTGTCACGCTGTCCAACCCACTGGCATTCGATGTGCTCATTCAGAGTATACAGTTGAGCACTGCTGGTGTGCCCTTCGAGTGCTACCCGCTCTCATTCAAGGTGTTGTCATGCACAGAGAAGATGGAGATGATCATCACTGGCAGAGCTCTAAAGCCTGGCCCACTCATTATCAAGGGAGTGTTCATTCGATCCTACAACCTACTGAGCGAACACCCAATCAATCAACAAGGCGAAGCCATATCGTTGTCCGAATACGAAGAGCTCATTCGACAGGACGCCTACAAGGTGGAGTTGGACGCACCCGTCGTCTCATCCGAGGACGACCAGGCCATCAACAAGATCACTGTGGTGCCCAAGATGCCCCTGCTCAACGTCACGGTCGAGTCCTTTGGCGGCCTGATGTCTCTGTTTGTTGGCGAACAACACAACTTCAACCTGGTGTTTGAGAACATTGGCACAGAACCAATCGAGGAGATCACATTGTTACTGGGCGAGCTGGACAAGAGCCAGAGGAAGTCACTTCAGGCGCCCCCACCCAAGAATGTGTCTTTCGATGACGACAGCGACACACCTCTGTTCCAGTGGGACAACAAGCGAGTGCAGTCTGCACTGCCAATTCTCCCTGGTCAATCATTCACGCTGCCAGTGCACTGCCAAGGCAGACCCTATTGCATTGGCAACCAGCTCACAATCAACTACAATCGCTTGGGTGAGCAACATCTATATCATCGACGAACGATCGTTCCACTGCAGATGGATCTCAACTTTGGACCAGAGATCACCAACTTTGACATTGTATACACTTCACTCAACTCTTTGAAGCAGCTTGAATCATTCATAATTGGCAGCACCAAGCCAAACATCCCTTCGACTGTTCTGGCCACTGCCAGTCCTAGGCTTCCCGCTGCCGCCGCAACCACAACAGTCGCCTCTATTGTGGAGCAGTCGCATCAACTGGATATCTACAACGACTACTGTCTATTGGTGTTTGAGATCAAGAACAACAGTTCAACGCATTCATTCAGTATCACATCGAGAAGTTCATTCAATGGTAAGTCCAATCAATCACACTCAATCGATCATTCAATCACTCGATCACTCACACAATCAATCACATCCGATACTTAGCTCAATGCGAGATTAGCTTGGATACTACATTCAACTTGGCACCAAACTCATCGATGAACATATATGTGCCAGTGAGGAGGGAACCATTCCCTGACGCACTGCCACCTATTCGTCTGCCCAAGGGCCAGTACATCAAACCAAAGAAGAAGTTGACCGAACACCAAGAGTATCTCAACAGACTGAATCAATACTACAAAGACATGATCATCAACAATGTCAAGTTGACTTGGATATCTGTAAGATATAGATTATAGTTAACCACGTGACCATTCCACTTAACTGACCCTCGCCCTCGCATCTCACCATCCACCCAACTTCCAACTTCCAGTCCGACCGTACATACGGCTCTGTATTTTTAAACGCAATCACTTTAACACCGCGAATGATATACAAGCTCAAGATCGATCCAATCACAGTGGAGTTCAAGGATCACATACTGTACAAACAGTTTGAAGTGGGATCATTCCAAACGATCGAGATTGTAGTCACCAACATCAGCGATGTCACCATCACCGGACTCATCCTACACATCCAACCAACACTCGAGAAGGAATCCGAGAGCAAACCAATCGACCTCTCCAAGAAGATAGGCTACGTTGGATCATTGACCATTCCAATCAAAGATGTAAGTGGATTGATCGTAGACACTAATGACTTATTAACTGACTCACTCATTAACAATCATTATAGTTGCCATCTCGCCAGACATTCCAACACAACTTCCAAGTGATATTCTTTGAAAGGGAGATGTTTAGATTCGTGATATCATGTGAGCTGTTCAAGACCAAGCATGCTATACCATCACATCATTCATTGATGGTGGAAGTACAATAAAGGAAGTATATATATATATATTTTATATAGTTATAAGCTAGCTATTTATTTGACATTTTGGGGTTGTCAATCCAATCAAACAGAGGACAGATTGATTGAATGAACGATTTAGTTGACAGAGTTGAAGTAAGCCTGGGACTTGACTGGGTCTGGGATCATGGTCTTCTCACCAGCGCGCCAGTTGGCTGGGCAAACCTCACCGTGGACATCGGTGTACTGGAAGGCCTGGACCAAACGGAGGGCCTCCTCGACGGAGCGACCGACTGGGTTGTCGTTCAAGGTGATCTGCTTGACGATTCCGTTGCCGTCGATGATGAAAGAGCCACGGATGGTGTGACCATCCTCTGGGATGTAGACACCATAGTCCTTGGCGATCTGGTGGGTGATGTCGCTGAGGATTGGGAAGTGGATGCCGCCCAAACCACCCTGCTTGCGTGGGGTGTTGATCCAAGCCAAGTGGCTGAACTGCGAGTCGATGGAGCAGGCCAGGATCTCACAGCCGATCTTTCTGAACTCCTCAGCCTTGTCTGAGAAAGCAATAATCTCAGTTGGGCACACAAAGGTGAAGTCCAATGGGTAGAAGAACAAATAGACGTATTTGCCTGTTGTTGTATTGTTTAGTTTTTGTTTGTTCGAATGTTAGTATTCATTGTATTCGTCGTTTGAATGATTGAATGAATGAATGAATGAATGGTACATACCCTTGTAGTCGCTAAGGGAGACCTCCTTGAAGTCACCGTTGACGACAGCCTGGCAGGTGAAGGCTGGTGCTGGCTTTCTGATGCGGATCTCTTGGGTGTGCTTGTGGCAGTGTCCTCCAGTCATTTCGTTACTGTGTTATTTTATATTGGATATTAGAAATAATATAATTTATATATATTGAAGTCTCGTTGAGGTCATATGATGGATGAATGAATGATGGTTGGTCTGTGAGAGGTAGTGAGAGTTGGTGCACTTCAAACACACACAATCATTATGCTAAAATAAAATAAAATCAAATTAAATCTTTCACCCCACCACACACACTGTGAGCGAAAGAGGAAACAGAATACACTTCTGTTTGTGAAGTGCAGGTTCATCAAACATGAAAGTCAAGTATCGTGTCGTGGGGTTGGGTCTCAGGGCGAACCCTGAAGTGGTAGTATGTCTCGCGAAGATAATATCGACATCACTGATGATGACACTCGTGTACATAAATGTAAAGTACCAAGTGAGTGAGTAAATGAAGTACAGTGGAGTGAGGTAGTGATCTTGTGATGTTTGTTGACATTGACATTGACTTTGGTACTGGCGATGATAACAATGACATTGACAAGTGAATGAATGAGAATGAATGTGTCGCCTCTTTGAGACATTCATTGCAATATTGAAACTGAACTGATTGAGAGATTGAGGTTTTACTTACTTGTGGCAGCTGTATGATCTGATGTTGTTGAACAATGATGATGATGAAGAGGAGTTTGAGACAAGAAATGAGGTTGATTGCTTCTTGATCGAGTTGTTGTTGAACATTGATTGAGAGGCAGTAGCACCAACTCTTCCAATTGATCTAGTCAACAATGATGATGTGTTGATTGATGTGATACGTTTAATTGAGTTCATTGTATAATATATATAGTTTGTTATTGATGTCTCTCTACTCTCTATCTGTTAACTTCAAAAATGTTTTGTTTGAAGAATTTTTGGATCATAGTTTTGATTCCTTTCCAACTTCCAATATCTCATAATTGACCAATGCAATAACTTAATGATCAAGGACTGTCAAATGCTCAATTGACTTGATCTACAAAGGTATATGATACTCCAAATAAACAAACTTCTTATCTTACCCTTTCAAAGTAATCATTCAAACACCCAAAAATAGGTCACTGCTTTGAAACTCGAAGACCCAAGTTCCAAACTTCGAAAAAAAGATCAATTCCTCTCCAATGACGACCTAATATCATTGTATTTTGACAAAGAGTAGCTCATCAGATAATATCTATTTATATTTATTTATATTTATATTGTTAATATTATTATGTCTGATACTAGTAACGAACTTGCTTGTGATAATCACCCAGGAAAGTGGAAAGACATCATTTGTGAAGATTGTAGAGTTGTAATATGTTCTCACTGTCTCGATGCTAAACATGAGAGACACAAACTATTCAATGTCAAGAATGTTGCTCATCAAATCACCTTACATGGAGCAAGCCTCATCAATACCACCGATCTCAGACTGAAGTTGTGGTGTGAACCAAGGTTGGACTATCTGTGGAAGGTGCTCCAGGATCACAAAGCAGTACAACAAACATTGAGTGAAACAGAGAAACAAGTCAATGTTATGGTCGATAAATTGATCAATCATCTCAATGAACGAAGGGAAAAGTTGTTGAGACCTATCAAACGACAATTGAAGTTCACCGAGAATACGATGATGGATGACATCATGAAAGAGATCACTCATATCGCAACTACACTCCACATGTCTGATCGATCATGCCATGGCTCCATCACAGAGTTGGTAGGCGCGATCAATGCGTGCACGTCGATCAAGGAGTTTATTGAGAACCTGCCATCATCGCTAGACCGTTCTGAAGGGATCGCCGAACCAGGCGACATCCCCGACTCCACTCCCAAGATCATTAAGCACATCCTGGAAATGCAGCCATTGATATATCAACCAGCTATCAAACATCCTTACAAAGTCGACATTAATGTTGGTGCTGTCAAGGAAAAGATTGACTCATGTCTTAAACTGGTCGAGCAACAGTATTGTGACAGTATCATGATAATGCATGAAAAACGTCTCTCAATGCTCTCCCTGGCATCATTCGATTGGTCTTCAATCTACAACCCATTCAGAACACGGTTGTCCTCTGGACCAATGTTTACCAGCCTATCGTCGATCATATACTCTGACGGTAATATACATTACTTTGACTTTGGATACTCCACGAGCTCTACAGGGCAAAAAACAACAATGGCACCCATGTACTATCAATACTCATTGGCAGAGGACAAATGTTATCAATCAAGCATTGTTGGATTTAATGGTCAACTTGGATGGTCATCAACATGTTTTGATGGCGCCAACAATAAGGTATACCTGTTTGTAAGATCACCTGGACCTATTTGTATGCTTAGATTATATCATCTTGAGCTTGGAGCACGACAGCTCAATCACATTACCGACTTCCAATTCATGTTGACCAACAACTATACATTCATTGATAACAACAACAAGAGTATTATAATGGCAGTACTGCGCGATGTAAATGGAGTACAAAGAAGCAGTATTATCTCATTCAATGTCAAGACACTTGGATATGAGGTTCTGTTTGAGGACACAAACATCAATTATGGTACAATTTGTTGTTTTGATGGCACAAACAACCTCTATGCACATGATGATGTACACTTCACAAGATACACACTGTTCAACAAGTCTTCAGTATGCCTATCAGCATTGCCCGATGATTCATTTAACGTTATCACGGGACAGATGATACATGATCGTGTAGTTGGCTTTGTTTTCTTTGATGGTGCCGAAGGCGTCAACTACGTTTATTCTACACGATCAAACGAATGGACGCCACTCAATGACAAGCAATTACTATTGTTTCCACCACTTTGTCCTTTTGGAGCATGTCTGATCAGCGAATAAAGTACAAGTATGATTGACCGATTGTTTGTTAAGGTTATCTAACGATACTACGATAGATGACTAGATATACTATTTATTCGATTCGACATCTATACATTGTTGTCATTGGATGATGATGAAGAGGATGAGGTCATTGATGATGGGGCCGAGCCCAAATCGACACTCTTGTTAGCAGATGGCTCTGGTTGTGGTGGGCTCGACTTTGCAGCGGCACCAGACTCGGCACCTGGTGCGGGCAATCTGACCATTGGCACAACGTTTGGCTCGTCGATGTAGACCGACTCGTCCTTGTAGGCCGACGC